CATACGAGAGAAGATAAATTTAATTGTTACAATTAGAAAACCTCGGATTATTTTCGATGTTGTGAACCGTTTCTGAACCACGGCCTTTTACCATGTAGGACCCCAAAAGTTACGATATGCAAAACGCTTTCACGTTAATTTTAATTCTTTATCTCTCCGAGCCTTGTTAAACGAACCGTTTAATTTATTTTGAGTAGAACTAATTTACTAGGAGATTAAGACTTTTTTCGGTTTCGATTTAAATTTTAAAAGACAGACTTAATTTTTTTTTCGGGGGTCGCAACAGCAGAGGTCATAATCGACCCGAGGTGTTGTTTCGTAAAAAAGCCCATTTGTAAGCATGTCGGGTTCGAATGCGGGGCCGCTGGATTCGAACCCGGAACCTTTAGCTTATAGCGATGAGCGCCGTGTCAACGCCTAAACCGTTGCGGCCACCAACGCTCCCTTGACTTTATTATTATTTAATTAATAAAATATAATGTTGTGAAGATATTTGGTCATTTCGGATCATCCTTTGGTTTGTCAAATGCATTTCGGCATTAGCCATCTTCACTTGTTTGTCTGTGCTCGAATATAAGAATAACATTCAGGACGTCTACTGTCTTTTCTTATTGTACTATGTCCATACTTATATACAAGCAAATTTAGCAGATGTATTGTAGCTAGTTCCGATCATCCCGGTCCGCCTGTTCTCGCTGGTTTCGTCTGCCAGCCGCGCTTCTATTTCTACTGGTTAGTCTGTGTGTTATTTTATCCTTTTATTTCTGAACCGACACCTCACAAATGAGAGACCATGATGATAATCTTAGATTAACTGTAAATTTGTAAAATTTTATGGATGAAAAAAATATATATTACACTTAAGATATGGAATCGGCTGGAGTCAATCCATCGCGTGTTGTTGGGGTTTCGACATGTTGTAGGGTCGGTTGTTTGCTTATCTGTGGATTGTGTATTTTTCTAAGTTATAACCTCAGGTATTGGCTTTTAATGGACTACTGTCGTACCATCAAAAATGGAGGAATCGCAAAACGGATGTGATACACAAAACCAGCAATCATGAGGGACAAGGATGACTATATCTACATGTCTATCACATCAAGGAACTCAATACGTTCCACAATTTTATCCTTTCCTATTATCCTCCTCTAAGGGTTCCATGCTCATCTAATAATCGTAGCTTTAATTGGTTGGTTACTTTGATCACCATGGCCCGCCTATTTTCGTCGGTTTGATCTCTCAAAGGCGTTTCTCCATCTCGTCTGGTTGGTCTGTGTGTTTTATGTAGATTGTGTATTTTTCTAAGTTATAACCTCAGGTATTGGCTTTTAATGGACTATTGTCGTACCATCAATAATGGAGGAATTGCAAAACGGATGTGATACACAAAACCAACAAGCATGAGCGGACAAGGATGACTATATCTACATGTCTATCACCTTACAGAACTCAACACGTTTCACAATTTTATTCTTTCCTATTATCCTCCTCTAAGGGTTCCATGCTCATCTAGTAAGCGTACCTTTAGTTGGTAGCTCAGGGTCCGCCTATTCTCGCCGGTTTGGTCTCTCAAGGACGTTTCTCCATCTCGTCTTGTTGGCCTGTGTGTTATTCTGTGATCTCCGTCTTTTGATTGCGTTTCAACATCGCAGAATCATATATTAAACAGTTCGTTACTTCGTCAGCTACCAGTTAGCTGTGAAATATTTTCGTAAGGCACATTATTTCACAATCCTGCTTGAAAAAATTTCTGTAGTTATATTTTTTGCAGGCAGTTTTTCAGCAAGTAAACTTATTTGCAGATTAACAAAGATTAATTTAACGGTCTGCTAACTTTTAAATCAACTATAAGTTATAGTGTTATAAAATGAAAGATCGTTAATAAAAATGACACTTATGGTTGTGTATTTATTAGAATTAATTAGATTGAATTAATTTGAAACTATTAAGATTGATGAAGTGATTATATAATGAAAGCAATTTAAAACATAACATTTCTATTCTGACATGAAAATTGTAAGTGTTTTTAATTACCGAATCATTCATAGATAATATTTTGTGACATTTCGCAATTATAAAAATTGACAATTGTGCAATGCGTTCAGACTGGAAATAAAAATTTTCTTTGTCTCTTGGTTAATTTTAATGCTGTTCTGAGGTCATAAACGAAAAGGTCGACAGGAAATTGATTTGCGATTCTAATTCGTCGTGTTAGCTTTCCTCAATTTATCAAAAGTTTCTCTTAGCTCTTTTTGAAAATTATGATCGAAAAGGATTTGACAGTTTTCCCTTTTTGCCTGATTGTTACAATTAGACGAGGAGTGAATCAGGTTTAAGCTTTTTTAAGTGTACTTTCGATATAAAATCTGAATATGTTTTTATTTTAATAAAGAAAAATTCGCTTTTTCCACATCACGGTTTCTGGGGAAAGTGAAACCCATCATCCTCAGATCTTATTTTCGAATCAGAGAACTCGTCGTCGTCGTCTCCAAGGCGTGAAAATAACAATCCGAGAGTTGACACAGATGCTCGTAAAGTCTCAATTTTGGCGCGTCCTCAAGCATTTTCCCCGGAGGATGACTTTTCTTCGAGCCGGGCCATCCGAACCGTGAAGTTCTTCACGTGTCACCTCGAACCATTAACCAAAGCCTTAGACTTTCTTCACCTCATCTCGTACGCTGTTCTGATTTTATAGGGCATGTTTCAGTATAAATGACTGGGGGTTGAAGTCAAAGAAATACCTGAAATGAAACGAGTACTCCATCAATGGAGGTATATCATCAATTAGGCCGATATGGTTTGAATTTTTTTTTTTAATAGGCCGAATCAAACAAGTTGTAGGCTTATTAGTGGGACAATTCCTAATTTCGTAAACACAATTTTTGACGGCCGACGGGCTGTGCACGTTTTTTTACACCGGGGGCGCCCACGCCGACGTCCCTGGGGTCTCCGGGCACGCCCTGGAAAAGGTGTGGTTTTGATTAGGGTAAGAAAAGAAAGAAAGAGAAAAAAAATAGAAAGAGAAAAAGAAAAAACCGGCGTAAAGACCACACATGTCATCCGAGGCTAACTACAGGCCAGGACACAAAAACACAGACGGACAGCCGGGGAAAATAAAAATCGGGGAATAAATGACGCCCACGCGACACTTTCACTCCGACGTTGAGACATAAGTCATAACAATTTCGGTTCATTACTAAAATTGTCGTACAGAATAAAGACTCCTCCTCAAACAAAACCTGTCTGGTCACATTTCAACAATTACACCCTTTACACGTTAGAATTTTGTGTTTGGGAGGTGCGAGGAGGTCTATTATTAAAAACGAAGTCCAACGAAAACAATTACCTTGTGTATTTTCAAAAGTTGACAGTACCAAAAGTGAATTTTACTTTTACCCCATCATTTCCTTGTGAGGCGTAAATGGGCAGAAAATAAATCCTTTAATGCCCAGGACGAAGGTACAGCCTCCACCGATGACACTACTGTTTCTATGAAGCCATACCAACATAGATAAATTTACTTTTTACGGACAAAGAACTATAATCTGCAGAATTTGCTCTGTCCTCACATCTGTCTTATTATTGTAATCGTACATTAAAAATAAACATTCAATCTGAACATATTTAATACGTTTGATTGTTCGATTTTCTCTGTGAATATCAGTTTTATATTTTTCAGACAGAAGCACAATGGTTGGTAGCGTCACCCACATCTTCTACAGGCTCCTGAGCAGGTCGTCACTTTATATACTAAGACGCGCTGACTCTACTCCATACCCTGTTTTGGGATGACTGTCCTTTGTCCTCTAGGTGCTTCTTCTGAGACAATTTTCGCTTTATGTCTGTTACATCATGCGTTTGGTCTGTATGTTAGTCTGTCAGTTGTGTCCTTCTGTGGCATTGAAACTTCAGGAGCAGACATTTAATGGACCATAGACCACCCCTAGTGGTTTGCCTTAGTGCGAGGAGGTTTATAACTATAAAAACGAATCGAAAAAAAATTATCTTGTGTATTTTCAAAAGTTGACTGCACAAAATGTAGATATTGGGCAGAAAAGAAGCCTTCTAATCCCAGGACCTTATTATGTCAGTTGTGTCCTTTTGGCATCGGCCCTTCAGGAAAAGACATTTAATGGACCATAATCCGACCATGGACGATGGCGGGAAATGGAGCGAGTTCTCTGTATCTTTTACATGGCTAAAACTCCGGACTTTTTGTTCTGGAATTAACCTTTTGAAAAGAGTCTTGACAATCAGCTTTATATCTTTAATGAAAAAAATTCAAGCCGAACGATTGGTAGTGTCTCTCTTTCTACAGGCTCCTTTCCAGTTCGCCATCGTATAAAGAAAGAAATACGGATTATACTCCTGTGATAACTGGATAATCCTATCATTTATCCTCTTGGTGCATATTCTTAGCTCATATCTCACAATCTGCCTTGTTTGTGTGCGTAGGGCATGTGCCATTAAATACTTTGACGCGTTGGCATGTGGTACAATCTGAGAGTAGTATGGTTGAGCTTTCTGACTGGGTAACCTACGATAAAATAATCTTTATGCGCTAACTAAATTTATTAGGTAAGTCAGGATGCAAAGTTCGAAATAGATTCTCTTGGAGCTAGCTAAAAAGTGGAAGGTCGGAAGGCCAAGACGCAAAAGTAACCTCCAGAATCGCAACTGAATGACTGACGAAATCCCAGGTGAGAAGGCTACTCAAGTCATTGGGTAGTCGCACTACTAGGCGATTATGACGATGACGGCACCTAGGAAAGTTCTAAAATTCTTCAAGGATCACTTTCCACCGTAAGGACACAAAGTAGGGTCAATCCTCAATAGAATGGTAAAGGTTAAATGGGCAGGAATGTTTTTAAATCCTCAGGACCTCAGAATTTAAAGAAGAGTCTATTGATTAACTCTTAACTTATGATTGGGTATACTTTACTATCTTAGTCGTTAACTACTTAGACTTACTTAAGTATAATTTCACATTCAAGGGGAAAAAGGTTGGTGGCGGCGGGGTTGGCCACACTGCGGTTATTGATTCCGAGTCGCCCCGGGGCGAGGGTTGAGGGTGAGAAAGCTCCACCGACAGCGGCGACTTGTCAGCTTCTAATGTGAGAAGTCCCGGATCCTCCGGGAGTTTCCGGACGGGACATGTCGGCTGTCCAAGGGCTAACCCGGGACCTGGTCAGGCTCAGGACGCACTCAGGTACGATCCGCCATCAAATCTTATCGTAGTTTTTACCTTTTGACCAAGGAAACCTAGTCGGAACATTAAAACCGCTGAACTTGGGCGGCATTGATGTAAACAATCTTTAATGTTACCGCAGTTTTTTTTTTATAATTAAATTATTAATGAAATTTGATTGAAAGTCGATTTCGTCATTTTTAATCATTTCTATCGTACAAATGCTGTTTTTAATTTTTTTTTTTTTTAAATAGCTAAGAGGAAGAGCGCTGTAGAGATACTGCAGGCGACAAAGTCGTTGTACATAAAGTCACCAAAGTGCCAAGGTACAAAAACAATACGAATTCCATCCTCAGAAATATTTTACCGAAAAACCCATTTTCAGACGATTCGCGCCTTCCTGTGAAAAGGGAATATACGAAAAAATGCAAGAAGAAGGATACAGACCAGCTCCAGTCCAAGTTGAGGAGGTTGCTCGACGATTCCAGCAAGGAGAACATCTCGGATTGGGGATGTTTCGAAGACCTCAACTTCAAATTCTATACGGATTGCGACGTTCAGTATCAAAGCTTGCCCGATTTGAGCATCTCGTCGAAAGAATCGACTAGCTACACGCTGCAGCAGGATGCCAGGTATACATTGTAGTAAACATAGGATGAATAACAAGAAAGGAAAAGTTTTGGCTTTTTTCCAGCGACCCGGGTGAAAAGATGACGATTTCTTCCGAACCTTCGACCGATACTTCGTCCTCATTTTCCGAAGAAAGCTACGGGAAGCCGCCGTCCTCGTCCTCGTCGAAGAAAAGCTACGGCAAGCCGCCGTCTCAGTCCTCGAGTCTGTTGAGCGCCGGTGGCTCAGCTTCAAAGGTCGAAGATCGCCTTTCGACCTGGACTCAGCCGAAACATCGTAAGATCACACGATCCAGGTCTTGGGCATGGGAGAAGTCGCCCGACGACCCGCCTTCTTGCAGAAAACCAGTGTTGAGCGTTTCAAAAGACCTCAACGACTTTTTTGAACATCTCGGTCTCTCATGCGAGGAGTACAGGTGAAGATATTATCTCACTAATGACATAAAATCGTCTTCCCTCAACTTCACTTTCTTTTCATCAAAGATTATTTTATGTTTCTTAGTAGATATTTATTTTTTAAAGATTTTAAATATAAATTAAGTACATACAATTTACCTTGTTGTTCAGGGCGTTGGCTGACAGTGGACCTGATTCTAGGACTAGTTCTCCCGTATTCTTCAGCTCCAGGTCTTCGGATGGTTCGGGTCGCAGTTCTAGGGCGGCTTCCGCCCCTGACGCCCTCGAACCTGGCCCTTCAGACCCTTTGTCCGTCGTTCAGACGAACGCCAGGGTCGTGAAATGGCTCTGTAGACTCTCCCAGACATAAAACAGAGAATAAACTTAGCTATTAAAGTATGATTCAAAAATCATAGAGGTCTCTAGCTCAAAAGAAAGTAGTTTTTTAAGGAAGATCTATATGACTAGTATCCCTTTTTTTAGTATTTGCTACCTCACACTGTCTGGAATTATTTTGGTTTTTCAAAAAGCTTTCCTTTATCTATTTCTTTTTCATATTTCCCCCCCCCATTCTATTTACTGATTTTCTGCTTTATTAATTGGTGATTTGGATTATTCGCCGAAATTTCTCACCCTTTGTAACATTTCCACTTTTCTCATCTTAGTTGTAGAGAAATAATGAGATTATATTGGTTCAATTAGTAAATTTCAAGAAATTGTGATAAATCTATTGTAAATCGAATAAGGGGAGTGTGACAAACGGTCTCGCGAAAGCTTTCAAGCGTGTTGCACAAGATTTGATCTTTGCCCGGTTTTATTTTTGTTGTGTAAAAAAAACGCGTTGTTTTCCTGTTTAGTGTTAGAAGTTATTTGTAAAAACGTATTAGCATTTGTAATGTATCGTAATTTAGGTAAATTTAATGAATACGTAAGTACACAAAGGAAAAGTGCTTATAAAGCATCCGGCCGCACTGAATTGTATTTTTTGAAAGTACAAGCCGTTGAAATACGTAAATATTTTCCTCGTTTCATCTTTAATCCGAACTCTGAAAGCAGCTTGCTCAAATTTAACCATTTAACCGAGAGAAAAAAAAATCCAATCACTCTAAAAATAAGTTTCTTCTAGTTTAAAAAACATAGAGTCAATTTTTAAAAATCGTCCATTTTCCAAAGCAATATTCGCTAAAAACACGCATAATAAATGGTATGAATCAGGCGGATAAAACCATAACAATAAAGATTTTCTTTTTCAATTTTTGTCAGGCTGCTGAAGATTCTTCTTCCAAAAAATTGTTGGATGTCTTGTTTAAAATTTTACAACAGTTTACGTTTGTGTATAAAATTTCTACTTGTGTTAAATGTGTTTTATTGAATTTTTGTTTTGTTTTATACGAGAATATACTGTTTAATTAAATATTTACTATAATAAATGTTAATTAGTTCCCATTCAGCCGGGGGTCAAAAGGCCATCGATGTTGCGTTATTTATTGTTTTAATCATAAAAGTTTAAGATTTATAATAGCATATTTAGAAATCGTTGCCTTAAGACAATGGAATGTAAATTGAAGGAGTCTTTGTTAACGTCGGAAGATATTTTTAAGGTTTGTTTTTTACAAAAAAAACTAATGATAATAATGAGAAAAATGGGTGAATAAATTATTTATTAAAGAGTAAAACAAATTTTTCTGTTTGTTCTTGTTCTTCTTCCTTCCATACCTTTTAAACACTTCTATTTAACAAAAAATTAGTTAGAAGAAAAACTAATTTACCAGGGTATTATAACAGAGAAAAATAAAGAGTAAAACGCAAAAATAAATATTTAAAGAAAACGATTCCTGTGTAAATCGTAAAAGGATGTCGAGAAAATTTTCAGAAAGTCGAAACATGAGATCTCTTGATGAGCCTGCAGGTTGATCCTCTCTGATCACACAGAGATGTGCAATTAACCATGATGACTACTTATTTAATGTAACTTTTAATATTTCAACACTTTCAATTGACATGTGGTAATCTGAGGACTCCTGCAACTCAAGTGGAACAATTCTTGCCGCGTCAACAACGAAACATAAATCCTCGAGTTGTCTTTTAAATTGAAAAAAAGCAACTCTTTTGCACTGGTATAAATTGCCTTTACTCACGGGCTGCATTTATTAGGTTTGCAGTAAAGAACATCAGGATTGAAGCTTACAGAAATCTTCGAGAGATGTTCTTTTTGTAGACGTACTAAAAAGATTGATGGATAAAAAGAGTGAATGAGAGAGAGCTAGAGCGAGGAAGAATGAGTGAAAGAAAGGGATGTAGAGGTAGAGAAGGAGAGAGAGAGAGAAGTAGAGGTCAAAAAATGGAAAGGAAAATGAAAAGACGAATTTAAAAATAGAAAGCAAGGCGAATAAATAAATATTAGTCAGAAAAATAGAAATAAATAAATAAAATAGGTAGAGATGTGAGATAGAAGAAAATAGATAAGAGGATAGTGAAAAAAACAGGATATTTAAATTGACAGTAGTGTTTACACAGTATTGTTTTGCAGTCATTGCTCTCTTTTTTTCCATTTTTTAAACTTTCTTTGTACCTCAGGATCCAGTTGGATCCTGGGCAGTTGCCCAGCTAGATGTTGATCAATCTACGAGTTTTTACATTTTGCCCTCCATACCCCTTTTACATTTTCACACTTCTTCCTCTTTTCACTAATTTTTTAGCAGTAGGTAAGAAAGATGCAGACTGGTCTAAGAATTCATTTTTTAGTAGTGCTCTCTTCCCTAGGGGGAAGTGAGAGATTAAATGAACAAAAGAAATTCTTAAAATTCGTATTGCCTAACCTGGTCCTGGTCTTTCGTATGCCTGTCCCTCTCACTCGTAAACTGGCTGTCTCATTCTCTCACTTACTAACTTTTTACATCTCTCTCTCTCTCTCTCTCTTTCTCTCTCATTCTCTCTCTCTCACTCTCACTCTCTCTTTATCTCTCTCTCTCTCCCTCTCTTTCTCTCTCTCATAAACTGACTATCCCACTCATTCTCTCACTCACTCTCTCCCTCTCACACTCCCTAACATTTTCCATCTCTCTCTCTTTTTTTTCTTACTTTCTTTCTTTCTTTTATTAATTCTCCTTTATTGTGAGAGAGGCCTTCGCGACCTAAATTTTTCGAGATTCCTAAAATAAAACCACATTCATTCCACTCGCTCTCTCTCTCTCCTCTCTCTCTCTCTCTCTCTCTCTCTCTCTCTCTCTCTCTCTCTCGCTCTCGCTCTCTCCCTCTTTTATCTATATATTCCTAGTGATATTTGTATTCCATACATTTATCTACTTATTTATCCTTGCTTTCTAGTTTTATACTTGCCTTTACTTTTCCTTATTTTTTCTTAGCGATTTTTTCTTCTTCCTCTCTATGTAACTATGTATCTATTTATTCATCTAATTTTCCATGTTTCATTCGTCTGACTTTTTTCCTTTGTTTTCTTAACTTCTATTATATTCTTCTACGTATCTATCTATTTATCATATATGTAGCTATTTATTTGTCTAGCTTTGTGTTTTTCTATTTGTCTTTACCTTTTCACATACTCATTATCTTTCCTCACACTCTCTCTCTATCTGTCTCTCTCTCTTTCATTTCATTTCTTTCGCGACCTAATTTTGCGAGATTTGTAAAACAAAACCACATTCATTCTTCCTCTAAATCACCCTTTCTCTCCCCCCTCTCTCACCCTCTCTCTCTTTCTGTCACACTCACTAACTCTCTTATCGCTCATTCATTCACTAACTTACTTTCTCTCACTCGCACTCTCTCTCCCTCTCCCTCTCTTTCTCTCTCTCTCTCTCTCTCTCTCTCTCATAAACTGACTCTCTCTCTCTCTCTCTCTCTCTCTCTCTCTCTCTTTCTCTCTCTCTCTTCCATTCATTGCCATCATCACACAACTTTTATTACCAGATATCGCAATGAATTTTCATATTCTGCAGTTCTGTAAGAATCCTCTCTCTCTTTCTTTCTTTTAGACGTTTTTTCTGTACTGTATTCGTGTTCGCCTGTCTCTTTTATTCATGCCTTTTTTGAGATTTTTTCAATAATAATAACTAACAAACAGTTTTAAGTAGTAAGAGATATTAAAGGTATTGAGTGTTAAAGTAAATATAATTTTTATGTCGTTCTGTCTGTATCTGTTTCAGCCAATGTCTTTTTCTGTTCTATCCTCAATTGTCGGCGCCTTCAAATTTTTACTTTTGCACTCGTATTGTCAGACTGTTTTACACGACGATCGAGCGAGGATATTTAAAAACTCCTCTTGAATTATTTTACTTTATTCCTATTGACTCTACGTCAACTTGACCGGAAGGAAGGAGCGTGTGAAAGGAAAAGGGTGATTTAGAAGTCAGAAGGTCGCGGGGCAGGAGGGGAGTGAAATTGGAAGAAAACATGTGTTTAATAGTCAGTCCCCCTCGACGATAGCACAAGACTTTGACCACTTCGACTTGAAACCAAATTAATATATCGTAGGTTAAAAAAACGACCCGTTCGATGATGGTTTTTGTGACCGGTGGTTTATTTCCCGACACGTTAAGGACGAATATTTCATGTCCAATTTTTTATCGCTCACCGGCCCAGTTGCATAGATTAGGACTTAAAACGGAGGAAAGGCCCATTGTTCTATAAACTTCCAGGGCGATTATTAATTATCTCACCACCCCACCGCTCCGCTTATTTTCATATTCAAAGAAAACCCAATTTTGTCTCTTTGTACAAATGTTTATCATTTACTTACACGAGTTACTTTGATTTTGAGCATTGTCTCTACCCTACCTGCTTATAAATAATACATTAAAAGTTTAAAACTTAAAAATAAACTGACTGTCTGGAATATCTGGCAAGATATATTCCCAAACCAATCGAAATACACTGATAGGCAAAAAATTCCGCCCACTTTTAATACAACTTGATTTGTATATATTTTTATATATTAATCAAAGTTTCACGTTTTTTAACGTTTAATCATTTTGTCTTTGTCTAAAAAAAAATTTTTAAAAATGTAAATTGCTAAGGAAAATTAAAAAAATAAATTTTGAAAAGACGGACGGATTAAACTTGTTTTAATTTTGTTTTAGATTTTTAATTAGCATTTCAATATCGCATATTTCCTCCCCTTGCCTTAATTACATCTGGAAGACGCCTCAGCATACTTTCTACCTGTCGGTCCTTTCAAGATCGTGGAGTGTATCAGGAAGTGATGGACGTTCTGCAGGTTATCCCATAAATGTTCGATGGGGTTCGAATCTGGAGAACGGGCTGGCCAGGCTAAGATTCTGATGTTATGCTGTTGAAGGTACGTTTGTACTATGCGAGCGACATGTGGACGGGCATTATCGTGCATTAGAATAGGATTGACGCTGATTTCATCGAAGATAGGCAACGCATGACGTTCCAAAATTTCATCCACATAGCAACTGGCCGTTAAAGACCTTCCAAGAACAACAGCCAACTCTGTGCGACTCTCCGTTGAAATTCCCGCCCACACCATCACTGAGCTACGTTGAAAAGGTTGGCTCTGGGAAAAATTACAAGCCTTGTACCTTTCATTTCGTAGGGGAAATCTACACTCATCTGTAAAAAGTACAGCAGACCAATCGTCCAAAAACCAATGGCTGAGTTCTCGAGCAAATGGGAGCCGTGCAACTCTGTGTGTTCTGGCCAATTCTGGTCCTCTTACGGGGCGAAAAACCATCAGTCCATACTGATTTAGTCTTTCGAGCAGTGCTTTCAGAAATTTAGACACCTCGAACTTTCTGGAGCTGATGAGTCACTTGTACATCAGTAAGCTGCCGGTTTCGGAAAATTCTCAGTCATAAAACGGTCATCCTGTGGTTCTGTTACCCTAGGGCGTCTAGACCCGGGCCTTCTATGGTAAGACCCAGTTTCTCGAAAACGTCCAACGGCGTCTCGCAGTGTTTCGTAGGGAACTACGATGGCAATAGCCGCATATTTGATGAAACGTCCATCATCAATAAGTGCCACATCACGCGCAACATCCTCAGCACTAAGTTGCATTTTTAAGTTTAAAAATTGAAATTAAGAAAACAAAGATGAAACTAAACAGTTTATTGCTTCAGAATTCAAATGAGACCGAATAAACATTTTAAATTCCGTAAAAATTAAACATTGAAAAATCATTTATCCTTGTTTTGGATTAAGGATTAAGTATGTCTACGTCTATTTGATATTCCATAGCGTAAACAAATATTTATTGATAAAAACAATGAAACAAATTAAGGACAGAATTTTCTTTTATCGAGAAAATGAAAAAAAAATCAGTTGGGTGGAATTTTTGTATAGTACAACTGCCAAGGTATTACAAATTTAATTTATGGGGGTCAGGAGACAAACTTTAATTAAAATAGCATTAATGTTCAAGAAATATGCCAATCATGACTTTTCAGTAATATATGAATGTTGATTTTTACACATCTTGGATGTATCGATGAGCGTTTTTTTAGTTTTAGTGCGTACATCAGACTTTCTGATCCTCGGATTTGGGTTCGTAATTGCCCAATGCCCCCTTGGCCCAGGATTGCGCCAGGTCTTGCGAGAAAGAGATCCTCCGTTTACTTATCTCGGGAAACGACGGCTGCGGGGAGAGGAGGAGCGGAAAAGGCGTCCAGCGGCCCGAGAAGATCCATATCTTGAACTTCAACATCGGCAAACATCCTTTCTTCATTTCCCATGCCGTTTTGCACCGTAAAAAGGGCTCGGATTTTTTAAGGATTCCCCTGACTCTTACGGTGCCGCAGAACATGAAAAATTCATTGGGATATCTGGTAATAAATGTTGTGTGAATGGACGAGTGAGAGAAAGAGAGAAAGGGAGAAAGAGGGAGAGAGAGAGAAAGAGCGAGAGAGAGAAAGAGAGAGAGTGAGTGAGTGAGAGAGAGAGAGAGAGAGAGAGAGAGAGAGAGAGAGAGTGAGAGAGAGAGGGCTCTTACAGAACCGCAAAATATGGAAATTCATTGGGATATCTGGTAATAAAAGTTGGGTCATGATGGAAATGAATGGAAGAGTGAGAGAAAGAGAGAGAGAGAGAGAGAGAGAGAGAGAGAGAGAGAGAGAGAGAGAGGGCTCTTACAGAACCGCAAAATATGGAAATTCATTGGAATATCTGGTAATAAAAGTTGGGTCATGATGGAAATGAATGGAAGAGTAAGAGAGAGAGTGTGTAAAGAGTGAGAGAGTGAGAGAAAGTAAGTTAGTGAATGAGTGAGGGATAAGAGAGTGAGAGAGAAACAGAGGGAGAAGGAGAGGGAGAGAGAGCGAGAGAAAGTAAGTTAGTGAAAAAGTGAGGGATGAGAGAGTGAGTGAGAGATAAAGAAAAACAGAGGGGAGGGAGTGAGAGAGAGAGAGAGAGAGAGAGAGAGTAAAGAGTAAGAGAGAGAAGATAAGTTAGTGAATAAGTGTGGGGATGAGAGAGTGAGTGAGAGAAAGAGAGAAAGAGTAAAGAGTGAGAGAGAGAAAGTAAATTAATTAATAAGTGAGGGATGAGAGAGTGACTGAGTGAGAAAGAGAGATAGAGAAAGAAACAGAGTGAGGAAAAAGCGAGAAACAGAGAGAACCAACATTCTTACAAAATTGCAGAATATGAAAAATCAAAAAAACATAAAAGTTGTGTGATGATGGCAATCAATGGAAGAGTGAGAGAGTAGGAGAAAATAATTAGTGAATAAGTGATGGATGAGAGAGTGAGTAAGTGAGTGAGAGTGAGAGAAACCAAGAGAGAGAGAGAGAGGGGGGAGTGAGTAGATGAGTAGATTCTTACATAACTGCAGACTATGAAAAATCATTGGGATATTGGTAATAAAAGTTGTGTTATGACGGCAATCAATAGAAGAGTGAGAGAGAGAGAGAGAGAGAGTGAGTGAGAGGGGGGAGAAGACTCTTACAGAGATCGAAAACTGTCCTGGTGTACAAAAATGCCAAAACAAAGAAATCGTTCAAATATTTAAATGTTTCAATTTTCACTTATAACTGCGAAAACCCGCAGAAAAATGAATATGATATTATGACAAAAGCTTGACTATCACAAGAGGTCAAAAACATCGAAAGTTCTATTAATTTTCAAAACATGGAGCTACTGGAACCCCAAGTTTATCATCAAATGGAGAACAATTAGGAGGCACTTGATGAATATATATCTGCAAATTTTATTAACACAGCAAATCGAAGAAATGGCAGATGACAACGGAACAAATAGCCTTCGGAATGTAGACAGTGTCTTAGGTAGAAGTTGAAGGTGTTTAGGGATAGCGAAAGGCATGGAACAGAATGAAGACGAAGTTCTGGTACCGTACAACTGTAGCATTCATATATTATCAAATTCAATATTTATACAGCAAATCGAAGAAATGGCACTAGTCAACAAGAGCGAGAGTGAGAGAGAATCTGCAAACAAGAACAGCTAAAAAAATTTCGGGTTTGACGTTTTTGGAATTAAAATTGTGCGGTTATAAAGATGTAAGGATAGAGATAGATAAAGGAAGAAAAAATATATGTTAAGAAAATAAAAGCAAAAAGTAAGACAATTGGAAATTAGAAAGCTAGATGGGTAAATATGAGTGTAAATGATACAAAGATGGATAGATAGATTGATAGATAGGATAGATTGATTGATTGATGGAATGAGAGTGAGAGAGTGAGTGAGAGAGAGAGAGATAGAGAGAGGAAATAGTGCGAATAAGAGAGAGAGTGAAAGAGAAAGAGAGAGCGAGAGAGAAAGAGAGAGAGTGAAAGAGAAAGAGAGAGCGAGAGAGAAAGAGAGATAAAGAGAGGGGGAGAGAGAGATTGAGGGAGTCAGTGAGAAAGAGAGAGCGAGATAGATAGATAGATAGATAGATAGAGATAGATAGATAGAGAGAGAGAGAGAGAGAGAGAGAAAGAGAGAGAATCTGCAAACAAGAACAGCGAAAAAATTCTGGATTTACTTTCCGGTACGTTTTTTGAAAATTGTGCGGTTATAAAGGTTAGCTCTAGAGGAAGAAAAAAATATAGGTTATGACAAAAAAGAAAAAGTAAGACAATTGAAAAATAGAAGGCTAGATGAATAAATAGATACAAACATGGAGAGAGGGAGAGAGAGAGAGAGAGAGAGAGAGAGAGAGAGAGAGAGAGAGAGAGAGAGGAGGGGGAAGGAGTGAGAAAGATAGAGGAAAGAGTGAAAGTGATAGAGAAAGAGAGGAAAAAGAATGAGAGAGGTTGAGAGAGTGAGTGAGAGAGGGAGAGAGAGTGAAAGAGAGGAATGATTAGAACAGAATTGCATTAAGAGAATTACAGATCAACTGTAAATTTGATCAAAAAAATAAAGATACTGGTGCCCCAAAACTATTGCATTAAATAAAAGTGGACCTTGAAGGATGTTCAAAGCGGTGGATCGCAGATGTAGAGATGAATTGAAGATTCCTGCAAATATAGCCTGCAAACTATCCAAGTTGCGGAGAACAACAGTACAAATAAAAAATTCAAAGTATAAGCAATATGTATGACATAAAGAATCCCACAGACATTTGAAATCGGTCGCTGATGCAAAAACTATTGAAATAATCAACATATTTTGGCATCCGTGCCTCATGATATGGTTTGTCTCATGATTAAACTGCTTTGCTCGCTATTTGTCCAATCTCTTGGTACACGGCCAAGTAGAAAAGGCCCGAGGAACGAATCCGAATTATCCCAGAAAGGGTAAATCACCGGGGAGTCGCCATCCGTCCGTACTTCCTCTATTTGAATAGCATTTTAATAATTGAGGGGCGATCCGCCGTCTCGAAGGCTATCATTTGTAAGTATAAACGGTGGGAAGGTGAGGGGGGAAGGATTGATGCTCGCCCCTAATCGTTTCCGATCTTAATGATCCTCTTCAGGGCGGAGGCGCGTGGGACGACGATATCTCACATCACGGCATCGTAAATACCGAAAATGGGCGACAACCTGGACAGAAATCTCTTTACACTTACGACTCGAAGGCCCGGACTTCCTTTTACACCTGAAGACATCTCGGGTTCGCCTTGAGGTTATTGGAGCCAACGGATCCTTTAGCATGAAATTCGCTCTCTTGAGCGTTCCCAATAGGGACTGGAGAATCTTTGAAGATATTTTTCGTCCGAGGCGGATAAGAGTTAGAAGCTCTTCCCAGATTACAAAACACATAGCTTCCTAGTTTGTGACAGACGAATATCAAGGATATGAGCATCGCGTTTATTTAAAACAAGAGGATAGTGGGGCTAGGAAGTCGTGACCTACGCCAATCTTCGTCCCACTCCCGTAAATTAAAAGCGGTCGGTTTTATCGATCCTGCCCCCGCGAGCCTGCGCCCGGTACCTAGAACCTTCCCGGAACCCTACGGCGGCGACGGGATCCAGGAGACCCGAAGTTCCCGAAAGATCTCCTTCTGAAATGTGATAAGTCCGGAAATGCCGAGAAAAATACCATTCAAGACCATCTATGCCACGAGTGAGTATTCGCGTCGGGTTACGCCCAATGAACGACCAAAATGGAACATTTTTATTCCTGGAATGGATTTGATATTTCCGCTCGAGGTTTAAGAACTGCATGCGTTGGCCTTTTAGAAAATTTTCTTAACGAGTTATTAATCGTGACCTCAATTAACACTACGCGCTACGATGGAACTTCATTGTTCTTATTGTTACTACCTGTTAATCCGAGGTCCATTAACGTTCAGCCTTTTATACTAAACTGTCCCATAAATTGCAAAAATACTCAGTATCCTGCTTGTCTAAAGAGTTTATACAGAAAAAACTCCAGAACAATGGTAAATTTGATGGATCTTTTGGGCTTCAGAAAGGCGGAGTCTGGAAAATCAGATTTAAAATTTAATGGCATATTATCTTATGTTATGGGTAACATGCTTATAAATATTTTACGCCTCGGCTGGCGTAAACCGTAAATTAACAGACTGCGTTCCACACAAGGCATGTTTAACGAATCCAATTCTCCTTAATTAAAGTGAGACGAGTAGTTTTGAAAAGTAAACTTTAATATTTCATACGAGAAAATAAAGAACACTGTTTTACAATTATATAAGATTTAGGTTTTATTATTGGATTTTCATTTCAGGCGAGGATGAAAAGTTCAGGTGTTCGGAGCTTGACACCCAAGGGCCGACGGTACGCGGTTGGCAGAGCCAGAAGGACCCGAGTTATCCCCAGGACTTGATTCTCAAGCTTGAAAAACCCGTGTTCCTGACCCAAGTGCAGATTTTGGCCCATCAGTTCATGATACGTGAGTGTTACGAACAACTATCCGCACTTTGGTAGTTTGAAGGCCTGGGATGATCAGAAACGAACAAATTATTGGTTTATCTACGATTTATTTTCAGCTGATAGGATTGAGCTGTGGTCGTCGTCGTCGTCGTCCGAATCTCCTATATCGAGCCTCCCGTTCGACTACCTAGGATATGTCATACTAGGGGATAACCGATCCTCATCGCACAAAAGTAGAGAGCTCAAATCTGTAACGATACCGCCGTCCTCTGCCAAATCATCCCACATAAAGCTCACCCTTCTATCGAACCACGAAAACGAACTTAACGTGCATAACCAGGTATGTCTAAGCGGTTGAGAATAATTCTGGCTTTGCTAAAAATTCAAGAAACTAGGTCGGGCTGGTTGCGGTACAGATCCTCGGCGAAGACAAGGAAGAAGCGACTGAGGCGTCTATTTTCGACGACCTGTCTTTCGACATGTACGTTGATAGAGACGTGGCGAGGATCATCCGGCAGATGGAATGTCGAAAGTCCGAAGCTGTCAAAGGTGATCCAGACGCGTTTCCTTCGTCTCTTGTACTATAGATTTGTTTGGTATAGGTGAGCGGTTCAGATACGCGGCGAGGCTCAAATCCGCGATGCTCACCCTAAGGACTGTCGGAGAGAAGTTGGGCCGTCTCGAAGTGGGTAAATTCCAAGCGATTGCGAACGAAGACTACGCCAAGGCGAACAAGAAAAAAGAACAGATGGACATGCTGAGGAGTGAAACCTACGCCTCCCTCTGTGTCACAGACTTGCTCGAAGAATCCGGCGTAAGTGCATCTTGGATACATTCAATAGGCCTAGGCTTTTTAATTTTCATTGTTTTTCTTACTGAAAAGGCCCTTGCGAAAAACGACGCCCCGGGTTCCGACATCACCGATTCGAACACAACCCTCAGCGAAGAGGTCAAAACGCCAGACGTGCCTGTTCAAGAAAGCCAAAACACGCCAGTTTCCCCGCTCCATTACGCTCCAGTGTAAGTACGAGAACATCTATAATATGTCCGTCTTATATTAATTAGATAATTATCTCCCTCGAAGGATATCCAAAGGAGCGACGATTGTCCAGCCGATCAGGACAGGCAGCCTGAAAAAGAAGAAGCAACCGACCGCATCCCCGTCCAGTTACGAAGCCTACGATGAGCGTATAATTCCTGCTGCGCAAAGAAGGTGAATAGCAAAATTACCATCAAAATCAATTGTCATTTCCGCTATTCCGAATAGCCTTTTTTTAAATTATTGTAGGACGTATAAACTGTCAGTATCAACTGTCTACATCTTTACACTTTATCTATTTTATGCATCTCAATAAACAGCACATTTACAATTTTTAGATTTAGCTTGATAATATGCAGATCAGTGCAGAAGTATTTGATTAAACAAGAAAGCAAGGTTTAAATCACGATGGACAAACGTTCTGAACATAGTCCCAAAAGAATTAAACATGACCTCTTTTCTGACAGAATATAACTGACCGTTCTTTCATACGATAATTGTACAGAAAACTCTCTTCTATTTTCAATCTTTCACTAATTGGACAGGGCATTCTATTCTCATATACAATAATGTCAACAAACTACACTGTTCTGTCATTTAAAGTTTGAACTCTATGTTCTGTCTTCTGTTCTCCACTGATTGGAAAGCAAAACTTATATTTTGACCTTCAGTAACTGGACGGAGCACAATCTCCTGTTATACAATAATTGAAGAGCAGAGAGAGAGAGAGTTTGTTTTTTGCCCACCAAGAATTGGACAGAGAACTCTCTTCTGTATACCGTCTTCTAATAAATAGACAGCCTACTCTGTTCTGTCATACAATAATTGAACCGAGAACTCATTTCTGTCTCCTGTCATCCACTATTGGACGGGAGCTGGGTTCTTCGGGATAAACCCCAAGACCGAACTGTCTGTAAACCTAGGTAAATATGCTAGTTTTCCAGTCTGAAATCATAGCGATTGAACACTGAGCCAGGGAAATAAAAAGGCTAGGAATATATTCCCGTAAGAAAGACTCTGACAGCCACGCAGCACTTAGGGCCCTAGCCTCATGCTAGGCGAAGGCATAGTGTTTGGAACTGCATGGAAGTCAGCAGACCCTGGCATGGGTCCCTGGACATTCGGGGCATAGAGGCAACGAAAAGGTTGACATGTTGGCCAAAAAGGGGGCCTACATGGACTTTCTGGGCCCAGAACTCCTCTCATACTATAATTGAAGATAAGAGAGAGAGAGAGGAGAGAGAGAGAGAGAGAGAGAGAGACAGAGAGAGAAAGAGAGTGAGTGAGGGATATCTGTATTCTCTCTTCTATCCACCACTATTGGACAGAGCACTCTGTTTCTCTCCTGGAATAATTGTACAGTCCACTCTGCTCTGTCATACGATAATTGAAGAGCAGAGAGAGAGAGAGAGAGAGAGAGATCTGTGTTCTTTCTTCTGTCCACCATTAATTGGCTAGAGCACGGTCATATAAATAGCGAACAGAGTTTATTCTTGTGTCATCGAATAATTGAAGAACAGAGATATATGTTCTGCCCTACAATAACTGAATAGAGATCTCTCTTTTGTTTTCTCTCCTCCACTAATTTTACAGAAAACTTTGTTATGGCCTACAATAACTGTACAGTGAACTCCGTCCTGTCATACAATAATTGAGCAAGGCATTCTGTACTATCAAACAATAATTGAATGGAGACCTCTCTTTTGTTTTCTGTTTTCCACTAATTTGACAGAGCCCTCTGCTCTGGGCTACAGTATTTAAACAGAACCCACTGTTGTAATACAATAATTGAAGAACAAAAATTTGTCTTCTGGCCACCACTAATTGGACATTGGACAGATTCTGTCATACAATAATTTGAACAGAGCATACTGGTCTGTTCTACAATAATCAAGGAATATAGATCTGTATACTATCTACTAATTGAACAAAGAATCTTCTGAATAATCTCCTCCAATAATTTGACAGGGCACTCTGTTGTCAAACAATAATTGAAAAACAAAGCTCTATGTTCGGTTCTGTAAAAATTGTACATATAAATCTCTTATGTCTTTTCCACTAATTAGATAGAGTATTCTGTTCTGTCATACAATATTTTCAACAGAGCACACTGTCCTGTTATACAATAATTAAAGAACAGAAATCTGTCTTTTGTCCTCCGCTAATGGTAATAGAACTCTCTTCTGTGTACTGTCCTCCAATAAATGGACAGGCTAATCTGTTCTGGCCAACAATAATTGTATAAAATACTGTACAGAAGGACAGGTCAGAGGTTGTATGAAAAGGACAACCTGTTAGGCCAAATCTTCAGAAGATGGATGATGGTTCTATCATTTGTGGGCTTTGAATACAGAAAATACACTTTAGATAACCTTTTTCTTTAAAATTACCTATTATAAAAGTTAACTTTTAAAGTGACGCTGAATCTTCGTGAAGGTCTCCCAATTATTACAAAGAGAGATTGTATCACAGTGGGAGAATGTGTGGAACCGTTGAAGTTTATGTCGGTTAATTAATTTTTTTAAATAAATATTTTACACGATAATTAATTCAGCCCCCAAAACAGTTACATTATTTGTTTAACTCGCAGCGTCACGGTGAAGGAGACAACAACCAACATTAACCCCAATTGCCTCAAGATGAACGAGAGAGAAAAGAAACAGGCCTCGCTTCCCATTTCAGTATTTGGCATCGCACTTGTAAGCCAGAATAATACATTTTAGAGGCAAAATACATGAAAAGTGTATTTTAAATCGTGTTCGTAGGTTGAAAAGTTTTATTCGAGGCAGTACGTGGACAAGGAGGACGGTTTGAGAGATCTAGAATGTATTCTGGAAAGCCAGGAAACAACGAATAAGATATTCAGAGCGGCCACTTTCCTTCTTCACCGAGCCATCAGGGACAAAGTGCTTTCCGTCTACACAGTCGCTTCCAGTCTTGTCACTCAACTATTCAGTAGATACACCGGGCCAAGGTAATTGGTTTTTAATTGTTGTGTGTTGTGTTGGTTAACAACAAGGTTTTTACTTTCAGGGTGACTACTTCAGAATTGGGTCGCTCGGTTGACAAACTTCTCCCTGAGCTGTTTTCCAAATCCGGCGATCCAACCCCCAGAGTGCACAACCTAGCCGTCCACACCATCCTCACTATGGCGCATTCTCCACAACTTAGGTAGCTACTAGGAGGATGAGTTTCATCTTCGACTCTATTAACTTTATGTTTGTTTGTTAAGGAAGCTTAACATCATTCCAGTTCATCTGACGCGTGCTCTCACGGCCTCCACACACCCCAGGCTGGCTCTCTCAAAGCTCGAAATGGTAGAGCAGCTCATCCTCAGCATCGGGATTTCGACTGACAAAGCTAGCGGGATGACTGCCCGCACTCTTGCCGAATTCGGCGCGTCCGGGCTCCACCATCCGGCCGAGGCCGTGAGGAAGGTCGCTGAAAGGGTTCTCATACTCGTTTACAGGGTCAACCCTCGCCTTGTGAGAAAGCAACTTCCTCCAGACGACGACATCACAAGAAGGAACCTCCTGTACAGACAACTGATGAAAGAATTCGACAAGATAGATCTCGAAGTCAAAAGGTAAAACACGATCTTTGACTCAGACCGTCTCCTCACGTTTCGCCTTTTCAAGGATGGACCTAAATCGGGAAACGAGACAACACATAAAATCCTCAGTGAGTTCTTACGCAGCCAACATGAGCGAGAGTCCCGAAGTCGATCAGAACGTAGAAACTCCCAATTCCCTTCCTGGCAATAACAAGTGAGTATTTTAACTCTGTTGTTGTCGGTAATTTTTCATGAAATTTTCTACTTGGACAGGCACTGCATTTTCTGCTTTCAAACCTGCGAGCATTTGACCGAAGAGGGGCTGAACATCCATTACTGGAAATACTGCCCACTCTTGACCCGGTGCACCCACTGTCAAGAGGTATTTGAGAAAGTTTTGTCATAACGCCGTTACGTTTTACATCATCGATTTTCTCCAGGTGGTCGAGTGCACGGGGATCCACAACCATCTACTAAAAGACTGCGACCTGAAAGAACTCTACAGGCCGTGCGACAATTGTACCGAAGCGGTCGAAAAGGAAAACTTCGAGGAACACCTCGTCGAGTGCCAAGGTACATAGGATTTTGAAAATTAAAATATCGGCATAAAAGTTTCTTCTCAAAATCCCCTTTTTTATTTTCAAGGCATCAACAGGTGTCCGTTCTGCAAGACGCCAGTTGAAAACACAGACTTGTCCTGGAGGAACCACCTCCTAGACGGAAAAACTTGCCCCAAGCACCCTAGAGCCAAATTCATACTAAGATCAGGTAAATGATTAAAAACATGAACATTTAATATTTCCCAACTAAGGAAAAAAATTAGGCCATTTGATCTACCATATTCGTCTACATTACATCTTCAGCAGATCATCTGAGATGATCATCAAACATGTTTATGCATAATCGAATTGAAGATTGTAAGGGAATGTTTATTAACTATTTTTAAATTTCAGGTTCGTCGACACCAAGAGATTCAATCGCTGCGAATCTGAATTTCAGTTAAGGTCTTCTCTAAAAGAGTAAACCTCCAAAATTTAAAAAGTTCACGAACAACTAAAAACCGTGGCTGACTGCCACACAAAAAACAACATTCGAATATACTCAAAATTATATTTATTGTTAATAAAAAGTTCAAACTGATATTGTGATACTCCAATTTTCGAATTCCCAATCCGATTTCAGACCTGTCTACAAATCTACTTTCTATTTTCCAAATTTCTCAATGCGTTCAGGCCAGATTTCACTCTCCTTCTCCGCCACCCCTCCCCTCCATCTGCTTGAGCAGAAAAATCTATGGACCTTTGTTTGTTAGATGAGATTTCGTGCTATTCCTTATTTTTCCAGGGGGGGGGGGCGGAAGTCGAAAAAGAGGAAAGGCAGGAAACGAGGCTAACAATCCGTTAAATTGCCCCGCCAACGTTTATTACTCTTGGAAGCCCTTTTTTCCCTTTTGGCCCCGAGAGAACTGTGTTAAGTTCCGTTTTGTCACAAAGCTGTAAGCAAGGGACAAAGTTCCATACAGTCTGATGATACTAAAATAACCAAGGAAATTGGCCAATCTTTAAAAATTTATAACAAGTGAAGTTAAAACGAAATTTCAGTTGGAAATCAGCATTGAAAAGCGATTTTTAAAATATTGACCATATTTATTTTGTTTGTATTAATATATTATTAATCAGTATTACTGTCATAAAAGCCACTGTTGGCAGTGTAAGACCAAAAGGAAAAATGACAAATTCAAAAAATTCGTCTTTCTTTCGTATTTAATTAGAATATATAAAGTAATAAAATTTTAGGGGCGTCGGTGGCCGCAACGGTTTAGGCGTTGACTCGGAGCTCATCGCTGTAAGGTAAAGGTCCCGGGTTCGAATCCAGCGACCCTGCATTCGAACCCGACATACTTGCAAATGGGCTTTTTTTCAAAAACACCGGCACACCGAGGGTTGATATAACCTCTGATGTTGCGAACCCTCGTAAAAAAGTAAATTAATTAAAAAAAAAAATAGGTCGGGCCTTTGCCCAGAGATGAGCCATGGGAGATATAATTTCCATAACAGGCTTAAGTAATAACTGCTATCCACTGAAGATGTGGAAATGAAAATGCCAAAACGCATCTACAGGTAAATCAGCAAGAATAGGCGGGCCAGGATGATCGGAGGCTATCAAACTGACACCGCCATAATTCTAGACTAAACATAGGACTATCTGTCCTGACATTAATACTTTTGTGTGGTGTTTAGTCACACCAGACCGCATCTCACGATCTCCGAATAATTAATATTTTTAAAACTGTTTTCCTGATGTTTCATGGCTGTGGTTGTAGTTCATCGACGAATCATGGTCTGCTTATTCTCACCGGTATCAGACGCTTTTCGGCTCCGCCTTCATTGGTTGGTCTGTGTGTTATTCTGCCTGTTGTCTCATTTTATGAGATATCTGACATCTGAAGAAAACATTTAATGGACCGTTGACTAATCACTCAAAATCCAAAATCAACCGAAGGCGAACCAGGTTGATCGGATAATACCAAGCCAGGCAGCCATCCATCAGACCTCATCTTGTCTCACAATGATATATTAAACTGTCAGTTCTGAAATAAACCTTTTTAAAAACTGTTTTCCTACTGTCCCATTCTTGTGGTAGAAGTTCATCTATTCTCGCTGGTTTTACTGAAGATCATTCGACAGCCAAAACCGGCTATAATAGGTGGAAGCAAAAGCTTTTTTTTTTTATTACATTTGATATTTACATCTGTAAATATTATACGAAGTAAACATTTTGTATATATGTTGAATTTGTCGTTCTCTTAAGATTAGTCTAAAATTGTGAAATATTGTGTTTGTGCCAGCTGGATGGTGTCTGATCATCCTGGTCCGCCGATTCTCGCTGTTTTTGCCTGTAAATACGTTTTGGCGTTTTCATTTCCACATCTTCAATGGATGGAGATTATTAATTAGTGTCTCTTATGGAAATTATGCCCCCATGGCTCATCTCTGAGCATTGGTCTGATACTTTCATGTTATGTTTTGTCTTAAAACACCTTTTATCTCTGTTCGCTACAGCAGAGGTCACATAAACCCTCGATGTTTTACTTTTTTTTTTAATTCGAACCTGGGACCTTTACCTTACAGAGTGAGCGCCGTGTCAACGCCTAACCCTTTGCGGCCACTGTCTTCCTTGAAACGTTTATTCTATCTGGTTTTGTTCGTTAGGTGCTTTTCGGCTCAATGATAATTTCAAATTGGTTGGTTTGTGTTCTATTCTGTAGGTTGTGTCCTATTATGAGCCTTCAGAAGAAGACAGTTAATGGAACATTGGCCAACCACTGAACCATCATCTGACAGCCAAAACCAGGGAGAATTGGCGGCCCAAGATGATCGGACACTATCAACTGACATCGATAGAATACTTCACAATTCTAGACTAAACTTATTACTACTTATTCTGAAAACAATGCTTTCAAAGCGTTTTCCTTTTGTTTCATGCAGTTGTAGCTTCATCGAATTCAATAATGGTCCGCCTATTCTCGCTGGTTTTGTCTATCAGGCGCTTTACAACACCATCTTTATCAGACGGTCTGTGTTATATTCTGGCGGTTGTGTCCTATTTTGAGACGATGCATTAGAAGAAGACTCAATGGATTTGTTGACTAACCACCAAAGGTCATCTGGTTTTGTCTATGAAATACGAATTTAGGGGCTCCATCGTCTGTCGATTTTTCAGCTGTATCCTTTTATAAGGTGTCATCACCTCAGAAGCAGGCATTAAATGAACCACAGGTTAAGAAGAATCAGAGATGATCAAGCAAATAGATGGTTTCTAGGTCAATTTTCTTGCCAAGTGGGTCAGATGAGGGAGGGCCATTTTACGATATTCCTTCGCCTCATCCCCGTGGACCAAAGCGTTTCGCCACGATTACGGCAGTTTAGATGTTGTTTTTTCTCCGGTCGTTGAATTTCGTCGTTTTCCCTCTTCGGCCCGCTGATTTCCCCGGATGAAGCCTCAAAACGGACGGCGATAAAAGGCAGAGATTCGATCTCGACGATCCGCCTGACCGTGAATATCTGGCCTCAAGGATCAGCATAGGCCCGGTCCGCGGTGCTGATGGATAAGGAGCAACTTGGCCGATAGATTTCTAAAAATCGGTATCGAATAAACGGGCGAAAATAAATATCCAGAAAAAAATTATCAAAGAATACCCTCTAACAAAAATTGAAAGCTGGCGTCTACCTAAAAAGAAAACAGCCAAAGAGTTTAAAATTTGGTTATCAGTTTTCTTGAAAAGTATAGACGGCCTGAAAAAGTTTTGTCTTTTTTTAACGTTAACAACAGACCCACGAGGTTATGAGTCGGACATCTTTATCACCCAACTCAGAATAGGCCATACACGGTTGACACCCAATACATTTGGGAGACAAAACGGTGACTATAGTTAGACCTGGGTGATTGTAGATCAAGTTACAGGTTCATCACCTTACAAACTTCACAACAGTTTCTATATATCACATTTTTCCTTGTGTCATTATTTGAAACATTTTGTTTTTGCCATCTTCAGTTTGTGAAATTAATGGATGTCAAATCAAAACATTAAACAGGCAGACCATCTTTGATCAGAACGACCAATGTTCAACCCATTACTAAGTTGTGGTATCCAAGTTCAACTGCCTGTCTTGTTTATTAACTTTTAACGGTATTTGAAAGGGCATTGTTCAATGAAATGGATTTTTTTTTTAATTTCCTCCGATGAAGAAGAAAAGTAAGGTAACAAAATTCTCGTCAAATAGGTGGGCTTAATGTCCAATGTGGGTGCCACGGACGAGGAGTCAAACCACTTTATAATACTTCATACTATTATTAGTTAAAAATCCACGGGCTGCCAAGATTTGTGCCCAGGACTGCTAGCATGGCAAAATACAAGTAGGACACCCTAACCACTCGGCTACCACAGTTTCTTTTAAAGTTGTGGTAACCAGGTTCAACCACCTGTCTGGTTTAGTAACTTTTTATAAGTAATTTAATGGACAATAGCCAATAAAATAGCTTATGATTTTCAAAATTTCCTCCGTCTAAGAAGAAAATGTTTACATGTTTGAAATAGTTAACAATTCTTAATTTGCTATTATGTTAATTTAATCTTTTTCCTAACATAGCTCAATTTCCTTAGTAGATTATAAAACCCAATGACGCAAATAAGTTTCTCTATGCTAAACAGTAGAATTTAATTTACAACACTTATCATGCTATTTTACCTATTTTATTATTTAAATTGCCAGCATTCAGGTTGATGGCACTATGCTTATTCTTAGGCACAGATTTTTTAAAAAAAGTTCAAATCTTGATAAGAATTTCTCAAAACTGAAAAACTAGACTCAATGAGGAAAACTAAAACTGAAAAAAGGAGATGTGTTCAGAAATAAACTAAGAATGTGAATATAATACAGCATTTTCTATTATTTAACCTTAAAACTTACAACATGTAAAAAAAATAAGAAATCACGATCATTGCATTTTTTGCCTTCCTTAAATTCCCCCCTGAAATCAATTCAAACAATAAGGAGTGAAGTAAAGTTCTTCTTTCCCGGCCACGCTTCTTTGGCGTAGATCTTCTTCGACGGGGTGGCCGAGGTCGAGGAGGGGTTAGGAGCAGGCGGCGGAACTGGGATTTGAGGTAACGGGGGTTCTTCGCTCTCTTCCTTCCTGCTAGGCGCGAGGTCGATGTCGGGAGCCGGGTCCGGCAGTGAGATGCCCAACCTCGAAGCGAGCACTGAACTGAGAATGGGATTGTTGCCCCGTTCCGCATCCAGGTGGGTGTGGGAATGCGGGAGGAGATCGCCGTACAGAGAAGTACCTGCACCGGATGGTGACTGCAGATGCTTTGGGTGAAGGTGAAGACCACTGCCCATTTGCTTATCGTCAGATGTCAAACCTGATGTCACCCCAATTCCATCTAAACGCTGGCGCTAGAGAAAACAATTATTCCTAATTTAATTTATATTATTATATAATTATATAATAATTGTTCTCTTTTTTTTCGACCTTGTTGATATAAAACTTTTTTATAGGCAATCATGCTGTTTATTTTAAATATTGATTTAATTTAAATATTAAAATTTAGTTATTGCCAACCATCAGTAACAACCTAAATTCAGGTTCAACCACCTGCATGAAATACTGAATAAAAAAAATACCTTTCCAGGGATGACAGTGGTGTGAACCATATTTCTAAATCGTCCGACAGTCGGGTCCACATCTTCAGGATTTATGACTTCCTGATCTTCATTAAAAGTAACCGATCTCCGTTTCTTCTTAGACCTCGAAGTCGAAGCCGAATCCACTTCTTCCCCGATGCCAAGCATACTTATTCGCCGATTGTGTGCTGTATTGAATTCAGTCAAATTCTTTAAAAAAAAAAAAAAAAAAAAAGCAAAATAATTAGATTGGTGTTAAATTGCATGTACACACAAAGACAAAAACTGGGCACTTTATTTATTTATTTTCCATAATAACTAGGTATAACTATTAATAGTTTTACTTAAAACATGAGTACAACATTAATGTGTTGTTTACCTTTATAGTGTGAGTAATCTTTTTTTACTCTTTAGATTAAAAATAAATAAAATCAGTTCAATTTCATCCTTCCCAGTGCCAACTTGTTGAGAGAGTTGTTTTTTTAAATTGTTTTCTTTGATGAAGCAATAAATTTGAGTAAAAAATAATTAATTTTTCTTTTATTCGTCTTATAAGTTGTTTTTTATGCTGTGGTCGATGTGCTTCATTTATTGGGGACAATTTTGTGTTAATGCTCGACCAAACATAGCTCGAATTGTCAATCATTACTTGGAGGATGTAAGGATTACCATAAGTTACCAGTTCCTCCTCGGATTGATGACAATCGACGGTCTTCAGGTACATCGGTGTCAGAGGAGATTTTTCTGTGGCTATTTCTTTTCTCAAAAAATAATTAAAATAAATAAATAGATAAATAATAATAATAATGGGGCGCCACATTATTTTTCTCTTTTTGGGAAAAAGTGAACTTTCAGAGTGAAATTGAAAATAAATAAATTAATTAATTAATTAATTTCATTAAATTAAATTACCTATATTAAAAAAAAATTGTGTAAATAAAATAAAAGTCCGAACTTCATCTTGCTCCTTTCCTCCCATCACAGCTTGGTTCTTTCCCATTCACAAACTCTCTGCTCCACAACGGCAAAAAGAAAAGTCCCCAGATTAAAATAAATTAAATCCTTTTTCTTCTTTTTCGTCCAACTCGTCCACACCTATGCATTCAAGCCTGAGCCAAGCCTATTCTTGCCGGCAGGCCCCACTCCTCAAACGATGTCCCAACTGAGCCCAGGCTGGGCCTCCTTCTGCTTCTAAAGACCGCCCGCGTGTCTTTGTCCTTTTGCTGGCTTCGCTCAACCTTGTTGATGGCACCCTCATTTCCGTCAGAATCCTGTCATCCCAGTGCAAAAAAAGGTTTTCTTCTTCTTATTTTCCACTTGTAACAACAATGAATTGGCCAGCATGTTCTCCTGACATGAATTCCACAGAACACTTATAGGACATGATAAAGTGACGGGCTAGACTTCATTCGCCGCCTCCAAGAATCGTTGAACAGCTTAACTAATGTAATGCTACTCAACATGGCCCGACGCCACCCAACGCAAATCCAATGTCAGATTGTATTACCCCTGTGCACATCTGCCCGATGCCGTGCAACACTGTCCTATTCTACGCGATGCAACCAAGTTCCCTACTGTCCAGATTTTCATCAAGTAGTATCGAGTACAGTCGAAAACAAAAGAACCGTACACATATTTTTATTTCAAACTATTTGTATTATTGTCATTATATTAATTACAACATACTTGTTTTATTATAAACCAAATTAAGCAAGATCAAAAATTTAAGAATTTTCATTTTTTTTTTTTTTATTTCAAAGGCTCGGCAGAAAATATACCAAAACACTGGAATACCATTATTGATAGAACGAATTTAACTAACAATCTTTCAATTAATTAAGGTTATTAGTTGAGATAAAAAAATCAATGTCACGAGCGGGATTCGAACCCACAACCTTCGGCTAGATACGTCGCTACTCTACCACTTGAGCTATCATGACTTTGATCCACTCGGGCACTAACTTCCCACTTTTTTATCTCAACTAAAAACCTTAATTAATTGAAAGATATTAATTGGTCAAGCGGACCACAAAAACTAGTAGAATTAACTAACCATTTTTTACATGGTTTTGTTAATAATTTATTAATAATTTAACTAAATTTTATTGCATGGTTTGGCTAATAAAATTTAACTAACAATGTATTTCATGGTTTTGCTCATAAAATTTAACTAACAATTTGTTATATGGTTTTGTTCAAAAAATATAACTAGCAATGTATTACAAGGTTTTGATCATAAAATTTACTACAGTTTTGTTAATAAAATTTAACTAACAATTTATTACATGTGTTAGCTCATAAAATTATACCATTTTTGTCGTGTAGCATCAGAACTGGACACTCTTGTTATTACCATAAACAAGATCAAAACTTCATGAGTTTTTATAAAAATTATTCACTTATGGTGGTTAAGCAGAAAATGTATTCAAACACAGGAATATCATTTATTGATAAAACGAATTTAACTAACGATTTATTACATGGATTTGCTAATAAAATTATTACCCCGTTTGGCTAATAAAATGTAACTAACAATTTATTTCATGGTTTTGCTCATAAAATGTAACTAATGATTTATTACATGGTTTTGTTCAAAAAATTTTATTAACAATTTATTACAAGGTTTTGAACATAAAAGGTAACTAAAATTTATTACACGGGTTTGCTAATAAAATTTAGCTAACAACTTATTACATGTTTTTGCTTATAAAATTATACCATTTTCGTCATTAGCATCAGTACCGGACACTCATATTTTTTGTTATTCTCATATTATTAATTACAACATGGTTACATTAATGTAAACCAAATGAAACAAGATCAAAACTTCATGAGTTTTTATACAAATTATTTACTTATGATGGTAAGGCAGGAAAATTTCAAAACACTGGAATATCATTTATTGATTAGATCAAATTTAAGTAACAATTTATTATATGGTTTTGCTCATAATAATGCATTAAGAGCAAAAGAGGCGTTGCGATTGTGATACTGATTTGTTATACACGCTGTGCGATTATACGTGGCGTGCGCTTGATGTCGATCAGATGTGTACACCCTATCAAAACAAGCCAAGGCATTGGGTAGCGTCGGGTAAGTGTGCTCCCCGCTTTAGGGTGGTGGAGTACTCGATATTTCTCCATCACTATTATACAACTAGCCTAACTGAGGGTCGAGGGTACTTGATATTACCCTGTCTTAAATAATTATAATTGTAGTGTGTAATTAATGCAATTCTAAAAATGTATAGTTTGAAATAAACGACAATACACAAGTATTGGTTGTTTTTTCCAACTTACATCTAGTTCCGCAGTGGTTTCAGTCAGCCCGAGCATGGCGGCGCCTTGAGATGTGGCTTCTCCCCTTTCCAGTTGGTCTATTACGTTTCTAGTGTTGCCCTGCGGCCTCTCCCTCATAACATAGTCCCTCGTCGAAGCGCCAAAGTGGAAACTGGCGTTCGGTGGGAGTTGCGTCGGTTTGTTCGCCTCAAGACGAAGGCTTCCGATAAAAGTGCCATGTGCTATTGAAAAAAAATAACAATACTTTAAAAAAAATAAATAAATAAATAAACGTGAAGATATGAAAAACTTACTGCTTCCCAAATCGACTAAGAAGGCTCGCTGTAAATGGCTGTGGTAGACGAATGCGGCGTGGACTCTTGAACAAGACGCATGATCCAAGCAGAAGTCATTCATCTGAGGATTTCTCCCAAACAAATAACATTTTTTCTCATCGAGCATTAATTTCTACAAACAAATTTTAAAGGGCTGAATTAAAAATTTTGAAAAGCGAGATTTCTAAAAATAATAAAGTGCGTATTTTTAAATGTAATACTGTAATATATTACATTGTTGAAAACTAAAGTTTTGAGTCTGGAATGAAAAGATAATTACCTGAACTAGTTTATCGTCTTTCATAACGTCCAGATGAGTTCCAACGGGTGGTTTTCCAGCCCTGGAAAGCAGAAATAGCACAGTAAATAGCAATTTACAATAGGAGATTCGGGCTATATCTGTATCGGCTTACCATTTCGGTATATCGTAGTGGTTCGCCATGATCTTGGAAAAAGCCTCAATACAATTTTTTAAATTGAAACTAAGGCATTTCCCGTCCTTTCGGGCTTTTCACTTCAACTTTAAACACAAAAGCCGGGTATAAAACCTCGGTCAAAAAATCAACATAAAAAGCCTAAAAAAGAGCAAATCAAAATAACACGTATAACAGTCTGGGTAAACTCGCGTCTACGCCGTTGACACGGTGTACACCCAAAACAATAAACTTTCCACAATTATTACTAATTAAAATTTAAATACATTTTTTGTTAATAAATAAATTTTTTGTTTATTTGCTATTTTTTATTTCTTTATCCTTTAGAATTTTTTCACATTTCACACTAAATTATTTAAGAAAAGGAGGTTACGGCAAGGTTTCTCTTAACAAAGCGTTTTCTGACTATTACCTCTGTGGTCGTCCTTTAATTTTCGAACGGCAAAATCTTTAAAATAATAATAATTTAAATTACTTCTAAGGAGATTACAAATTTTCCAAGTTCTCGACATGGACAAGAAGTCAGAGGAGAAAAAAACCGACTTGGGTCTTTTGGAGGAGGACGATGAGTTCGAAGAATTTCCCGCTGAGAGTGAGTTATTTCCATTATTTGCAATAAATAACCCATCCGGTCCGTGATAAACGGTCGTTTGACCTGGTATGTTGAGACTAAAGGGATTTACATTCATCATCGGGATTCCGTTGGCATCAGCAGTCGATCGTGCTTGCCTCTACCTCGAGGCGTATGAAACAGTATGATATGCCATACTTCGGAAATGTCGGGTCATCGGAATCAGAGTAAAATTACCTCGTTTCATTGAGGCTTTCCTGAGGAACCAAAAGTTCCTTGTACTGAGTTCGATGTTTTTTAGTAGGCTCAGTGATAAGACTTATAGTTTTTTCAATTGCTATAAACTGTAACGCAATACGTTGTACATTGATGACCTCTGTTTTACCTATGGTCTAAATGGAGGGCTGGAAGAAACGAGGAAGCCGGATTCCACAGTCCTCCGCCGTCTGAGCGGTGCCATGATAGGGTAGTTGGCGAGCTTCCTCCGCATGTTTGACCAAAAGTTAAGATGGCAGCCAAACATTTTTACAAAAAATAGTAATAATAATATACTTTATTATTATTTGTATGGTACATAACAATTAAATAAGAAAAAAACAAAGTATTATACAGCATGGAAAAAGAAAATCCATCTGGCAGAGGTCACTGGATAATATAAAAAAAGCAAAAGTGCCCTTTTTTTACAATTAAAGGAAAAAGTAAGAACTACTTAATAAGGAAAACAAAATTTAAAGAAAGCAATGAAGATAAAAGAAAAACAAAAATTAATTAGAAATTGAATTCCACCACTAATTCATGCCGGTAGTGCCAGGCATATTGAGCATATTTAATTAAATTCCTAAACTTATACTTAAACAGAACATTAAGCTGGTCTTTTGCTACTACCGAATAATTCAAGTGTAAACGACATATTTCAGACAAAATAGTGCATTCCGCCAAAAATGAATATCCTCCCTAACACCATCCATTTCCCAGTCCAAAAAGGGGCACCATTATCACCTCTGATATTGAAAAGCCAGCGAAGTTCACCCAAAGACAATCCTTGCGAATTATCTGTAATTAAGCTAAGCATACCTGCGCTGCTACCTAACTGCCTGTAAAATAAGAAACGTGAAGTAGACGAGACTCTTCCCTGGAGTGCAAAAACAAATTCTAATTTTAAATTAACAAGTATTTCTGTAAAATAGCGGGCAAATTGTTTACAGTATGTGTCGAGAAGAGTTCACATGACAGGACATTAGAGAGGTCATTCCACACTCTAAACCAGAGTACATCACGATTAATGATTTCAAGGGCAACTATTTTTGACAAGCGATAATCTGGGAGTTTCATTATTTTTAATATGCGTATACATGTGTAATAAAAAATAGTATGTATGCTGCAATGTAAACAAGTACAACTGGCCTAGTCCGGTCTCTATATATAACAAGTAATTAGGTGTTGGTTAAGGCAAATAACTTTCTTATGAAGAAGCGTTGAATCTTTTCCAGCGGCTCAAACCTTTCATAGCCTCGGACCTGAGCAGCATAACAGAGGATCGAATGGCATATTGAATTAAATATTTTTAATTTTGTTGGCAGGGGAATGATGTCTTGTGAAAAAAATAAAAAATTTTACATTGTTTGTGACTTGAATTTGGTTCAAAATAGTAAAATAAATCTATTTTTACAAAAAATTAGCTTCCCTACAGATCCTTTTTAATGGTGAATTTATTAACTTTTAATAACAAAATTTTTTTCTTCTTTTTTTTTGTAGCCCAAAAATAGGTTTGGTTGTAAAACATTTAAAAAGTTTTATTTAATTCTACAAAAACATTTATTGAGCAAAGAACAGAATTCAAAAAATTCACAAACAAAAATGTTTTTAAAAACTTTTGTACCCCTTTAATATCGAGTAATCTCTGTATTATTCATCAGTAATCATCTCTGGTACAAATAGCATCTGTTAAACGTCTTTACATTCCTTGAAAAAAATTTCGAGTAAAATAATGAGGAATTCTTTCCCATTTTTTTACATCCCACAGCTGTTTACAACTCTTCTAGGGTTTTAAGACTTGGTTTCCCTGTTGTACAAGTCACTTAAGTTGGTCCCAGATGTTTTCGATTGGGTCCAAATCTGGACATTGAGCTAGCCACACAGAGTTCTCAATTCTAACCCATTTAGGTAGTCATGCACAATACGTAAGTGACTTAGCATAATCCTGTATTAGTAAGAATCTCTCAGTAGTATGGGTGGGGGAGCAAATGGCATTAATATCCTTTGATTTTGTCTTGTAAGTACCGCCATGAAGTTAGAGATATTTTTCGCACAACAACCGTGCGAGCGTCCAAGGAAATGTCATCCCAGAACATCAACATAGAATGGCATCTGAGGAACCATAGAGCATGGGGCTACCTTACCCCTAATCGTAAACATATGAAATTACGCCCATCTGAAGATTCGAGGCCAACTCTCACCTCATCTGTAAAGAGAACTCACCTCCAATCTTCCAATGCCCAATCTCCATGCGAATTGAAGCCTGGCCATTTTCTGAACTGTGGTAAGAAGAGGTTCACGAGGTGGGTGCCGAACCCTTAGGTTATTTTCATTGAGCCTTCTTACAGTCCTGGAGGAAATTGAAACATTTCAGACTTGTCATCAGATTTCTTATCTCTTTCCTGTAATACTGTGGTTTCTTAGTGCCTGATTACAGATGTATCTATCGTCTCTCTCATCCGAGTAGTGTAGACTAGGTCGACCCTTTCCTGGTTTTATAGTGTTATGCCCTGTTTCTCTCAAGTGCCAAAGAATCCTTCCTATTGTAGTGTTTTACACTCAGGTTACTTGTTACTATTGCAATGGCTGTACCCTGACACTGTCATACTCATATAGAATGGCCTGACAGGAGCCATTGAAAAAGTTTTAAGAATAAGAATAATATCAAATCAACGAAGGATAAAGATGAACTGAAAGTGATCTTTAGGCATAGCAGAATGGAAGGGCATAATGCTACTTTTTGGGCAAATGGGATTAATCAGTACAAAAATAAATAAATACAAAGCATTGTATACTATTTATTTTGGCTATGATAATTCCTAATTACCTGTAACTAATGTAGAAATATAATGAATTGAATTTGAAATTAAATAAATTGAGTGGTGCGTTAAATTTGTTCATCAGTGTATTTACAATTAAAACAATATTTATCAATAATATTTTAACAAGTACTAAATAACAAGGAATGTTATACTTCAACGATATACAATTTTCAGACTGGACAGGAAAAGATGAGGATGAGACCGACATCAATATCTGGGAGGACAACTGGGATGATGAGAACATTGAAGATGATTTTTCATCCCAATTGAGGTGTGCTTTATTTCAGTACTTTTTTTTTTTTCCAAACTGGTCTCTTTTTAATTCATAAATTTAATATTTAAATTGTACTTTTTAGGGCTGAGCTGGAGAAGCAGAGAACAATCCCAGTAAAAAAGTGATGCGCACTCCCCCCCCCCATTTCGTGTAAATTTGATAAATTATGTTTATTATTTCTTTTTATTTTCGTATATTCTTAAGCAAACAAGAAATTTGTACAAGTGTTGCGAATAAATATTTTTTTCAATATATATATTTTTAAATTATCAACCTCTTTATACTTCCATAAACATTTTTTTAAGATAAGACGGTACGAACAATATGCAATACTAAACTACCCTCCTTTTGATCTCAATTCATTTTTTTTTTTTAATTACAAAATTAAATTTACTAAATGAACAACATACTTCTGAAATACTGTGTTCAGGTCTGTAAATGGAACTAGCAGCTTCATCATCTCTCAAACTTGACAATTTTGTTTTGATGTGATGCCATATTTAATGTTTGGTATGTGTATTATTTGTTATTATATTTATATATTCGTAAAATGTGAAACCTTTGTTCTCAGTAGTCCTACTGCAGAAGTTGGCCTGAAATTTGTCGTAACAGACATATCAGTGAAAATACGGAGGTGATCAATGGCAATCGACTTACTAACGTAACTGAGATTTCTTGTTTAGGTGATGAGCCTTTAACTAGATCATCTTATCTTTGTCTCGCAAAATGATCGGTGAAAATCATCCTGCTATCTCCGATCAATCTGTTTGTCTTGACGCTCATTCAAAAATTTTGTAATGCTATTATCACGAGTCTAAGATCAGTGACGATCGGCTACAAACTTAACAGAGATTTGTCGTTAAGGGTTTACAGGTTCATGAGCCTGTGCAGCTTGATTTTCTGTTTGTCTTGACTAACCATTAGATTTCATCATGTACCGAAGATCTGTGCAACCAGCCTAAAAACCCGATTGTGCTTAAATTGTTAAAACTTTTTGTTAAGTCTATAGCTCGATTGTTTCCAATCATTCTTGATCCACTTTTTCTTGCTGATTTGGTTTGTCAGATGATTTTTATGGGTTTGAGTTGTTTTTTTCTCAATGTTTGTCAGGTTTGTCATCTTTCTACATTGATTTTATAAAAGGTTAATTTAAAAAAAAAAAAAAAAAAAAAAAAAAACTATTTTGTACTCTCAAATATATATTTTACAAATAAGTACATAATCAACCATATAATTATATATTTCACTTATTTCTATTTAAAAAAAAACAACTTAAGAATATATATCTTAACATTAAAACAAACTTAAAATATTTTATTAGCCAACATATTTAATACAGAATCAAATATGTTTTTATATTAAAAAACAAAAAGAATATAAAATACTTCCACCGTCAAAGAAAAAAATCAATATAAACTTGTATAGCTAATTGAAAGCATAGAACAATAGTGTCTCTAAAATTTAGGATCTTGAAAAATAACAAGCGAAACTGTAAAAAGGTCTTTCCCAATTAAATTTACCCCGTTTACTTAATAAAAAATATATATATACGTAAACTGTATGATTGCTTTATGAATAAACCCTATGTGTAATATACTTTTTAATAAATTACATATAATATATAAACAATATAATATATGTAAAAGGTAGTGTTATATATAAAGCTTACTGTACTGCGTTAACATGTTAAAATTTACTTTTTCCTGGAATGTTTGAGAGTCGGTTTTCTGTATGGTTAAGATGTTTTGTATTTTTTTGGGGTTTTTTTTCAAATCCGATGCTAGGCTACAGTTCACTTCTTGGGTTGTTGGATGATGTTGGCACGGGTGGTGTGCTGCAGCTCGTGGCTCGGTTGCGGCTTCTGATGAAAGCTCTGAATCGCCTGCGCCGGGAAATCCTGATTTCCGCGTACCGGCGCTCCAGATATCGACACTGTCTTTTCAGTGCTATAACAAAATCTCAACTTTAAACAACAAAAATCATCTTTCAATTGCGTTTTAATGAGATGAAGGATGAATACGCCTATATATTTTTTATTGTTATTCCGAGATCTATGACATAAATAGGACACACAAGTTTTTAACAAGGAGAAAATAAAATAAATTCGTCCTATCGCCAAATTAAATTTTGACAATTGCAATACACCAAGGGAGAGAAAAAGCGACCACCCTTCACGTTTTGACACTTTAAATGTAACAATAAAAAGCTGTATTTACGGCTTCGAAATGAAGAACAGAAAAAAAATATCTGTTTTCATAACAGTTGCAAGATTTATTGTCCACCAAGTGGAAAAAGCTTCCATTTTAAATGCCCAGCGCAGACCCAACCTAAACCCTCTTGAACTGCATCTGGCATTTTATAAAATCAATGGCCCTTAGATTAAGGCAATAAGACCTGGAACGTTTTTACTCTAGCAGAGATGTTGAGGTTAAGAGACAAAAATCAACAATGAATCTTGTATTTCTTCATTGGATTTTTCTTAATAGTTGCAAGATCAAACTTCCAGAAAAAAAAGAGGTTCAATTTTTACATTCTTTTTTTTTTTTTAATGTCCAGCACTAAGACCCATTGTAAACTATAAAGCTAATGAAGACAATATAACCCTAGAAGTGTCAAGAGGAAATCATTTAGGGTTTCAAAATGAAGAACAGAAAAAACTTCCAAATGATTTAGAATATTGGTTTTCTTAACAGTTGCAAGATTTATTGTCCAGCAAGTGGAAAAAGCTTCCATTTTAAATGCCTAGCGCAGACCCGACCTAAACCCTCTTGAACTGCATCTGGCAACATCAGTACATATCATTTATGAATGTAAACCATAAGCCCTTTTTTGGTACACTTAGTTTCATACCAAATGAGATCCATGAAGAGTGCCAAGGAAAGTCCTCAGTTTTATAAAGAATAGAGCATTTTACAATGTATGGTTATAAGCAAGAGGGGTTCTGCACCAACCCCAAACCCATTATAAAAAATAAAAATAAATAAATAAAAAAAAAAAAAACATTTTTACACTCTGGAGAAGCTATTGAGCTAGGTGGAATGGTTTAGTCAAAGATCACTATGGAAGCTTGCTCTTCTTCGTTGAGGGTTGTAAGGTTCCTTTCAGAAACTGGAAAGAGCTTCCATTTTACATTCAGTACTTGTACAGCCATTCTAAACCCCATCTATACCCGGCATGTTTTAAAATTAATGGCCCCAAGACTACAATAAGGCCTGGAACATTTTTATTCTAGCGAAGATGTTGAAGTTAAAGCACACGTCTCTAAATCTGGGTTTCCTCTGAGCAAAAAAAATCACTCATGCAACTAAACGCGAGAAGTACTCACGAAACATCATCTCAGATTAACATTGAAACAATGTGAGCCATTAGTTGTGCGAGGCAAGCATGTCGTTTATGTTACGCAAACTGGTTGCATCAGGGTTTGCTATCATGGCGATATACAAAAGAAAAATGAACGTTGAATTGGGTTTTATTATTTTATTTTTTATTATGAGTTATATCTTTAGCATCCCACAAAAATCAGTAGCTGTGATACATTCAGACAAGTCAAATGCATTCCTCCTGGTCCATTCTCATACTCATGACAAGCGCGTTTACACGGAAATGATGCGTACTAAAAAAAACCAACAGCCGGTCAGCTCACCCCATAACATCCTCGTGCCAAAAATTTTGCAGTTCCAACTAGGCCTCCACAACGCAAGACAAGTTTTGCAAAACAGTTGCGTGAGACAGTTTCACGCAGTGGAAACCCAGCTCAAGGAAGTAGCACCTCTTCACAGAGGTTTTCATAACAGCTGCTTCTTTTGACACTTAAGTGTCTTTTATAAAGGCAAATTGGGAACAAATCGCTTGTTTTGCAACTACCTATAGACAAAAATCACAAGTCTATGGTCTCCCAGCTAGAAAGGAAAACTTGAAACATATTACAGAACATCAAAAACAGAGAATGGAATGTTTGCTCTGAATCTTGTTTCTTGCTTGCATATTTTATTTCCAATCATAAGTAGCATATTTTCAAAATCCATGGTGGCTAACCAATGCGAAATTTATTAAACCTGAACTATCCTCTAATTTTAATTTTTCCAGAAGAGCCAATCCAAATGTAGGACCGTAAGCTAAAAGGTTCCTTGTCCACCAACGTTTAAGATTAATTTTCAAAAATTAAAACCGCACAACAAGCAAAGCCGCAGGTGGCACCACAATAAAATGTACCTGAATGTACAGAAATATAAAGTTATGACATACAGTAGAAATACAAACAATTAACTATACCTATCAGATTGAAGGTGTTACACTAGAAAGAGTGGAAGAAATTTTGGTATTATATTACCAAGAGATTTAGGTATTACATAAAGCTACAGCCATATTAAGTCATATTACAGAAAGCTGTCTTTTGATGTACACATGAACTACTTGACATGGGATTTCTTTACGAGCTATTAAATGGGACAATAAATTGTGATGAACTGCCAAGATAAAATTCAATGTGCCTAGTTTCAATTCGAGAAATTATTATGTATTCTATTACCAAATGCATTCTACAAACTACCTGTTAATGAGTCCTATTAATCAGCTCATGATAAAAGGCAACAAATTCAATATGGATTGGTTCCATGACAATTTTTATCAGGTCAAAAAACTATTGCATAAGTTATCATTGTAAATCATTGTAGATGTTGTAATGGGCATTGACCCATGTATAAATAAATAAATGAACTGTCTACAGACGAAATCGGTGATTTGCCTATAGACAGTCACGCCGTTTCGTCTACGAGTGTATACTAGCCTTCCCAAAATAAACTACACCTAAAATCAATGTATTATTGAAGGTAAGTTGTCTTCATCATCTTCATCAAGATAATAATGATTTGACTGAAATTTTTTCCATGGTAGTGATTTTTTTTCTAAAATAACGTTTTAAAAATATTAATGGTGGCTGCTTTTTTTTTCCTCCTTGGTGTATATTTTTAAATATTGTAGCGATTTGTTCAATCTAACAAAATCGTCCATACAGGAAGTGTATTAAAAAAAAAAAAAATCACATATGGAAGGCAGAAAAAATAATCGAAAAAATATCTTGTATCACGCCCAAAAAAAAAACTGTTACTCAATAGGTTAAACATTTATCTATACGGATCTTCTTGGCTAATGTTTTTCCTGTAAAGTGCAAACAGACAGATAAATATAACAAAAACGTGCGTTGCAAGCAAACACGCGTCCTTGAACATTCAATTCCCATTTTTATTTTTTATTTTAATTCAACTGCGTAATAGCTAAAAATGTTAAAGTATTGAAATGAATTAAACGGCAAAATTATGCCAATAAAAATTAATCTTACGGCTGTGGGATCTTCAGTGGGTTGTTGATCTCTTCGTCGTTGAGCTTGACGTCCGAAGTCTTGGTCGTCTTGTGCTGTGTGATCCTCATCCCACCAGCTTTGACTTTAAAAGATATCATCGTTAAAAAAATAATTAATTAAAAAGTTATATTGTTTTTTTCAATTATCCATTACCAGCTGGAGGGTGGCCCGCTTTGAGCTCCTTATCCGACATTATCAGAGTGAGTTTGTTTTCACCGTTCTCACTATGATCACTCGTTGTTATGATTGGGAACGTGGAAGGTAGTAGGGGGACGACACTCGCTGACCCTGGGCCCTGCCTCACCAAAAACAAAACAATAAAAATCGATTACAAAAAAATCGTTTCATTTATAAAATTTGCGAGTATACTGTTAATAACTTTATATTTGAAAGAAATATGAGACAATATTACAATTATTTGAAAAGTCTCTGACCATAGTTATTCGTTATAACAAGTTGTAATCGATTTGTGCAAGCTACATCGATGAATGAATTTCTTGACATGAAAAAATAAAAAAGTGCACATTTAAAAAAGAAACGTTGCCATTTATACCATAAAAATTAGTTTTTTAAGTTTGAATAAAAATCTGCCCTATATTTCCCTTTATATTTTATAATCTTTCCTTTAGTCCTTCTCTCTGTCCCTCCCTTTTACTTTAGTTTACCTGGCACTCTTCTCTGACCTCATTCTGACTATTGCTTTTTTTTTTCACTTCTCTGACTATCCATATCTCTCTGTCTTTTATTTTTCTTCTTTCTGAATGTATTGAACTCACTCTCTAATCCCTCACTCATTCACTTAGTTTCTCTCTCTCACTCTTTCCCTTTAGTTGCCTGTATCTCTCTCAGCTGCCTTCTTTCTGATTGTACTGCTTTCTTTATTTCTTCTCACTTTCTTTCCCTTTAGTCTGCCTATCTCTCTCTTCTTTGTCCTCTTTTTGAATGTATTGCTTTCTTTTCACTCTCATTCTTCACTTCTCTCTCTTTTCCTTTAGTCTGTCTCTCTCTCTCGCCTCTGCCCTCTATCTGACTGTACTGTCGTTTTTTTCTATCTCATTCTTCACTTCTCTGCCTTTCTCTCTTTTTCCCTTAAATCTGCCCGTCTCTCTTTCCTCTGCTATCTGATTGCATTACTTTCTTTCCATTCTCATTCTTCATACACTCACTCTGTATATCTCTATCTGTTTCTCTTTAATCTGTCTGTCTCTCATTCCAATTTCTCTCTATCTACCTATCTCCAAATTAAACAACTACATATAAAAGTATTCATTCATTCTCTCTCTGTCTCTTTAACATTTATTTTCTTCCTGTCCACTGCACACTATGTTTTTGCTGATTTTCACCCTTCACTTCTCTCTTTATATTTCTCTCCTCTATCTCTCTCTCTCTCTCATATTCTAATTTCTCTCTTAGTTTTTCTATATCATTCTTTCATTGTCTTGTTCTCTCCATCTTTTATTCTGATTTTACTTCGCTTCTACACTTTTTCTGTATGTACTTCTTTCTCCTCTATCAACCTTCATTTCTATGCTCTCTAGTTTTCTCCTTACACTCTTTCTGTCTGTACTGTTTTTTTCTTTATTTTAACTTACGGTACACTTTATTTTCTCTTATCTTTCATTCCTATGGTTCTACACTTTGCTTGGATTTTTTCTTTCTATAAGTGTATTTTACTTATATTATTATGATTAGATGAACTGGAGAAATCTGGCTCCTAGTAATGTCATGAACAACAGGTTAATTACATTTTCTCTCTCTCTTCCTCACTCCTTTCTCCCTTCGCTCACTCTTTTCTGCTATTAAAGAACAGTGTGAATATATCTGCAATAAAACATTAATGGAAGCACGAGATAATTGTTACACTAATATAAAAATTTGAGAACGAGGATATTTGGTTGTAAAGGATTTGGTCCTCCAGGCTGGAGATAAATTACTTGAGCACACATGCTGCTCTATTTCTTTTACCACACGTTTGTAAACCCATAATAAAAATATTTACGATTTTGTATAGTCATTGGAGAATTTGAAGAATGTGTATGTTTGACTTCATTAATACCTATATTTTTTTTTTAAATTTTGACCTACAGGTTGGACCAGATTGTTCTGAATGTACAATAATTATAAACACTTTATTTTTGAGTTAGATCAAGATTTTGGTGTCAAAGTTAAAAAATCATTATATACATAAAATACTATATACAAAAAATATACAATCGTTTCACTTAGATAGCATCTTCTTGGTATATGGTAACTGATGCAATGTGCTGGTTGGGCATGACCTGCAAAAACAAAATAAAATAATATTAATAAATCAGTTTAAAAAAGTTAAAAAAGAAGTAGTAGTACAACAGTGTTAATAAATATATACAAACTTCAAAAATGTAATCACGGTATCCATAGCATCGAGTAGCGCCAAAAAAGTTTTTTGTATTGATAGACGAAGCGCGGTTGAGGACAACTGGTCTTGGGCTGGCATCGAGTTGGTCAGAAATGGCATCCCATTTTGTATACGCCGTGACCTAAGAATTCCAAATAAAAAAAGTCTGGGTTTAAGTACAAGTATGCATATGTAAATATGAAGTCAGTACCTGTATTGTTGATGATTCACCTTCGGGTGCTCGATCCACAGGAAGATTTATTAAAAACTCACATCTGTGGTACCTTAGTTGTTTAATAAGAACAATTAATTATAATGAACATTTTGTTTGTATTTTAAAGAAAAGAAAATTGACTTTTTATATGAACATTTAATTATATACACAATAGCAATGTATGCAGTATATAAATTTATAAAATTGAAACTTACATGTTGAAGTTATAATGACCAGGGTAATTAGTGTGTAGAATGAATTTTTTAGCCTTCTGAGTCTTAGCGTCGAAAAGTACGTCAAATCCCAGGGTGAAATAGTTGAAAAAGTAATCGGAAGACTTTTCGGCGGCGCGGCGTTGATTCGAAGGCGAATGGATCCTCATTTTGTCTTCGGACTTGAAGAAGACTCGGTTCGGTGCACCGATGCTGGTTGCGACCGCTTGGCAACACTCGCCTAGTGCAATGGTACGCGTGAGATTCTCTTTTTTCGGCTCAAGAGACCTTGTCGCACCTGTCATGACAATTTTTTTCATATGATTTTAAACTGAATACAATTGAAAATATATTTTTATGAAAAAAAAAAAAAAAGAAGAAGAAGAAAAACCTGTCGTGTACAAGCAAAGGCGGAGACGTCCTCGGCCTTCCTTTAAGACGCCGATTCTATAAAGATAAACCTGGCCTTGGTAGCAAGAAAGCGGAAGAGGTGCTATTTCATCACACCTTAAACAAAAATTTTTAAGTTAATAATTTAGAAAATTTCAATACAAAAGCAAACTGGGCACGTACCTTTCTGAACTTCCTGTGTAAATAGTCATGAGACCAACCCAGAGCATTGGGACCGTTTTATTGCCTTCTTCTCCCTTGAAAATAAATATTCAAATTGAAATATTAATTATCTAATTGTAAGGAATCTAAAAAAAATATTTCTAGTAATATACCTGAAATTTCTGCACAGGAAAATAGAACGAAACACCCCTGAAGTAAACTATGTAATCGTCAGAGGTGGGAGAAAAATAACCGGGTAACGTGGCACCAAATGAGTGTTCAATCTGGTCCATCGTAGGCAGAACGTCAGTCGAGTTAAACAACATACCACTGTTGTAAAAATATAAATGGATTATTTACAAACATAAACATAACTTTTTAAAAATGGTTTACATCAACAGAAATAAACACAGCATCAATTACAGAACAGACACATATAAACTTGGTCGCAGCTACGCCAATATCATTAATCAAATTCAATATTGATAACATACATATATCATCACATCACTAATTTTTCAACAATTTAGCTTTCCTTTTCCTATCTATCCCCGTCTATATAATCCTGAAAGGATAATCTGGCCAAATCATTACCAACGTTTTTCCCATCGTCAGCTCTTTTCACCTCAAAGAAGCCGACTCCTTATACAAAAATGTCTTTCTATACCGACTTATTTCCCCCCCTTCAAAATCCAACATATATAAACATAAAACAGCAATATCTCACTGACACTCTCAACACAACAAACACTTTGAGTGAGTAGAAATATTTTGATTGAATATAAAAAATATTTTTTTGCATTGTATAAATTCACTTTTTTCCACATCCTACATGTATTTATTAAATTTAAACAATGTTTGTAAATCCCAGGCCGCATTTCACGATTTCCGAATAATCAAGAGCAAACCTCGCTTTGGATGACACTAGAGATACCCTATCAGAGGCATACTAACCAGCTCGTTCCATCACTTATGGGAAGTTTTTTAAATTTATGTGGTGCTCCCTCCCCACCCTTGCAGTAGTATTGCACAGATACACAAAAATTTAGTAGATCCTAGACCAGCTGCCCGGGACGAGAACCACTGTGGTCAGTACAAAAACCATTCCCATTGTAAAAGTTAACAAAGTGTTGTGACTTTTCACCCTACTAGTTGCTTCCAAGGACAGTTGGTCCCCACCACAAATTGGGGTTGCCTTGGCCTCTAAAGCTTGCTACTTACAGTACAATGAGCAGGGCACTTCGGGGTTCTCTTCTACTTCCTCTAGAGTATCTCATCCATCTAGAGGGCCTGGGTGACCCCCAACATCATCAAGGGGGATATAGGAAGCTGTGTCACATTTAGGGGAACATCTTTTGAGGTGAGACAGAGCCCATGCATCGTAGGATCTATGCAATAAAAATTAAAATGCAGGAAGTAGATCACTCAATGTGTCTATGATACCCAAAATGAAAAGGGGTGGATAAAAGCACCTAGACCACCTAACCCAAGACAATCCCCTCAAGGAATAAATCCAAGTCTGTGAGCTTACCAGCTACCAGTCTCCCCCTTTTATCGGAAATGGGTGTTTCTGACAGTTTGCAAGCTCACCCCTTCAGTTGTGCCAATTTTTCCAACCGGAAATCCACCTGCCCTGGTATAGTTGCTACCAATTTATAAGCAACAAGTGAAAAGTACCCTGACTTAACAGATTATGTAATGAGCGAATTTGAATTTGTACAAAATCTTTGTGAATGTGATTTAGACCGATGGAGGACTGGAAATCCAAGAGCAAGATTTCTCTATGGATTCTCAATGCTGCACTCATATTACGTTCAACTATATTAGCCAAGTTCCAGCAAGTACTTTTATTAAGTTCCTTGGAAGTTGCATAAGGTATGCTGCAAGCACTTCTTAGGTGTGACTATTGACTATTTTAGTTTGAACGACTGAACTGTAATTTACTCCAGGCTTGAGGTCATTCTAGGCACCCCCATCTTGTTTAAGAACTCTTTGATCATGATAATTGACAGATTGACTTTAGAATCACATGGTTGGCTGAACTTGAGCATCTTGACAAAATGATGTGTCTGTGTCCCTGGACAAGCGAAAAGGGAAAGAAAGGTGGATGAGGCAGCAAAAGCCAGTACATAAGCCTGATTTATGCATTAGCAGATTTAAACCCAAGATAACATATTCAGTATATAGATAAAGGTAAATATGAATATGATATAATTATTCTCAAGCACAGCTTTTTTTTTTTTTTTTTTAAGTTTCATGTTTCAATTTTCCGAAGAAAATCCAAATATTATAGTATTTGTAATTAGTCAAATTTAGTGATGTGAATGTATTTATTTGTGTGAATGCATGGTATGAAGATTGTGTTTTTAATCTAATTAAGTGATAATGAAAAGTGTTATTTTTGAACGATCAATTACCAGTATTTGAGCTTTACGAGTTTGAGGTTGTAGACTTCAATTGTCTTGAGACGCTGGCTGATCGGGTCAAACTTGAGCCGGATGCCATCCTGCGTCAGATCGATTTCAAGGTCTTTGCTCAGGGGGTTCTGCAGAGAAAACAACCTTTGAAATACAGTTACGATGAATTATATGACAAATATCGGAATACTCACCGAGTCTGAATAAATCACTTGAATACCCTTTATGACGCCAACCTGCGACTGGAGGATCAAAACAGCTTGGGAGAAATGCATCCCTTAAAAACAAATTAAATGTACATATGATTAAAACAAATGTCATATATAAGTCTGGATGTTAGGTTGAAGTATAAACTAGTTGACAAACATGATAAAATAAGATGCAACACATCAGACAATTAAGTAAACTGTAAAGTATTCCAAGAAATTAATACGAGCAAAAGAAAATCAGCTAACAAAAAATCAATATTAATAAATCAAAGACAAAGGTCTATCATTACTCAGCTGGCAAAATTTTGAAGGGATGATGTCTTCCCACTGTTCCATCACCCTTCAAAGCTGAAACCAAAACCTTTGATCCGTGATTGAAGATTAAGGCAGTTTGGTTGAATCTACTGTCGCCTGGTTGAAGTTGTCCGCTGTGTGAAGGCACGTCAGCCAATTGGAATCAACTTCTGATTTTAGAAGCCGAGGAAGCAGGAGCACTTCTTGTGCTTGCTCTTCTTCAAAAAAGAAAGAAACCCAATCAAAGAAAAGTCTGGGTTTATCCATTGTTACAAAATCTGGAAACAAGTGCTTTCTCACAACTACTGCTATGCTATTTCCCTCCGAGCTTCACTCCTTTCAATTTTGCTGCTATACTCATGCTTCATGTACCTTATCATGAGACTAATACAAATTTCTTCAATGAACACATTGAAACGTGTAATTGCAATGCTTTCTATGGTGATGGGGTTGCAGTTGACTGCATGTGATGGGGTTCAGACTATTTCCAATAATTTGCTCCATGACTACACTACTTGACTACAAACCCTGCTTCTAGTACCCTTTCCACCATACCATACCATGCACTACTTGACACCTACTCGTTTACTAGTTGAATCAAGTAATCACCTCCTCTAAAAGAGTCCTTAAGGATAGCACCACAATGATATCAACTGACAGGCACTTGAGTTATAAAAACTGTCAGTACACTCGAGATATTACTAAACATACAACCTATACAACATACTTTACCTGGGAAGAAGCTAGATCAGTTGAACATGATTTGCATTGTCATGATGCCAAACAATTAAGAACTTCAAAAGGAAGCAATATTCGACATGACAGAAAGAGAGGCACAGAAGAAATACCAGTCAATACTGACAATATGATATACAGACGGCTAAAAAACCAAACAGGGTGTCATTAAGGGAGAAAAGGGTAAAAATGACCCATGGTAAATTTGTCACCCACAAACAGAAACCTTGAAAAATGAACTTTTGGCTAAGTAGATATAAGTGCTAAGAATAAAAGGTAGAAATTGCACGGTTCAAAGCAAGGGCAGTATATTCTGAGGCAAAGATGCCAATCACACCCAAACCCCTCTGTAATATTTCAAACTGTCATAAAAAAGGAGTAATTAAATACTTAAACCTAGTTGGAAAACACCAGGTCAAAGTCAAGCAGAAGACTTCATCAAGAAAGTCTTGCCTAAATTTAAAACAGACCTGGAGTATTAAAGAAAAAACATGGAATTTGGTATGTTATCTGGACATGGCAGACTCAGGAGATACCATGGCTAATGAATTGTGTCTTGTCTGGGTCTCAGGTCATACCGGGCAGAAGGATAATGAATAAGCTGATAAACAAACCACAAAAACAATGGAGTCTTTCCCAGCAATACTAATCAAAATCCAACCTTATCTATAATATTGCAAACTGCCATAAAAGAGGAGTAATTAAAGACTTAAACTTCATGGAAAAACACGAAGTCAAAGACAGCAAAAAACTTTATTATTGCAGGTATTTTTAAGTTTAGGGAGAAAAGGGTAAAAATGACCCATGGTAAATTTGTCACCCACAAACAGAAACCTTGAAAAATGAACTTTTGGCTAAGTAGATATAAGTGCTAAGAATAAAAGGTAGAAATTGCAGGTATTATTATGATGATGAAGCCTTTTTCTGCCTCTGACTTGGTTTTATCCTACCAGGTTTAATTCTAAATATTACAGAATAGTTCAGGTTTGATTAGTATTGCTGAAGAACCCTCCCGTTTCTTGCCTCTAGTACATAGCGACTCCTGAATCTGAAGTTTTAGTTACCAGACAAAATCCTATGTTTTTGGAGGGCTTTGTTGATGCGGGACTACTCTAAGTTTAGGCAAGACTTTCTTGACGTCTTTTGCTTCCTCTGACCTTTAAACTTTAATACTCCTCTTTTATGGCAGTTTAAAATATTAGACGATTCAGGTTGGTCGGTATTGCTGAGGAAACCCCCCCTTTTCTGTCTCCTAGTTAGCCATAGTGACTCCTGAAACACGAATGTCCAATTAATTGGCCAAATCAAAGAAAAAAAAATTGTCAAGAAAGTCTTGCTTAAACTTAAAATAGGCCTGCAATAACAAAGAAAAAATTTAGGAATTGCTGTTAACTGCTGACTCAGAAGTCACTAGAGTTAATTAGGACTCATCGAGATAAGATCGTACAGAATACAAAAAACAAATTGTATCTTATCTGGGTCTCAGGTTCTACAGGGCAGAATATGGGTATAATAAATAGGCTGACAAAAAACTTCAAAAACAAAGGAGGGTACCTCAGAAGTACAAATCAAACCCAGGCCATTCTGTAGTATTTTAAACTTTAATTAAAGATTTAAATCTGGTGTGAAATAACCAAGCCAGAGACAGAAAATAACTTCTTCCTCTGGAGAGAAGAAAAAAAAAAAAAAAAAAAAATGGATTTGGTCTGTTTACTGGAAACAGGTAACTCAGGAATATATATCTAACTAGGAGACAAAAAAGGAGCTCAGAAATACAACCAAACCTGAACCATTCTATAATGTTTCACAATGCCAAAAAAAAGAGGACTAACTGTCAAATGGTGCAAAGTCTGATAAAAACTGGAACAACAACCAAGGACAGAGGTATGTGAGACTTCATCAATATCTACGGGTGGATAGATGTATGGAGGATTATAAAAAATTCTGAAGCTACTCCTAAGTAGCACATTAATAGTAGATGAATACAATGCATAAATCTTTATAGACACTTCAGGCAAATCTATCTATCTCAATGGATACATGACGATAATGAAAAAGATAAACCAGAGACCTCGGCAATACAATAACTCAATAATTCCAAACTGTCATAAAAAGGAATACTTGAACAACACCCAAGGAAGACTGGCAAATTAAATCGTCTATGGCTGAGCATACTAAGAAAGCTTATAAAAATCTTGAAGTTAGATAAGAAGGTCATAGTCCTGCTCTATAGACACAGTGTAAAGGGCTCTTTAACCACCTTAATATACAATTTTTTTTTAAATCAAGAAGAAGGCCAAATTATAAATATATTTATAAGTGTGAAAAAAATCAGGTGAAGTGACAACTAGTTCGAAATTCAGATAAGTCCAATATTATAATCAAACGTCATCCTACATAAAAGATATCTCACCTAGAATGAATTCCCATTGTTCGCATCCTAGGGACCTTTCTGGCATCACCTCCAGCTCGAGCATTTTTCCCTTTTATTAAAAAAAAAGGAAACTGGGAAATCGACGGACCTTTTCACTTCTGCTCGCCCTCAAAAAAAGTTCAAATAAAATAAACTGCGTCAAACAACTTCCTTTGTTATCCTTGAGAGTTTGCTCAACGCACAACAGCTGTTCTTTGTTTTGTTATGAGTGGGGGGTGCGACTATGAGCATGAGTCATGATCATACTTGACAGGTAAATCTCGATGAAAAATATCGATGAAGTTTTTGAAATGAAAAGGCGGTTGTTTTTAATTTTTTTTTTTCTCAACACCGGTCACGCTTAACCAATAAAAATATTATAAATAAAATAATATTATATATAAAATAATATAAAGAATTAGAAACTTAAGTGTGTTTTTTACACTTTCATTAGCCTTCAAAATCAAAAGACTGACTAGAAAACAAAAGTTGTATTCATAAATGATTTTATAGTTTATTCCTTGGTGTTCTTTTTTTTTATTTACTCATTTGTTTGAGAATGTCAGTTGTTTTCTTTAGGGGTATTTTAAGTTGCACTGTTGCAAACTACAAATATTTACTTTTATAGTGTAAAATATACCGAAAACTGAGATTGCGAAAAAAAAAAAATAAGTCGATATAGAATGAAATTTCTTATTTTTTAAAAGCCTAATAAAAATAATAAAGTGTCGGGTTTTTACCACATCGATTTTACACGTTTAGAAAATTTGTTCAGGTTCATGACCCAATTTTGAGAATTCTTAACAAAAAATTCTCTTTTTGAATAAAACTTTTCCATGATATGCAATATCAACTTTTGAATGTAATAATCAAGTTATGAGGAAGAAGGGTGTTCAAACTTCGGAAAATAATCGATCGACTATTTAAAAAAAAATAAAAAATTTGATTACAAGGTTTGTAACTTTTTTGACGTCGATGAGGGTGAAATGAGTTTTAATTTTCAAGTTTGTCCAGTCAGTGCTTGGCACTTCCGAGTGTTGTGAGACTTGCTAGTGAGCTAGGTTCAAATGTTTATAAAACGCTCAGGGCACCGCGGTCATTCTTCAAGCTGAAACTTGAAACTGAAAACGAAGTTTTTTCATTTTTTTACACGCTCCTTAAAATAATCTCGTGATTTTTTAACATCGAAGTATTGTTTCCCACTTGGATATTTTAATATTTGACCGGATCGTATCCATGCTACCGCATAAGGATTGAACGTTTTGTTCCCGCACCCGCCGTGCTTGTTTACATTTAAAGATTGTAAATTGTTTTCCGAGTTTCACTACATCTAATAAAACCGTAAATGATCGAGAAAAAATAAATGGAGTTCGACAAACGCGAAATGGTGACCGACCTTCCGCTCATAATCGCCAATGGTACGATCAAATCTCTCAAGACGCTCAGCGAGGTAACCGACGTCTCATCCCGGACTTAGTTTAGTTTTTAACTTGGGCTTTGTTTCCAGACCGAGCTTGAGTCGTTCCTTGCGTACCTGGTGAAGTTCACGGCGGAGAAGGACGGCGTGCACGACTACCAGAAGCCGTCCTGGTGGACGGAACAGCTCCCCTTTCCCCCAGGGTTCACGAAGGGTTCTCCACTCCCGTACGTACGGAACAAAGCTGTAAGTCGAACTAGATCAGTCTAAAGTTAAAGTACAGTTGATGCGTTTTGGTCTGCGAGTCTGTGAAATCATGTTGAACCGGCACTGGGTCCGTATCCAATCCACTTCCACCACTAATGGTGACAGACCCTGTGCCGGTTCAACATAAAGCAGTTACAATAAAATGAATCACCGACAAAGATGGCTTGATGATCCGATACTCTAACCACTCAGCACAATACAAGTCCAAGGTGATACTGAATTGTTAATTGCTACATTGAAATAACTCACGAAGTCTCATTACAAGTTACAACACAGTATCTTTAGATTGGTCATTTCCGATCAATTTTGGAGTACAGGGATCATCTCTACTAGTTGGTCTGTACTGTAATAGTCTGAGATGCCGCCACAACTACAGGGTAATACACCGACCAACCACTAAATTGGCTAAAACATCGATGATCAAGTTGTCAGACAAGTTTCAGCATTTTGCCATCTTCAGTGGTGAGTGGTGATTTATCTGAGGTTTCATATGAACAAGATTGCTATTTAAAATTAACAGTTCTCATGTCAAAAAACTTGTTATCTTTCATAGTCTGAAAAGATAATAACTACAAATTTTGGTTTTTCTGTCCTCATTGCTTTAGCCGATGAGTTTTGTTTTCTTGCCATGTTCAGTATTATGTGATTACTGTTTAGCTAGGTCCCTTTTGGAAATGGCCAAAGTACAGGTTCATCATCCCACAGACCTCAAGAAGAACTTTCACAATAGCAGGACAACTTAAGCACTTATATTCTGTAGTTTGGCCAATTCAAATCCTTTGGCCTGCCCATTCCTCACTGTTTTGGCCTATCAAATTTGTATTGCCTTCTCACCATCTTCATTGGTGTTATTTGATGTTTAGCCAAGGCACTTCTGCAAACAACCAACCAACTGATTTATTACTTTGCCGGCCTCGTTTCCAATCACTTTAGACTTCCTGTCTTTGCTGCTTTGGTCTGTCAGGCATTTTTAGATATTTTGTCATCTGTGGTCTGTCTAATGGTATGATTGCCAACACATAACAGAAGGGCACAACTCTTAGTATAAACCACAGACTAACCCTGAAAACACAAATAGTTAGTTCACGATAATCTGTGATAATCAAGCAGTATTAGACACACCGGTGATATACACTATTTCCAGTGGTCTGAGTGATTCTTGTTTAGCTTGGTCCCTTTAGAAATGACCAAATTACAGGTATATGTCTCGACAAATCTCAAAAGTAAATTTCACAATTGCAGAAAAAGTTATGCACTTATATTCTTTAGTTTGGCCGTTTGCAATCACTTTGCTCTGACCATTTTTGCTGTTTTCGTCTGTTGAATGTGTTTTGTCTTCTCACCATCATCATTGGTGGGTGTGTCAGTTTCATTTAGTCAGGTCTCTTCTGAAAACGACCAAACTACACATTCATCACCTCGCAGACCTCAAGAAGATATTTCGCAATTGCAGAATAGCCCAGGCTTTCAACTAGGCATGGCACCTGGGTTTGCTGTGTAAACTCGAGAAATTTCTTCCCAGTACCTTTACCTTACCCTACGATCCTACCTGACAGACTGATATTGCCATGCCTGTCAGGGAACATCCCTTTCCTTTATATTCCAGTAAAATCGGTAGTCCCTCGAGGAAGTATCCTTGGCCTAGTCCTCTTTACAATATACACTGCTGACATTCCTCTTCCCCAAACACAGCCATCTTCACGTTTATCGTCTTCTCATTCCAACCCTCACAGTACACTCCCACGTGCAGTCATCTCATCCTATTAGAAGAATCAATCTCATCCGCAAATGGAGAATCAAAGTGAACAAAAGCAGAAGTGTTCGAGCGACTTTTGCTTTAAGAAAATCACTTTGTCCTCCGTTACGACTGAATGGCATACTGATACCTACTGCATAGTATGATACCTGGGACTGTGCATTGATAAAAGGCATCTGGAATCCACACACTCACCTGAAACGACAAGATATGAATCACAAACTCTTACTGAACAAACTGACCATTTACACAACTCTTCGTCCAATATGAACCTACGGAATGGAAGTTTGGGGGCTCAATCAAACGTTCCAATCCATCCCGTATACATATTAGAAATTCCATAATACCCTTTCTATACACCCAAAATAAAACTGAAATGGAGAGACAGAAACAAATGTGGAAAAATCATCCATCACTCATGGCTCCAAGAGATGACATGAACAGGAGGTTTGAATTTAACCAAAAATTCGAATACATCTGGGCACCAAAAAGGAATGGGAAACAAAGGGAAATAACTCCCTCAAAAATGGCACCATCCTTTGGTACACAGATGGATCTAGAATACAAGAAGGTACGGGGGCAGGAGTATTTGGACCCAGAACCAAATACTCAGAACCCATGGGAAAACACACCAGTATCTTCCAAGCTGAGATTCACGCAATTGAAAGATGTATCCAATTCAATCTAAATAGAGGATACAAAAACAAGAATATAGCTATCATGTCAGATAGCCAAGCAGCCATCAAAGCACTAAGCTCAAATACCATTAGTTCAAGGATGGTGCTGAACTGCAAAACCAAACTAAACATATTAGGTACGCAGAATAAAGTCAGCCTCTGCTGGGTCCCAGGACACATGGGAGTAGAAGGCAACGAGAAAGCGGACACCCTTGCAAGGAAAGGGGCTGCCACACCGCTGATAGGACCCGAACCCTTCTGTGGCATAGGAATCCACACTATTAACGAATATCTCAGACAGAAGGACAAAAAGAAAATGAGGGAACTTTGGAATTCACTTATTGGACATAGACAATCCAAGAATCTTCTAACCAATTTTGGCAAGAAAGAAATCACAGAATGTGTCAAAGGAAGCAGGAATAGACTGCGAATCCTAACAGGATTCCTGACAGGACACTGTAGATTAAATGGACATCTAAAGAAAATTGGAATAATCCAAGATGGCACATGTAGATTCTGCAAAGAAGCAGAAGAGACACCAACACACTTACTAACAAACTGCGGAGCTACATTAGCCCGCAGAAGGAAGTGTTTTGGGATGTACAGTGTGACCATAGAAGAGCTTCAACCACTGAAACCGGGCCTATTAATCAAGTTTCTTGATGAAATAGAACTCATCGATGTGCTTTAGGCAGAGCACGGGGGATACAATAGCTCTTAAAGGGCGCAGTATACTATACCCTGAAATTACATCTACATCTATACACCCAAACCCCCTCGTCCAACAACTTTCCACACACTCTGCCTGGAAATCCTCCTGGAAAAAGCTGAAGAGGCAATGGTCCAGGGATTTGCTTCAGTGTTGTGTATGTGTGTGTAGAGTGAGCATGTGTCACCAGCGTGGCTTTCTCCTCTCATGTTTAATTATCATGTTAGGAAATGAATTATTGAATTTACTTATTGTAATGAAAGTTGTAGATGTAAATAACAATAATAATAAAAATCAAAAAATTAAAAATTGCAGAACAACTTAAGCACTTAAATTCTGTAGTTTAGTTGTTTTCAAATAATTTTGATCTGCCTATCCTTGCTGTTGTGGCTTCTCGTCGTCTTCATTCATGAGTGTGTAAGTCCTGTTTAGCCTGGTTCTTTTTTGGAGACGATCGTACTCCAGGTTCATCACCCTATCGACCTCACTAGGAAATCTCAGACTAACAGAACAAGTTAAGCACTTCAATTCTGAAATTTGGTCTTTTCGTTTCGTTTGATTGTGTCAAACAAGTTTTGGTTTCTCAAATTCTTCACTTGTCAGTGTTTTTATTTTAGCCAGTTCCCTTTCAGAAATGACCAATATAAAGTTTTATCACCCCATAAAGTAAATGGAAGAGGTTGACATTTTACTGCCTGCTTACCGCACAAGTTTGAAGCTTATCCACCATTCTTTATGCATTCTCTATGCTGGTAGTGAATTTGATTATTTGATCTGGTTGTGATGGTTGAATTTTTTCCATGGTTGTGTTGATGGTTTTTTTCTGTCTTTTCTCTGCCAGATGCCTGGTGAATTAAGAAACTGCTAAGTCTCGAATTCTGAAAGGCATGGAATCAACTTCTATGAAAACTATTTTTTGTGATCTGATCTGGTATGCCAATTTTCCCTGTTTTGGTCTGTTAGATATATTGTTGCTTACAAAAAACAGCAAGGAATGGTAGACCAAGATGATCGGAAACAACAAGGCTTTGGATCAACCCCAAGAGAAAATCTCACAACCTACGCAACTGCTGCACTCAATGCCAGGTTTAAAATTCAATATCTGGCTTCAGACATGAGACGTCAGGCCGATAAGAATCTACAGGGCACTCTATCATTGGAATAAAATGTATATTCATCTAGAATGGAGAGTAGAAAGGCTCTTAAGCAGTACCTAAGGAAGTAGCCATGAAAACTACACCAACTGATGCCATGGTTTACCTCTAAACATCTTCATGTTGGGAGAAGATAAACCAATTTTGTTTTCTTCTTATTTTGGGCCGGTTTTTCTTTTACTTCATTTGGGATGTGTCATTCTGATCAGACCCTTGTGCATTTTACTTGTTTTGTTTGAAATAAACCAATTATATGCAAGGAAAGGCTTATAGAATATTAATTACATTTTAAACAGCTAAACTTCATTTTGTAATATTATTGTTGTTTTTTAACATGACATCTTCTTTCTATACTTCAATCAAACTGATAGGCCTAATAGAACAATAGTTGTCCTAAATCTCCTTTATTTATTTATTTTTGTTTGTTTTAATTCTAACATAAATTCTTATAAATGTTATTGTAGGTTATAATGAGGCGACTTGTAAAGAATTGCTACTTCAGCCGGGGGCTTTTGGACCTCCTCACTTTTTCCGAGGAACTTTCAAAGCTACACTCTTTACAACTGCAGTATCTAAGAGACAAAAAGTCTGATACAATCACAGTTTTCAAAGACTGTTCACCCGTCGCCATCATACCATCTATGAATCTGGTAAATAAACTTATTCATTATTAACATCAAAGAAATTAACGCGTAATATTTATTTACTGGTGAGGTCATATATAAAAACATTGATTCCTTATGGGAAAATTAAATACATAATAAAATGATACATTATGAAAAAATAATCATTGGTATTTTGTGATCTTGGAAATAAACATGAACATGTACAAACAGGAATGAAGATGCATTTTATTTTGGTTCGTTCTTGCTGAGAATTCCAGCTTTCAACATGAAACTTGATCAGTTAGTACCTTAGCGAATGAGGATACTATGATTTCACAACAGTATAAAAATAATATAAATTTCCCTTCCTGATAAATTTTTTCATGATTTGATTTGTCAACAGGGACCCAAGCAAATCATGTTTGATTTTGAATTCAATTCATTATAAGCGATGAAGATTTTTTAAATTTTTACAATGTTTAGAAATAAGCTTATGATTTATATTTTAAACTTGTTAGATCTTTATACAACAGAAGATATGAGTTTTGAAAGCAAAACTCTTCTCCGATCTTTGCTTTATAACCCTGATATTGTTCAACCTAAGTACGGTTTAATTTGGGCCAGCTTTTTTGTCTTGAAATGGAAAGATTTTAGACTTAAAATGCTCGTGTTGTTTTATTTTTTATTTAAATTGCAACTAGATGATCCAACAAATTTGAAAAAGTTTAACAAAAATGTAAAAAAGGTAAAAGTGGTAGGAAGAATAAAATTAATTTTTGGATAAAATTTTTTTATGCAGGATTTCTACATATAATTCTTACTGTGAAGCATTGAAGTGATGAACTTGATTTCATTGGTGATCACCCTGGTTTGCCTATAATCACTTTTGACAATTAATAAAAAAGGTTTTAATTTATATATGACGCCAGATTATATGATGAACACACTCACGATAAACTTATAATAAAATGTTTAATTTTGTCTTTTTTTCCTAGGATTATGATTACCGGCAGAACCCCTTAGTGCAGACTCCTTGCAAGCCAGAAGTTATTAAGGTAGTAACTTAGGTTTTTATGCATTTAACAGACTTCCATTGTATAACAACTTAAAAGTTAGTACATGATTAAAATATGTGTTCGATTTGTTAATAATATTTATTATCAATTATTAGCTTTTTCTAACTTTTTGTTGGGTTTCAGCGCTTGGAAGAATCGACTGAAGTACTTGTGATCTCTGACGTAAGTTGTCGACTGTTCTGTTGCGATTAAAATCAACTGAAACAAAATTTGTTATTTATTTATTTATTTTTTTGTAAGGAGGAAGACCTCAATTCAGTGGTGGTCAACGATTCTGATGAGGATTGCGTTATTACTGGTGTGAAAATACTCAAGAAAGAAAATTTATGTAAAAAAAAGGTGATTTTAGCTAATAACTATTTTGAAATCCTTTTCATTTATGAAAAAATATATCAACTGATGAGATGTAAAGCGACCCATAGACGGTCGATATTATTGTACAATTTAGATTGCACAATAATTTGATGGTTGCCCCTTAATGTTCAATAATATTGTACAAAATTTTGTTTGTGCAATGAACTTGAAAAGTTTGAAGGCGATATTGAAATTTGTGCAATATTTTGTGTTCTTGTTGATACTTCACAAACTGACTGATATTGCGCAATAATGCCAACAGATGGTGCAATATTTTCCAGGTTGTACAATATATTTTCAATCATGCAATGTATTGCACAAACTTTCAATATCGTCTACACACGATCAATTAAATTGCACAACCCAAAATATTGTGCAATAATATTGATCGTCTATGGGCGCCTTAAGGCAGGCCCTACACGATCAATTATATTGCACAATATTACGAATTGTGCAATATTTTTGACCATTTAGGGTTAGTATTGAAGTTTGCTCAATAATTAAACAAAAGTTTGAGGGAGTTTAATTTTTACTGCACCATATTTTTTTCATGGCACCATGTTATTGTGCAATATTTTTAGCCATATTGGTGTGTCATCTTGAACCACTAGGCCTTGCTTACATGAAAACACTGATGCTTAGGGGCTGTTAATATTATTGTATGATAAATTGAGATCAAGATTTCAATTGATAAAAGTATTGTGCAATTTCATTGCAGGTCTAGGGGTCTGTCTAACAGTAATAAAATGTAAGAAATATGTGTAAACTGAGTACACAGATCTTGATTAACACATTGAATGTGTGAACGTGAAACTGTCGAACATGTCCTTTGTAACACTGAGAGTACAGTTCAATTTTTCTGTCCCTAGTGCTACAACCTGAGCAGTAGAGCATACCTTTACTTTTTAGCTATGCTACAATAGTTTAGTTTTTAACAGTTTATCCATCAATATCGTTTTTATACCAAGAGAAAATAATCAAATTTTATTCTTTAAAAAGCAAACAGTTCTCGGAAATCAAACAGATACAAGCTGGTGTCCCATAAGGTCATTTTGGAACATTTTTGGTCCCAACCTTTATATCATTTATACTGTTGATCTACCTGTTAATCCTAATATCATCGTCACCACCTGTGATGGACGATACCACAATTTTGTCCTCTAACTCAAATCCAATCCAAACTACCCCTGACGTCTAAGAACACCTTGAGCTTATTACTCCATCATGACCTTCAACACTAACCTTTAAAAGACTTTACTGTGACCACTTTGGACTTACTAAGTTGAACTAGGTTCTGCCAAGCTACCCATTATCCAGCACATCCGATCCTTCTATTCAGAAGACCTCAGGCAAATTGTGAAAGCTCCTTACTACAACACAAGAACACCTCACTATCCACAATGACCTTAACATTCCTTTTGTCAATGAACTAATCTGCTCTTGATTCCAAAATTTCAACCGCCTCTCTCTTGATCCATCCTCGCCCTATAGCTTGAGCCCTCTCTACATATTCCCATCCCGAGAACCCACCACGTCTCCTTAATCGACGATGGCCTGTATTGGCTGGTTTCTCATGGCATGTGTCATCCAGGCTCAGTGCTAGTGGAATTAAGTACGTTGCGCTGTGACCAAAAAAAAAAAAAAAAAAAAAAAAAAAAAAAAAGAATTATTTAAGGCTTTAAAAAAGCAAAAGAATTAAAAAGAAAGAATACAATTGTTCATAATTATTCTAATTTGAAATATTTTTCACTTTGTTTTTTAGCAGAAGCCCTTACTTCACACATCCCCTACTAGTCCATTTAAATTTTTATCGCTACAGGCCAGAAACAAGCATAAGCAATCTATAGATCAGGTACTAATGATAAAATTTCTTCAATTTTAAGTATTTGTTTTAGTTTTGTCTTCTAATTTTTATCTAGGATGAATGTATTGTAATATCGGATAGCGAGGATGACAAATTTGTGAGTAGTTCACAAGACACGAAAAGTGAAAGTTCAATAAATGAACAAGAATTACTTGACAAAGCAGTGAGTTTTTAAAATTGTTTATACGATATTAATTAAAAATTGATAATTGTTTTGACATTTTTTCATAGCTCACGCAAGACAGCTTTCTCGACATGTTTGAACTGCGGCGAGGAGCAGCGGCGAAAATATGCATCGAGAAACCGCCTGTTATTACGTGGAAGTATCGCGTGACGAGTTCCTTTTTAGGCCGTATTCCATCCCTGATGCTCATACCGAGCCTGGTGTCGTGCGGCTCCCTGTCGAGAAAGTGCCTCGCGACCCCGTATTCGATCGCAAGGAGTTTTGAACACATAAGGAAAAACACAAACGCAAGCGCTTGCGATTATAACCAGATGGTGAAAAACTGTTTGGTTGTACTCGAACGACTCGACCACGCCACCCTGTCGAAATGGGCCAGGCGGCAAAACGCATCGAAACGACCGTGCCTTAGGAGCAAAACAAAAACAGCAAAAAAAGAATGTTAGCATTTCTTTAGTTTCAAACCTAAACATTTTATTCCTTTTTGCTAAGTAATATTAAAAGTTCTTTAGGTTTTTCATTTTTTGTTTGTTTTTTTATCTTTAGCCATCTCAATATACTATGTTCACAGACGAATAAATAGTAGAGTGGTGTCGTTGGCCTGAATGGTTAAGACGACACAGTGCTCATCACTTAGGACAAAGGGTGCCGGGTTCAAATTCAAGGCCTCTGGATTCAAACCCGGCAGCTTACAAATGAGCTTTTTTATTAAACATCACCCCAGGGGTATGACTTTTGCTGTAGCAAACCCTCATTAAAAAATTAATAATAATAATAAATAGAAACTATTGAGAATGTATATTTTGCTCAAAATGATCAACATATTTGTTAATTACACTTGTGTAGAACAAATAGTATTTAATAGTTGTTATAAGGTTCAATGCCTTTAATATTTAGTTATGTTTGCACAACATAGACTTACGTGACAATGCCTTTCCTTGATGTTCTAATCAATTTGTAATTTTTTGTTTAAATTTTTTATTTTATGTTATAAACAGATGCAAGTAGTCATCTCCTTAAAAACTTAAGTGGATTTGTTTACGTTTTCTTTTACTAAAGTACAATGTAAAATCCATTCCACCTTTTTATTTGTTCATTATATTATTTATTCTTCATGGTCCGTTTGCAGTTTGTGTTCCTACATTTAGAAAGATAAAGCTGCGTTTTGTTTGGCATGTTTGTTTTGTGTTTTTATTCACATATGCTCATTAGGGTTTTAGTTGCTTTGAAATGAAAAATTTTTGAAATATAAACTACAAATTTGAAAGCGTTAAAGAAAAAGGTCCTTTAGGAAGTCAATATTACGGTGTCTATGTTGCCATTGTTATTTTATAGAAAATAAGAAAGATTGCTAGATATTTGATATTATTTTTATGGTTAGTATTTCTAAGCCGTGCGGTTAATTATACAAAAAACTTATATACTTCAAAATTTTATACAAATTTTTTCTACTTGTACATACTTTGTACATATATAATATGTGCATAAAATGGATGCCTATGTCTTATCGTAAAAAAAAAGTAAATAGACAATTTTTTGTTTTATTTTTTACTAAAATATAAAATTTTTTTAAAAAGTTTTGTCTTTCTAGAAGAAACAAGAGACTCAATGTTAGGCCAACATTGTTACGGAGATTGCAGTTAAATTTATTTTCTATTTTAAAAGATATAAATCTTTCTATAGTGCAAATATTTTATAAGAGAATATTGTCAAACTTTTTGAAAAAGTTTATGCAAAAAAAGTTTAAGTTGAAGAAAAGACTTGTCGGTTCTGGCTGGTCGTGTTAAAATTAAAAATTAAAACGAGGAAAATTTAAACCCGAATTTGTAGTGTTATTGTTGAGAAGACTAATCGATTTGCTTGATGATTAAAAGTGATTAAAACCTATTTGGATATTTGTTCAAATATCAGCCAGTCCTGATCATATTTGGTGAATCTGATGTAATGCCATTTTGTAATGTATAATCATTATTTATCATTATTGTTGTCTTTGTCTCGATGTATGGGAAAAAAGAAGAAAAAATAAAATAAAATTTTTATTCAAAATTAAAACATTGAATCTATTTGTAAATTTGAGATATAATTTATGTAATTGTTCTTAAAGAAAAGATAGTTTTGTCCATTTTTATATGTACTATCCCATTTTCAAACAAGCCTTTTTTTTTTACAATTACATGAAGTATTGACAAATAGTTAACAGTCATAAAAAAAGATTAAGGTGCAGTTTATTTATTTATGTGATAACTAATCAGAACTCTTAAATCTCAGCAAGTTATACGTGCTTGTAGGTGGCCTGGATTTAATTTCACACTTTATCAATTGATTGAACCGAATACAATTTACAGCCTTACAATTTACATCCCAAAGGGCTATTTAAATAATTTAAGGCAAATGGTAAGAATATTCAAAGGGATAATTTTAACAATTTGAGGCTAATTGACAGTGTATCTCAAAGAGTAAATTATTGAAATTTAAGGCTAACAGTAAGTAGGGAATTTGTATATTATTTATGCTAATCGTAAGTATATTCAAATGGTAATGTTAGTAATTTAAGACTAATTTATCCCAATGGGCCAATTTTATAATTTTAAAATTATAAGCTAACTGTAAGTATATCTCAATGGAAATTTTTTATTTATTTTAGTCCACTCAAATGGTAATTTTAGTAATTTAAGGCTAATTGTAAGTTTATTTTAAGGGCAAATTTTATAATTTTAGGCTAATTGTATGTATATCTCAAAGGGTCAATTTTAATCATTTAAGGCAAAAAGCAAGTTATTCAAAGGGGCAATTTTAAAAATGGAAGGTAATTGCAAATATATCTTGAAGGGTCAATTTAAGGCTAGCTGTATGTATATATCAATGGGGAATTTTTATATTATGCTAATTGTAAGTATATTCAATTGGTAATTTTAGTAATTTATAACTAATTGTAAGTACATCTCACAAGGTCAATTTTAATGATTTAAGGTAAGTTATACAAAGGGACAATTTTAAAAATGGAAGGCTAATTGCTAATATATCTTTAAGGGTTAATTTAAGGCTAGCTGTATGTATATATCAATGGGGAATTTTTATATTATGCTAATTGTAAGTATATTCAAATGGTAATTTTAGTATTTTATAACTAATTGTAAGTACATCTCACAGGGTCAATTTTAATCATTTAAGGCAAAAGATAAGTTATTCAAAGGGACAATTTTAAAAATGGAAGGCTAATTGCAAAAATATCTTGAAGGGTCAATTTTAATCATTTAAGGCAAAAGGTAAGTTATTCAAAGGGACAATTTTAAAAATCGACGGCTAATTGCTAATATAAATTCAAGTGTCAATTTAAGGCTAGCTGTATGTATATATCAATGGGGAATTTTTATATTATGCTAATTGTAAGTATATTCAAATGGTAATGTTAGTAATTTAAGACTAATTTTTCCCAAAAGGTCAATTTTATAATTTTAAGCTAACTGTAAGTATATCTCAATGGGAATTTTTTTATTATTTATACTAATTGTAAGTACACTCGAATGGTAATTTTATTTAAGGCTAATTGTAAGTTTATCTTAAGGGTAAATTTTATAATTAGGAAAAGGTAAGTTATTCAAAGGGAAATATTTTAATATTTTAAAGCTAATAGTAAGTTTATCTCACAGGGTCAATTTTATAAGGTTAGGCTAATTGCATGTATATCTCAAAGTCTCAATTTTAATTAATTATGCTGATGGTAAGTATATCCAAAGGGTCATTTTAGTAATTTACTGCTTATTTGAATAATTTAAGGCTAATTGGAAGTTTATCTCAAAGGGTTAATTTTATAATTTTAGGCTAATTGTACTTATATCACAATTTTAATTATTTATGCTGATTGTAAGTTTATTCAAAGGGGAATTTTAGTAATTTATGACTAATGGTATTTCTCAAAGGGTCAATTTCATAATTAAAGGCTGATTGTAAGTATATCTCACAGGGTTAATTTTAACAAAGGCTTATAAGCTTATAAGTTTTAATTAACTTTATAAGCTGATTAATTCCAATGTGAAAGCGATTTCCATCCACTGTTCTTAACTTACATCCCGTAGCACATTCATTTTTGAGATTCGTCCATCTTTTCATAGCAAGCATGACCTCAGTATGTAAGACATCGGCCAATTGAATCCTGTAGTTTATGATTACATCTATGGTCAAACTAAAAGACTTTAGGGTCTTGAGCTACTGGGCGAATGTTTTTCTTTTGGTTTGAATAGGTGTCACCTTCACAGCACATGTTTATCGACCGTGAGGCTTTATTTTACAAACTTGAAATATGTCTGCTGGAAGCCCATATCACGAATCATTCACAAAAAACTGTGAACTCCAGGTTCACTTTCCAGATCAGTTCCCACATTGTTAAACAGAGTTGAACTCAGGACTGAACCTTGGGGGATTCCTAGTCTCATTTACGTGTAGGGTCAGTCAACAAAATTATATTTAAATCGGATAAAACACTGATCTAGGAAAGAGTATTATGAATAAATTACCCCTATGAGATACGATTATAATTAGCCTTAAATTATTAAACAAAGATCTCAACCTTCGCGATATATTTACTATCAGCCTTAAATTATTAAAATTGACCTTTTGAGATATATTTGTAATTAATTGTAAATTTCGAAAATATTACCCTTTTGAGGTATTTACAATTAGCCTTAAATTATTAAAATTGTACCTTTGAGATATACTTACAATTAGCTTTAAATTACTAAAATAGACCCCTTTTAGATATACTTGCAATTAGCGTTGTTGCTGAGTGGATAATAATAATAGTAATAAATATCTTTCTTAAATTTATTTGAATTGGCCTTTGCTCAAATTCTTATACCCGTGAATGTTTGTCTGCTAGTTAGTGTTTGAATGAGAGTTCTGCAAGATTTCTTTTTAGAATTTTTGAGGGTGCCAGAGTGTTAAAATGAAAGAAAAGAAAATACAAATCACGAGGTAATAAACTACATTGCCCAAAATCGCAAGTTAAATGAGGATATAGAAAAAGAAATGTTATTGTTTTTTTATTATTGTTAAGAAGCATTAGTTTATTTATTTATATATTATTTGAATGGAAAAATAAAAGGATAACAATTTGAAAGGACAACGTACTCATGCTGAGACCTTTCTAGTCTGACTCCATTATTATTACAATTAATTAAGGTTTTTAGTTGAGATAAAAAAGTCAATGGCATGAGCGGGATTCGAACCCACGATCTTCGGCTAGATACGCCGCTGCTCTACCACTTTGAATTTTCCCTCCTTTATTATTATTATTATTATAGGCCATACAACCCTGTGGGAAATGTTTAAATTATGGAACAAATATTTAAAATTCGAACTAAAGAAGAGGATTAAATAATAGAGTGGTAACAGTTTTTTTCATAAAAATAAGGAAGAATTGGACTGAAGGCATGAATAAATAATGCATATAACTTTTAAACATATATTATTCATTATATATTATATCTATAGGTAATAATAATAATTTTTAATTATCTTTTTTTAAATAAAAAAATAAACAAATAACAATTTTTTTTAATATTAAAGAAGTAAAATTTAAATAAAAAAATAATATAAAAAAGCTTTTTTTTTATAATAATAAAATTCTATATTGTGAGTGCGTTTAAAAACTTAACGGATTTCAAGAAACAAAAACATAATAAAGGAATGTAATCATATAAATCAAAAAACAAAATCTAAGGGAATTTTATAATTGGTTTTCTCTTTTGAAGTAATTCTCTATTACAAAATCTAGAGACAGGACGAATTTGTTTTGAAGTTTGAGACTTTTTTTAAACTATTCTTTTGAAAAAAGAAATGGCCTATTCGTTTCAAAAAACGTTATTGTAATAAATACTAATGCCTATGTTGACAGTCTGTTATTTTATTGAAAAAAGTCCTGTGCCTCTTTTGAAAAACAAACAAAAATCACGAAAATCCAAGGGTTTAACATTTTTACCGATACAAAAATATATCTCTGTTGTCTTATGACTACATTCGTTAACATTTTTTAAACGCCTTTTTAATTAAAAAAGAGAACAAGTACAATATTAATGTGCTTTAAGCCTTTCGTGAAAGCTTGCCTGTTTGAAATAAAGAAGGAAAAAGCTGTTATCCTTCAATAGCTCGCAAAAAAAGGTGGGCTTTTTTTTTTTAATTTTTTGGTCCTTTTTTTTATATTTTAAAATAGCTTCTTTCAAAATGTGAAAGATTAAAAAGCAGTTCACTTTGGGAGACTCTCTTGCTGAATCTCAATCTTCTCGACCTGCATGTCTGGATTCATCGCAGTTGCTTCTTGAATCGCCTCGGCGAGAGCTTTATCATGGTCGATTGGGTCGCCGTCACTCTGCAAAAAAAGTTTAATAGATTCAAGAAACACACGTCATCATCAAAGTGAAAAACATACCTGGATTGTTATTTTCTGTTCTACCCTTGTTTCTACCACACCGTCTTTTTCAGTTTTGTACTGGAAAATATAAATTTAAAATTAATTAAAAAAAGAAAAGCAGAATGAAAATATATACAGTAAAATCTTGATATTTTGTATCCTGATATATTGAAAAAATCTCGAAACTACAATAAATAATAAAATTTTGTAATAAACCAATGTATTTCAGTCCCCTTGGTGTAACATATTTTTTTCATTCTTCAAGGTCAACAAAATGTCATAATTCGTATTTTAGCATTGAAATCCTGACTGAATGTATGAACAGAGTGGTAGGGGTTTCCTTAGATGGGTGGACAGAGAGCCCCAAGTCACATAGACCACAAGGGTCTATTGTGACCAGATGTGGCTGTTTCCAGGATTTTGTGTTACACCTGATGTCTCTAACTCAAGACAAACCACATTGCTTAATGCTATTATAGACGAAGCATGAAAAAAGTTAATGGTAACCACATTAAAAAAAAATTCCATCAGAACTTGTTGTTTCCTTTCCTAAAGGAGGGTATAACAGCCGTGGAACTGGGAAATGAAATCCAAGCCCGCATTGGACGGCTCGTCACATTCAAAGGCTTAGTTAATTTTGAAGACATTGCAGTTACTGGAATGCCCAACGACAATGAAATTTTAACTGAAACGCATGACTTGGATGGTGAAGAAGTTCTGAGTAAGAGCCCAAAAAATTGATCAATTGCTTACGTCATTTTTTAACGGGATCAAATGTGGATAAAAACGTGTTCAGAGCAATTAATTTTTTTTTTTAAATGAGGATTCACAATAATAGAGGTTATATCAACCCTTGGGGTGCCAGTGTTTTTTTGAAAAAAGCCCATGTCGGGTTCGAATGCAGGATTTGAACCCGGGACCTTTACCTTACATGACAGCCCCATGTCAATGCCTAAACTGTTGCCCCAATTCACTATGTTTAAATAATTTTTTAATGCGAATAAAAATTCACCATTATTTTCAAAACATATACATAATAAACTTTAACTTAAAATAAAAACTTTCCTTACATACATCCATACAAAATGCAATAAAAATGAAAACTTTTCATATAACATACTTTTCATTTTTTACCCTTGATAAACCATATCTCGCGATATTGTACTTACACTTCATCCCCTTGAAGATACGATATATCAAGATTTAATTGATTTAAAAAAAAAAAAAAGAAGCATAAGAGAGAATATAAATAAGTTGGTAACATTATTGCCACCTGAGGCAGACAACTACACCAGTTATTTTAACATTGGTGAAAGCATGCAGCTTTGGGCTGTCATATGTTGCGGTTTTGACCGAAGCGTTTAACGCAGTGGTTTTTTTCACATCTTACGGACACTGCAGTTTCACTAATGTTATCATGTTTGTTTCACCATTTCGCTAGATGGAGCTGGCTGGTCTCGATCGTGTCGTTTTCCAATATTGGCAATTATAGTGCAATGTACTAAACAGTCAAAGTGGGTTGACCTGATAGAGGGAAAAAGACAGAAAAAAAGGACTTTAAAAATTTGTACTTGGAATTGAGGATTCACCAAAAAAAACAGATGATTTACCCGTAGTTGGATGCAAAACAGACATATGAGGCACAGCTGATGGAATACTGCACAGCCATTCCTCGAAAAACACTTTCAAATTATAATAACTCACCGACTTGGTTTCGAAACCACACTGTCTGTCATGTCCTACCCTCAACAAAGAAATAACCCACTGACTTGGTTTTCCTCTGAGTAAACCTTCGGTCAACTGCTACGCGTGTCATAAGCCATAGTGCAGCTCGCAAAATTGATCAGGTCAGTCATTTGTTCGATGGACATTTGATTATAATTTAATTTCTAAGGTTACTTAAAGTGATTTTATTCTCTAATAACTGGTAGCAATCTAACCAACTTACATATATTTTTGCTCAATGCTTTTGAAATCCTTTCTATCTTACCGTCACTGTCTCCACAGTCCTAGTTTTTGAGGTGATTGTTTGAGAGGAAATGATTTCTCCCGACACAATTGTGTCTGCTTGAATCGTCGGCGGCCCGATGAGCCCGGTGGAAGTTGTGACAAGCGGCGCTGTAGTCGTCGCTTGCGGCATCTCCGTCTTACCACTTGTTATGAATACCGCTTCTGTCTCCACAATCGGCTCCTTTGTTTTTATTATAAAAAAAAATTAAATAAATAAAAAAAAAGAAAGAAGAAAATCAAAAGCAAAAAGGTGCTTTTTTTTAAATGAAATTGTACAACTTTTATAATTCAAAATGGCAAGCGACACTGTGTTCAAACGAGCAGGGTCGGAATTGAATCAAACTGACCTGATATGGAGGTAAGCAGTATGAGGTAGAAACGTCCAAATCGATAGGGGTGCCAGAGTCGTCGGATGATGTTGAACTCATGCTCGATCGTCTCGTATCCTTTTTTTTGAGGGTAATCAAAAGCAAATGGATCATGCCGGGCCCATGCATAATTAAATTAAAAAAATAAAAATAAAAATATAAAATACGGGATAAAGTTTACCTGTGGCTCCGAAACAACAGTTGTAGCCCTAACCTCTTGGGTCACAACTCGTTGTTCTTGCCTTGTCCCGCTTGTTGTTGTTGTCCTTGCAACTGTCTTTTCTTCAACCTGGCATGCATAAAATCGAGAATAAATGACGAATGGTCAAAAGAAAAAAAAAAATTTACTAAGAAAAACCAAAAACCAAAATGACAGCAGTGTTTTTGATCCTGCTCCTTGCGTTAGTATATGTATACTTACAAACCTTTAAATCATCATTTTGAATAATTTAATTTAATGAGATAAAATGATGTGTTAAATTATAAAATAAATTGTATCAAAATTGCTGGAGAATGTTTATATCATAAATTTATTTTGAAGCTTTTAAATAACTAACCTGGCTTGTTTTTGCATTCTTTCCCAAGTCCTCAGTAGTCATTGCAGTCCGTGTGGTTACTGCGGTTGCCATGACATAAGGTGAACTGCCCTGATCCTCCATAAGGCTCTCCGCCTTTTATTACAAGAAAAAAAAAAAGGGGGGGAAGAATATCTACAAAATCATATTCATGAAGTAATAATACTTACTGTGTTGAGCGTCACGTCACCAGATGTCAGATCTTCTATTTTCTCTTCTATGTTGTGCGTCACATTTCCTCCATCTTTGACGACCGACTGTTTTGTTGTTGTCTTCACGACTTTAGGCTTCCCGCCATCGTCATCTTCGTCTTTACGCTTGCCCCACCTGAAAAGCCCTTTGGGACTGAGCGAATCCTTCTTCTTTTCCGATACGTCAGGTGATTTATGTCCAGCTTCCTCCGCCTCTAAGAATTCCTTCGACTTGGACTTTCCTGATTCCTTATCTTTATCTTTAGATTTATCCTTGGCCGAAAGGCTTAGAGAACCTTTAAATCTGTCAGTTAAAGAATCTTTGTCTTTCAACTTATCTTTAGCGGGAGAATCTTCATCTGTAGATTTATCCTTTGATGTAGATTCTTTATTTTTTGACTTATCTTTCGATGAAGCCTCTTTATCTTTCATCTTGAAGCTAAATGAAGTTTCTTTATCTTTCAACTTCTCCTTCAAAGAGGCATCTTTTTCTTTCAACTTATCTTTTGCAGGAGAACCTCTCTCTTTCGATTTATCTTTAGCAGGAGAATCACTTTCTTTTGATTTATCTTTAGCAGAAGAATCTTTGTCTTTTGACTTTCCAACTAAAAAGGTAGACAATGGTGAATCTCTTTTAGGCGAAGAAGAATCATCTTTCTTCTTCTTTTTGAAGAAGCCAGAGAGACTGGAATGTTTTTCTTCAGGTTCGGGAGATTTATTGTCCAACTCGGGTGCGTAATTGAACCCATAGTTAAGCCCCTTAGTCGGACTCCTTTCTTCCGTTCCTTCTTTGCATTCTTCTTCTTCAGCATGATCTTCAACATTTCGCTTCTCATAAGAGAAGCCCTTTGGAGATTGCTCGGAGATCCTGCCCTGATCCTCCATAAGGCTCTCCGCCTTTTATTACAAGAAAAAAAAAAAAAGGAGGAAAAAGAATATCTACAAAATCATATTCATGAAGTAATAATACTTACTGTGTTGAGCGTCACGTCACCAGATGTCAGAACTTCTATCTTCTCTTCTATGTTGTGCGTCACGTTTCCTCCATCTTTGACGACTGACTGTTTTGTTGTTGTCTTCATTACTTTAGGCTTCCCGCCATCATCGTCTTCGTCTTTACGCTTGCCCCACCTGAAAAGCCCTTTGGGACTGAGCGAATCCTTCTTCTTTTCCGATACGTCGGGTGATTTACGTCCGGCTTTCTCCGCCTCTAAGAATTCCTTCAACTTGGACTTTCCTGATTCCTTATCTTTATCTTTAGATTTTTCCTTGGCTGAAAGGCTTAGAGAACCTTTAAATTTGTCAGTTAAAGATTCTTTATCTTTCGATTTTTCTTTAGATTCTTTGTCTTTTGACTTATCCTTCAAAGAGGCATCTTTTGGAGAACCTTTAAATTTGTCAGTTAAAGAATCTTTATCTTTCGATTTTTCTTTGGATTCTTTGTCTTTTGACTTATCCTTCAAAGAGGCATCTTTTTCTTTCAACTTATCTTTAGCGGGAGAATCTTTATCTGTAGATTTATCCTTTGATGTAGATTCTTTATTTTTTGACTTATCTTTCGATGAAGCCTCTTTATCTTTCATCTTGAAACTAAATGAAGTTTCTTTATCTTTCAACTTCTCCTTCAAAGAGGGATCTTTTTCTTTCAACTTATCTTTAGCAGGAGAATCTCTCTCTTTCGATTTATCTTTAGCAGGAGAATCACTTTCTTTTGATTTATCTTTAGCAGAAGAATCTTTGTCTTTTGACTTTCCAACTAAAAAGGTAGACAATGGTGAATCTCTTTTAGGCGAAGAAGAATCATCTTTCTTCTTCTTTTTAAAGAAGCCAGAGAGACTGGAATGTTTTTCTTCAGGCTCGGGAGATTTATTGTCCAACTCGGGTGCGTAATTGAACGCATAGGTGCGCCCCTTAGTCGGACTCCTCCTTTCCATTCCTTCTTCGTATTCTTCTTCTTCAGCATAATCTTCGACATTTCGCTTCTCATAAGAAAAGCCCTTTGGAGATCGCTTGCGGGAGGTCGGCTCATCGCCTTCGTAGTCATATTCGTACTCTCTCTTTACACCTATCTCTTCCATCTTGTCCCGCTTACCTTCATTCTTCTTGAACAGACCAAGGCCAGTGCTCTACTCGCATATGAAATAAAAACGTAACTCATGCAAAATAATAAATACATCTACAAAATAAGGTTAACTAATTGAAACTAACCTTTTTACTCTTTTTTTCTTCCTTGTAACGGTTATCCTCTTTGTTGCGGTTTTCTTTCTCGTCATCGGATTCGTTGGCGACACCACTGGAAATATTACAAATAAAATGAAAATAATCAAGAGTTGAATAGTGATGCAAGCAAATATTAATTAGGCTTTTACAAACTCACTTCTCTTTCTGTTCTCTTTCTTTCTTTCTGAACTCCCCAACTGGCAGTACTGGCACTGCACCTGGAATCCTCTATAAAAAAATTTAATTTAATTATTCATCGGTGGGATGGGTCATTTAAAAAAAAAACGTAGTGCACAAAACAATACAATTAAAAAACAACAAAAAAATAAGAAAAAAACAAAGGCAAAAGCGCAAGAACTACAACACAAAACGGAGCAGCAAACACAAACAGACGAACAAGTTTTTAAAAAACTGTTTCGTGAATTTTCCGCACCTCATCTATACTAAAATCGCCTTCTTGTGAGCTGGCTGATACACTATCTCCGTCCTCCTGATGCGCAAAAAAGTAGTTTACGAGATTTTAAACTAAGGTTAATAAAAAATATAAGGAAAATTATGTGTTTAATCCAGAATTTTTTCAAACTGTTTTGCCACAAATAAGAATAATATGAAGTTGGGCTATGTTTCAGTTTGGAAAAAAAAATGTAGAAATGTAATCTAATATTCTATGTAATTTCAATGTTTGTACCTTTTCTCTTTTAACAGGAGATGTTTGAGTGTTTTCAGGTGGCATGGTATGACGTTTATTAGCTGTGTCCTTTTCTCTGTTTGAAGGCTGTTCAACAAGTGCTGAAATATTAATAAATCATTAATATACTTGAATAATATTATATTATAAAATTATACTTACGATCCAGGCTTTTTGAAGTAGGGTATCTTTGGCTTTTCCTGAAAGAGGAAGGTGGCTCCCGTTCAATAGTGTTGCGTTTCGTCTGGTAATGAGTTTTCCTAAGGGATGGGAATTTATTCGAAAGGCCAGGAATGAGTCCAGGACGGGCTACATCCTCGGGTGTCATAAGGCGGAAGAACGTGTGGTGCTCGACGCAGACGTTCCACAACCTTTTAGCTGCCCTGTGACTATCGAGCTTGAAGGCGATAGTGTTTTCATACGGCTCGTAGTCGCCCGGACGTATCTTTACGTAAAAGTAGTTCCGTTTGTAAGATATTTTCAGAATTTTGGGCCAGGCGAAACGATTAATTCTTAATCTCTCGTGATACACAAGCAGCCCTGTGCTGCAAACGCCTAGCGTGATATCGACGCCCTCGGAATCCTTGGCAGGGTGAAAGTCCACGCCGTACATTGCAAGTTTCTTCACATTCTCCAAATAGTGGAGCTCGGCCTCAGCTGGTGTTTGCCCCCTAGAAAATAAAATTTTTAAAATCGTACTCTAATAAAATTTTAAACAAACTTACTTGTGAGTTTTATGAAGTTCCATTACTTTGGCCTCCAACTGAGGCGTTTGATCAGGGGCAAATCTGAAGTTCTTCAAATATGAAGCGTCGGGATATTCTTCAGGTGAATAATCTCCCAATTCTGATTGGACGAGATACGAGCCGAGCATCGCATACGTCACAAATGAGCAAAGCAGTTTTCCAGTCAGTATATCATTCCTGATCTGGAGGCAGAGTTGGTATCTAGATAAAATATGAAAAAATATTAGAAGAGTTTAATTATTTAATGTAAAAAACTTTTGGCGTACCTTGTAACATCTTCTTGAAGTTGAGATGGGTCTGGAGGATAGAACTTAACAGCAAACTGAAACTCCCAGTGGTCAGCTGAAACAAAAAACTTAATGTAACACAAGGGTGAAATGTTAATAAAAACTTACATTTCATGGTGCGACCGAGTCTTTTATTGAGGTCGAGCCAGTTTGTAACTCCCATCTTATCTTCGTACTGAAGTCCGAAATAATCTTTCTCCACCAAATCGACAGATTCGCACACCTTGTCGAAGACGACTTCACCCTTGTCCTTCCTCTGAAATAATAGTTATTATTTAGCTGCGTTAAAACGTTAAGTGCAAAATTCGTTACGTTACCTCCGCCTGGACATTCAGGACGTCCCCGTCGAGCTTTCGGACCAAAATGGTCAGCATCTTCGTTGGATGTGAAACAGTCTAAGAAAATTCTTCCCTTCTCTGCGACTCGCTTAAAACACAAGGATCAAATTACAACTTTTACTTTCATCCGGCATTTAAATTATAACAATGCAAATTTATACTGAAAAGAAAAAAACAATCATGCCGACAAAAAAAAGTTTTAATTGAAGCTGTGATAATTTAATAACAATGGTCTCAATTGGAGAACTCCCACAGCTGACCTTCCCTGTTAAGAAAATTGTAATTTATAGAGGGAAATATGCAATTTGGGGAAAGTGGTAGGGAGGAAGATGACGAACGTGTCCAAGGACCCCGAATCTTTTATAATTTTACCCAAGACCAATATTTTTTAGGGGAGATAACAGAAACAAATAGGTCTTGGTCTAACAGAAAAAATTATTCACAATCTGGCCTTCATTCACACTCTCTTGTCAAAACCTTTTACAAATTAATTAGAAATTATATTACAAATTATCATCTTATTCATTATTAAAAAATATATCTTTATAATTAAATAAAAGTACCAAACAAGTTCAATTTCATAAGTTTTTATAACATTTAAGATAAATACATTTTCTTAATGAAATGACCTTTAACCCTAAACTATTAATTGTATTGCTTAAATATTCTCTAATTAATTTTAAAAAGATAAAGCAAACCTTATTTTGAACCATTTGATGCTATATTTTTCTTTTAAGATTGTACAAAGCCAAGTAATGTATATTTTGGTCAAAAGGTTTGCTTTAAAAACATAAATCATGGGCTGTATATAAAACAAAATATTTAAGGCCACGCTGTGTCGGTTAATTGAATAGAAACAACCCCAACTACGTACCAGTTCGGCTTAACGAGTTTCCTTATTTATATTACATATCTAGTGGGAAGATAAGATTAAAACTGTTTATACTCTCGTCGTATCCTGCATGAGAAAAAATGTATAAACGGCGGTGTGACAAATAAAGAAAAAGGTAACTTGAATTATTTACCAATCAATGCTGTTTATGCAGCTAAAGAATTTGGAAAATTAAAGCACAACAAATTAAAAATTAATTTTGGGGTGATTAAAGCGAAAATAAATATTGAGTCATCTTCAGAACTAAAAATACATACAGTCAGGGGAAAACTTGCCTCAATATTAAAAGAGTTCATCCTAAGAGCACTGAACATGATAGAGCCAATGGTGCACACTACAGGGACTTAAAGAAGTATCAAAATACAAAGCATATCCTTCTATAATGAAATGGTATAGTTAAAAAATGATGTCAAATACTTAGGGTTAATCTTTGATAATAAATTAACCTGGAACCATCACTGCACTACATCATAAAAAAAAGTAAAAACCACTAATGACCCCAAGAAGAACTATAAACAAATCTTGGAGATAAAACCAAAAATAGCCTACTGGCTATATAAGACCCAAATTATCCTATGGCTCACTAATCTGGTGGACCTCGGCAAAAACAAGCAACCAAGCATTACAGGCTCCAGAAACAATCAAATTGGAGGACTAGCACTTCAGGCATACAACAATAACTAATAAAATCAGACACCTATTCTTAGAAATGGGAACTGACTACATAATCCTCCAGAAACACTACAAAATCCTATAAGATTTCAACATACTACAAAGGAGAATTCAGGAGGCTCCAAAACAAATGAAGGAACTAGATCAGGCGTTTTCGGTAAAAGCCCAAAATATTTGCAATCAAACTCATTCAAGCTGAAATACATGCCATCAATGCTTGCGCCTAACAAAATTTTATAAAAGGTTACAGACAAAAAAATTCCTCTTAAGATCAAATAACCATACAGAACTAAAACATTAGTATGTAAAAAATCACACATCAAAGTTAGCCAAATGAATCTGAAATTTCCACATCTGGAGAAACACAGCCAACAGATTTCTTGGGTGCCAAGACACAAGGAAATTTTGGGTAATAAAAAGGCAGACACAATGGACAGTCTGTAGGCCCTGAATCTTTCTTTGGGATAAAAAACAAACACAGAATTCTCTATTACAGAATGGATCCAAAAAATACAAAAGGAGAAGTGGATAAATTCTAGAAAAAAGTTTATGCTAAAACAACCCGCATCAAGAATGACAAACTCACCCAAGGGCTAAACTCAGAGGCGTAATAGGACTTTATACTGGTCACTGGCAGTTGAGAAAACATCTATACAACATGAGTACATTGAAGACCCCAATGAGCAGAGAAGAGGGTTATTCAAATAAATCGTTATCTATATATATTATGCAGGGAGGGCGACCAAGACCCGAGGGATTAAATGCCTGGGTAGACTCGTACCTCATCCCTAAAAGGTCTGGGACTTGGTCGGCTCACGTGTCCTGCCTAAACCTCTTGGACCTATTCACAAACCCCAAGATTTTGGACCATTTAATCTCGGGGAGTGAATTGGTGATGTCCTCTCCTTCTAAGGAGTCAAATCTAGACCTGTGTACCTATCACACTCTGCAAGGTAGTGCCTTGCTGTTTCTTCTTTTATTTCGCAAAAACGGCAAAAGGGATCTGGTAGGATACCCAATACGAAGGGGTGTCTTCTCAGTGGGCAGTGGCCCGTCAGAATACCTAATTCCTTTCCTTGAGATAGAGAATAGCAATTTTGATTCTGCTGGTTTGATCGCCTTAACAAACTCTTTCGATTGCCTGTGTCCGGGGGATAAATTCCACTCCCTAAGGAATTGTTTCATGCCCCAGTTATTAATTACTCTCTTTCGCTGTGCTCATAGAGTGAGGTAATACCGGTTGTGTCCAACAAACGCAGTATTAGAACCTTCTTTGGCTAGGCCATCCACCATTGCCATGGTGTCCTTTATGTGCTGGTATCCAAATAAGGGTTACCTTGTTCTCAAACCTGAAAGAGATCCTATTCTATAGTTTCCTCCACCAATCGCGTTATCTAGATAAGTTGAACAGATGATTTTTTTTATTCCATTATCTTCTGTGAAGATGACTGTCTTTTAGATAACGCATCACCTAGATGACGCATTATCTAGATAATGCATTATTCGTGAAATATGCGGATGACCGTTTATTCGAATAAAGCGTTATCTAGATAATGGGAAATAACGGAACACTGGCAGGGTATAGATCGGTCCACAATTCAGTTTCATTTTACTTCCACGGATTTCGCTTCTACTCAGGCTGTTACTGGTTGAAATCGGCTATATAGTGTAGCAATATTTGAGATAAAATAGATATTGAAGATAGTACAAACACTGTAGTAAGTGCATACCTATCCACTGCGAAGTGAGAGTAAATCATGTACTTCAGCTTTCGTACAGGTTGTTACATACTATTTGATCAGATAAACAGGCGTTTGGCTAAATAAGTTTTATCATTAATGGTCAACTTTTCCGTGTCTAAAATCAAGCAACCTTAATCCTTTTCATGTTGTAGCTAGCAGGAAGCTACTTCCTTAAAAATAGCCGGTACGTACACATGTCAACACCGTTAGCTGCGATGATTAACCTAGTAAACAAACCACATAGCTCGTACCTACTGGAATTAAAATAATTCCTTTCTCATTGTATATCAGCTTTTGTAAAAAACAGAGAGAAGGGGGAAGGATTAATTAGACGGAAAAACTATATTAGCTACAGCAACACTTATGAAGTGCAATACAAGCAAAGTGTACAGCGTATAGGTACTACTCACTTGAATGAAGTTATCTATAAGGTTATCTATGCCACGAATAACAGATGATTTTTCATCTAGATGAAAGTAGATGATTCGACATCCATGGCTCGGCAGATAATTTTTTATTCGTTATTCGGGGGCGGGCACGCATTATCTAGATCAAAAATGATCTACAAAACTTTCGGATGATTGGCGCGAATGAAAAATTATCCGTTATTCGAATGAAAACCCCCCTAGTCTGCCAATGAGGAGGAAGAAACAGCACCCATATCATCTTGGGATGTGAATCAACTGCTCAATGAAGCTAAACATAATCTGGGATACAAAGAAAAATCAGGGAAAGGAAATGTAGCAACAACAGTTAATAACCTAGCACTCCTTAGGAGAAGGATCCAAGTCCAGGAGTCGGCTGTAACTTCGGTCTAATGAGAACCGATGTGCTCAGCATGTTATGGAGTCAAATGCACTAAGGAACTAAGAAAGAACAAAGCCAGAAGGCTGCAGTGCTTGGGAAACAAAAACCCTATTTCAAAGTTTCCATAATCATATCTTTTCCTACGGCACTAAAAATACATAAGCAAAAATTGAATATGATGCAAAGGCCTATCTCTCGTATCACAGGGTAAATCTGCTTGAACTCAACCGTACCAGTGAATCATGAATTTTCCAAGGGAGCAAAATTTATACAATATGATTAAAACCCCATACTTTACTGAATTGCTGGCTGGAAAAGAGAATATGGAAATACAGTGTCCGCACTTGGTATACTGACCTAAAAAAGCCAAACAATATAAAATTGCACTATCCTTACACATGACAAAGTTTTCTCACAGTTAACATACCAGTATTCAGGTACCGTGAGAACTGAAACCAAAGATTTGGTCACATTGGCTGTCAGAACATAACACCATAACCAGGTCTGCATCGTCTAATCACCAAAGAGTACAACGAACACAAGACGGAAAAAAAATGGGCACAGATCCAAGCTTTGAGTTGTAAACAGATTAACACTATTATAAGAATACAACAACTTTTGCCAAAAGATAACAAATCCATTATGAGAAGTTGCCAGGATAAAACTTCGAAATTTATAGTTCCAGAACTTGTAATAGGTTCTTAACTTGATAAACCAAATGTGTAAGAAGACATAAAGTACACAAGAACGTAAGAACACATACACATAAATTAAAAGCCAGATATTAGACATGATCAATATTTTAAAATTTAAATTGGTTAATAAATTATTTTCATTCAGCAGCCTTAGACAACTGACAGACACTGTAGTTTAAAGACAAATAATCATACAATAAACAGAAATGAGCCTCTCTGTAAGAGTGTTCTTCAAATTTTATGACTGTGAAGTCAAAACTAATCCGAGGAATAGTTTACAAGCCTAAATCAGACCAATTAGCTGCCTGAAATTTGATCAAAAGTATGGACCTATGATAAGCCTAAAAGTAAACATGGCCAATGCTTCAAGAAGCCAGTTAAAACTAAATATCAAAACAATAAACAAAAACAAGCCTTTTTGTAAGAGCATTCACCAAATTGTACGACTGTGACGACAAAACCAGTCCGTGGAATGAAATAGTTTACAACCAAGCCTTAAACATGCCATAAAAAGGAATGACTTATGATAAGCCTAAAAATGTGCAAGGCCACTGCTTCAACATGCTAGATAAAACTCAACTATACAAACAATCACTGCAAGGTCCCAGGTTCGAATCCATGCATTCAAACCCAACATACTTACGAATGGGCTTTTTTCAAAAACACTGACACCCTGAGGGCCGATAAGACCTCTGCTGTTGAGGACCCCTCATAAAAAAATAATTAATTAAAAAAAAATAATAATGAGCCTTTCTGTAAGAATGTTCCTTAAATTTTACAACTGCGAAGACTGGTCCAAGGAATGAAATAGTTTACAAGAAACCCTAAATCATAGCAGTTGGCTTCCTGGAACTTCATAAAAGGTATGAACTTACAATAAGCCTAAAAGTATGGGAGTTCAATGCTACAACATGATAGATAAACCTCTATTATCAAAACAAATACTATTTATAAACAGATTACTTTGAATACAACACTTGTTGAAATTTGCATTTTTCACTATTCACGTATGAAAAAATGAGAAAAGTTTTGACATTTGCTTTTTCATTGTTTTCTCAAGTGGAATTTGTGCCGCAAAATGCCTCCTCTTTCAAAACAGAAAAAAAAAAAAAACGTCCTGACCCTTGTTGAAAGAATAAAATTTTGAACATGTTACATTTTTTAAGCAGACCAAAACTTTTTTCTGAAACAGACCAGGGAAATTTTAACCTTGAGGGACCAACTTATTAAAAATGCAATGGATATGGACCCATCTTTAAATTGAAGTTTTAAGTTTAAGAGGGATGTCGACGCCGCTCCAAAGCCTTATGTGGAAATTCTTAAAGAAAATTAATTATTCGGTGAAACAGCGGACAATTATTAGTTATTTTTTGCCTTGTACGCCAAAAAATACAAACAATGAAAACAACATGTTCAAACACTGTTGTGTCTCCTATTATGTTTATTTTGACTCAACGTTTTTTTAAGTTCTGAATTGAGTCTTAATTTTTGGTGTCATGGAACGTAACCCTCCTTATACCATAGGAAAATAGACTCAAAATTCGCAGATTTAACATTCACGGCAGTTTTCTGGAACTAAACATCCGTAAATGTTAAGGGATTACTGTATACTGTTGAATACTTATAGTTATTTGACTATTGAAACACCAAGCTTGATGGATACAGTTTTATGATAACTATATACTTAAAAATGGGAAGAATGATGCAATTCCATCAGATAAAAATTATAAACTGTTTTTTTCCATTGCACTATTTAAACCACAAGACCCCTGCATTGTTTTTCCCCTGGACTTTTCAACTGACATGTAAAGAAAAAAAAAGATAAATAAACTGCAATTTGAAAGAATGTGAATAGAATAGAATAGAAATTGTTTATTGTATTATAGTAAGAATTGTAAGCATTACATATACCAGGAGGGTGATGCACAACATTACAATTTAAAACATAAGTTAAAATACAAGATGTTAACATTTTGAAAAATAAAAATACATAATTAAGTAACAGCAAACAAACAAAATAAATTGGATTTGAACAGAAAAATAAAATAGTTACGTTTTAACAACAAACTAAACAAATGTCATTTGTATTGATTTTATAACTTCCATTGTAGAATATTACGTATTATATTATTTTAAGTAATGCTTCACAATTAGCTAGTCTTAATTGAACTAGCAACTTATTTTCTTAATGGCTAAACCAAAAAACAAACATTGTTTAGCAGAAGTTAAACTATATTTCAATCGGAACCCAGAGTTAAATCGCGAGTTGAGGCATTTATCTGTCTTTTGAGTATGTATTGTTCTTTCAACTCTCAACTATATCATCTTTTTTACTTAAAATGCATACATATTATGTAGGTCCAACGTTGAAGACGTTAAAAAGGCATTAATGGTCCTAAGAGACCGTTTATAAATAAAGATGATACATTATTTTTATTTTTGTAGATTGACTGTCCTTGATCATCCCGGCCTGTCTGCTACACTGGTTTTGATATCACCACAAATACTAATGGGACAATTGAACTACAAGTTTATTTAATCAAGCACAAGCTTCATTAAAACAAATTAATTAAATCTGGGTACAGTGTATACTTTTACTTTTTAAGAAGGAGCACTTATTCTGGTTAGTTCTAATTCACTTAGGTGTATTTATTGTTCATGTGTTGCAACAGACAAATAGGAAAACAATATTTACAGTTTACTGTTTGTCTTTTATATATTTTTAAATTAAGGGGTTAAAATAAGAATTTTTCTTTTTGCATTTATTTTGTTGTTGTTAAAAAGCTTAAGTTTTTAATATTTGAAAATTATTAATGTAGATAGGTACTTTCATTTACAACAAAAGAAAAAAAAAAGAATACCACAAAAAAATAAAATTAAATAAAAATTTATAAGCATATAAAAACATGGATTAAAATTGTCTGCCGGAGGTTGTTGCTGGTATCATGAAATGACAATATGTAAATTTAAAAAAATATTTAAAGAAAAAATTAAACATTAAAAAAGCTGGTAGGTACATAAAACACAAAGCAATACAAAGCACACAATAATAAATAAAATAAAACAGAAAAATACAAAGGTGAGATTGACTGGAGAGCAAACCAGAGATATTGTGTGTCGAATCAGTGTTGATAATTAAATTGACGGACTAATTCAAATCTGTATTCAATTAATCTGTACGGATCAAATACACCACCCAGATATTCCAAAAAGGAAATCCTTACTTAAAATAAAATTCCCCAAATAAAACTGATTTGGATAAAACTCCCCAATTGTTGTCCTTTCCCCCGGAAAGTGGAGCACACAAGCATAATTAAAAACGAATTAATTTAATCTGGGTATAACTCAAATAATCTCGTGGTTGAAATACCATCATAAAAAAAAGTGTACAGTTTATACTTTTACTTTTAGGAAGGAGCACTTACTCTGATTAGTTCTAATTCATAATCATAAAAAAAAACAATGTGGAAATTGAAAAAATACGTAAAGAAAAGAAACTAATAATTAAAAAAAGCTGATAGGTACATTACAGGTCTGCACAAGCATCATTAAAAACGAATTAATTAAATCAATATATATCTCAAATAACTTTGTAGTTCAAATAAGCTTTAAAAATATTAAAAAATAAACACAAATCTGCGTTTAGTTTACACTTTTACTTTTCATTTACTCTGGTTAGTTCTAATTCATAATAATAAAAAAAGGAAATTTAAAAAATATGTAAAGAAAAAAATTACCAATTAAGAAAGCAGGTATGTACATAAGAAAAAACAAAGCAATATAAAGTACCCAATGGTAAGTAAATAAAATATAACAGAACAAAGGTGAGCAAACCAGAGATGTGTGTCGAATCAGTATTGATAATTAAATTGACGGATCAATTCAACAATTCAAATCTGTACTTCCCCAAATAAAACTGACATAACACCCCAAGTATTGTGCACGCATAAGCATAATTTAAAACGAATTAATTAAATCTGGGTACACCTCGTAAAAAATGAATAAATAAAATTAAAAAAAAAAATCTGTGTATAGTGTATACTTTTACTTTTAGGAAGGAGCACTCGCTCTGATTAGTTCTAATTCAATTAGGTGTATTATTATGCTCTTAGGTTGCAACAGAAAAATAGCAAAACAATATTTACAGTTTATCGTTCCTCTTTTACAATATAAATTTAAAATAAATTAATAATTTAATTAATAAATAAAAATAAAATTTAATCACTAATTTAAAATTATTTTATTACAATATTTATTAGAATAATATTTAGTTGCGCTGTAATTCAGGTTTTTCGGACTTCAANCTGCAAAAGGAGTGCAACTATAACAAAAAATACCAGTGAAAAATATAATTTTTTTATTGGCCTCTGACATTCTAGGTTTTTTAATTTAATATAATACTTATTTAAAAAAATTTCTGCTAGATATTTATTCTTAATTTAAAAAATTCCTATTTTAATACTTTAACTTATAAAGATATTATTAATTGAAGTGTTAAAATAAGTTTTTCTTTTTGAATCTATTTAATTTGCTGTCGTTAAAATGCTTATTTATTTATTTATTTTTTTAATATTTAACAATAATTAATATATATGTATAAAGAGTAAAAGTGGGGTGAGTAAAAAGTGAAATAAAAAATAATTATAAATAAATAAAAATATATAGAAAAAAGAATAAAGTGAGCAAAAAGTGATTATTATGTGTTAAGTTAAAATGAAGTTTTTTGTTTTACTATTTAGTAATTAATGTTTAATAGCTCTTACTGAATGTGAAAAAATTGATTTTTTTAAAAGGAAATTATAAACTGTTAATATAGGTGATTTTTTTTTTTTTAAACAAGCAGTTGAATTTTTTATAATATGAAAACAACCTTTCTGAATCGTCAAATTGGGCCTTGTGCAACTACTTTTGACTCGGAACTACGGATCTTGACGAAACCCACCAAAATTAAAGCTAAAGAGCTTGGACTGCTCAGGAAGACTGGGGCTCAAGGGAAACAAACGTATTAAAGAAACTCCCGGCTCATCTTTAGTCCAAGGCGCGGAATTAAGGTCATTTCCATTAATCCAAATTGGAATGTTTGAAAAAATGGGCCAAGATATTTTCTTCCTCCGCGGCGGGAGCCGTGGCGTATGTTTTTCTTTTCTATTTGCCCAACGGGAAAAACAAACGGATAAAATTGAAAAAGGAGGTTAGATAAAATTAAATGAGATAAGGAAATCCGGGGACGGCTTGATGGGGTCGTCTTTCTTACCTTAGGTTCTCGGAAAACGTTCAAGGCCCCGAGGGCGGATCCCGGAGGTGGAAAACAGGTCGGGGTTTTTCACAAATTTGACCCAACACAGAGGGAAAATCGAAACGGAAAACTCAACACAAACACAAACACGCCCAAAAAAAGTAGGCGTTTACCGATTGGAGAATGCAAGATGGCGCCGGCACTCCCAAGTGACTGAATTCAAGTCGAGCTTTAATTTCAAATCCCCACAAAATCAACAATTGATCAAACGCTTTAATTTTATTCAATTTGATAATAGAAGTTTTTTTATAAAACAACCCAAAACACGTTTTTATTTATTCATTTTATCCTTAAAAAAAAAACAATCAATAAAAATAATTAAAATAAATAAAAAATCAACAACAACATAATTGCAAATAGCGTTACATTACATTATTGCAAAAGACATAATTTACAAGATTGGCACATTTTTTGACGATTCGACAAAAACAACGCAAAATAAGAAAATCAATCCAATCGATTTTTATCGAAGCCACTTCTTTCGATATTGATTTTAGAGCGAAACATTTAAACGTCAATGTTGGTTTCAGCGGGATCTGAACCCCAAATATTATTTATTTATTTTATTCTACTGCTATATAAAATACAGAAACAATACAAATATAAGTGTATAAAATTTACAAATAAAATCCTCGTCGATAACTAACAATTATATTTATTCCTCGAGGAATATCGAGTACTGTGGGGTAATGAGAATAAATGTATGAATGTAATTCATTAGGACGAATGAAGGTTTATCCCCAATTACCTCGAGGAATATAGAGTAATACGGGGTAGTGTGAATGTATTTATTAGCGTGAATAGAAGGGCACATCCCCAATTACTCCAAGGAATATCGAGTAATCTGGACTAGTGAGAATGAATGTATGAATGTGATTAATTAGTGCAAATGAAGGGCTTACCCCCAATTACTGCAAGGAATATGGAGTAATCTGTGGTAGTGTGAATGTAGTATGGTGTGTGAATGTAATTTAGCATGAATGAAAGGGCATATTTTCAATAACCCCAAGGAATATCGAGTACTCTGGAGTAATGAGAATAAATGTATGAATGTAATTCATTAATGCAAATGAAGGGCTTATCCCCTATTACTGCAAGGAAGATGGAGTACTTTGGGGTAGTATGAATGTAGTCTGGTGTGTGAATCCAATTCATTAGTGAAAATAAAGGGCTTATCCCCAATTGCCCTGAGGAATATGGAGTACTCTGGAGATGTGAGGATGAATGTATGAATGTAATTCATCAGTGTGAATGAAGGGCTTATCCCCAATTACCTCGAGGAATATCGAGTACTCTGGGGTAGTGAGAATGAAATTAAAGGCGTGAATGGAAAGGCATATCCCTAATTACCCTGAGGAATATCGAGTACTCTTGGGTACTGTGAATACTAACCAGACTATCATGTTTTTATCTTGTTTCTGTGTTTGTGTTGGTTTTTTGTGTTATGTTATCTACAATGGAAGAGGCGCTGAGGTACAGAGAAGCTAGCAATAGTACAAAGAAAAGAGAGAGTTGGTTATTGTTGTACTATAAAATATCGTACCTGAAGAAACAGAAAAATAAATTAGTAGGATTAAAACGTGAGGAAGATAGGAAAATAAATATAAAGCTAAGGAAGAGAGGGCTGGTAATGACCCATGTATTTTGCCACCCCTAAAACTTAAAAAATATTAAATATAATGCTACAGATTCTGATCTGATTTTAATTGTAAGCAGTCAGGAACCGAATTAATTTTTAACTTTATTTTTAAATCATTTGCAAAAAGTAGGGGAAGAGAATTAGAGGCGTCATTTATGTATATTGGCCTTAAAAAGAAAAGGATATAAGTGCTTGAGGGACACCAAACTACATATGTGAAGTTAATTTTAATTTTACATCAAGAATTCAAGTAGTTAAGAGTATTTTGCACAATTTCCTATGATGCTGGGTCACAATCAACAAACAAATAACAGATTATTAGTTAGAGAAGGCTGAACCCCCGAGTGATCGATTATATACCAGTCACTGGCATCTGAGAAAATATCAACACAAGATGGGCATATTCAATAATGACCCCATTTGTAGATTATGCAATGAATAGCCACCCATATCATTTTTGAATGGGAAGCAACCGCTCAATGGAAACCTGGGATACCAAGAAAACCCAGAGAAAGGAATTGTAAGAACGACAATTGATCTAGTACTTCTTAGCAAAAGGATCAAGTTGACTGTAGTGAACTAAGGAACTAGGAAAGTATAAGCCAGAAGACTGCAGTGCTTGGGAAACCAAAAAAAATCCCCAACTTCCTAGTATCCATCATCATCATCATCATTTACGCTAAAGTAATTCTGTGATTTTTCTAAAATACACAAAAACACTGAACAAGTTTAAAAGGGAGGTCAAAATGTTTATGAAAAAGCAAAGGTAAAGAAGAAAAATAGCTGGTAGTTCATTCATGAATAAAGTAATAAAACTAATACAAGGATTATAATAACAATGAAAAATTAGGATAATAAATCAATATTGTTTTTGACCTATCATTGCTTCAATAAGGAAGTGAAGGATGCCCAGAATGTAAAATGACAATATGCAATACCCATAAAAATCCATGACATAACGGTAATCTTTTGTTGACTTGCATTTCATTAAATTTAAAACAAGCAACCAAAATAAAAAGACAAATGTTTCTCGAACCGATATATTTTCTTACAATATATAATACCATATAATAATAATAATTTTTACATTTACAATATAATCAATATACAGTGGTATATAATATATTATGCTCATGTAATATAGGTACATATATATTTTTTGTTTTGACATTTATATAAATAATTATAGTTTTTTTTGTTGTAAAGAATATATGATGGACAATACATATACCTATGCCTTGTAAAATTAGTCAATAGTTTTATTTTAAAAAAATGGTGGCACTGATATCACAATAAGCGCATTATTCAATTAATTACATAAATATTTTTTTTTTAAATTTTTGTTTTGCGGTAACATCAATTTTTCTTAGCATTAATACAGGGTGGAGCATTTTCTACTTTCGCCTACAAACCCAGTATGGGCTGGTTTGTATTCATTCTCGAGAATCTTTGTCTTCCTCCTGATTGGTACGATTCTGTTAAAAAGCACCTTTGTGTATGATATGCACCAACGTACGAGTTGTCTCCAAACTTGGAGAGGAAGCACGATACCTGTTAGAAACTTTTGAATTAATCACAAATCAACGCATAACATGAGAATCTACATTGTGTATAACAATATATTTTCTTTTGCATTGTCTACCAGCAGACAAATGCATTATAATTTTAAAAACGCATACTGATAAATGTAAAATCTATGTTATCATTATTTAACTGTTTTTTTCCCTCAACACCCTGTATTTACATAAACATTATACATCTATAAACATCCAGTTAACATCAATTTTTTTAAAATCTGTGCAGTATAATCCACTTTGTTAATATTAGGCTAAACAATTAAATTTAAGGGGAAAATCAGGACGGTTTTTCTTAAAAAAGAGTTTTGGTTGTTTTCCGAATCTTCGATGTATATCTGAACTATCTTTACCCTGTCTGACTCTGTATTTAGTTTTCAAACTCTTTATCCTTTCATTGAGAAATACGAAGAGAAACCTTGCTCCCAGTCTGTATAGTCGGGATGGCCAAAGCACTCGTCCCAGAATTGGTCCGTGAGAGTGTAGAAATGTTTGGATATGAACGATTCCTCAGGCTGATCCGGGTAGGTCTGCATTTTAAAAAAAATGTATTAACTTAACAATGCAGATATTTAAAAGAAAAAAGCAATACTCATACCATGTGTTGGAACATGACTTCCTCTCGTACTAGGGCTCTGACCATGAGCATGGCGTGTTGATAGTGCACATCGTAGTCGTAGGCAGAGTCGATTATGAGGACTTTCTTGTTCTTCAAGTTTCCTGCTTTTTTGAGCACATCTGCTTCTTCATAACCACGGTAGTTGTCTGTACTGTTAGCTGTGCCGAGCCATGCCTCCGTCCAGACTGAATCTATACAAAAGCTATCAAAATTAGTACAGTGGGAAATTCGATGTAAATTGTCAACAGATCAACCCAGTGAGGTTAGAAAGACCAAAATATATAAGAAGTATTATAAATCTAGAAGTATTCCAAAGATTCAGAATACAACCTGTCTCTAAAGCCATATACCATCATTACACAACATTAAGATGTGGTGAAAAGTAACTTTACCAGTCAATTTTCTCCGTTAATATTTAAAATTTGGCTGTATTCAATAAATTGTTTATCTCAATGTAAAATGTTGCCCATTGAATTTTTTCTGTTTGAAAATGGACGGCGCCTTTTTCATGCCAAATTCTTCAACATCGCTTGCTCTTGATTCTTGGCTTATCAAAACAGGAACTTAAGTACTTTGAACTTCAGACTTCAATATAATAAATAGTTATTTTATACGCACTGTAATGTGACCAGGAAAAGACACTGGATATACATATCCCACATTTGAAAAGATTGTTGAGCGTTTCACTGAGGATCATAGCAGTTAGATATCCGCCGTAGTTTTTGCCGTAGACGCCGATTTTGTCTTTATCGATGAATTTTAGTTTGCTGATGAGGTACTGGACTACGGCTCCCTGGTCTAAGGCGGCACTGGGCCCGATGACCGTCTGCCCAGTGTCAATTTCGGCCACGATATAGTTTTTCGCCGAAGAAAGATAAGTTTCGTAGTTCATGGACCATCTGTGATCCACCGAAGGCTCTTCCGGCCTGTGAGAACTGTAAATAAATACATGATGAACTCTATACAGAGGGTTTTTTACCGAGACGAAATTACATTTTGAGTAATAGTGGAAATGCTGTTTCTTCGTATTCTCTCATGCCCGGTGGCAGTCTTAGTTTGACATGTGCGACCTTGCCTTCCTGGAGTTTCACCTGAAAGATCTTGGTTTGTGGAAGAGCGTAGGAATAGTAAATGGTCCTCAGCTCGTTGTTCTCCTTGATGGTGTTGATTTTATTGCTGGACGCGACGTCCATGACATGCACCGATGGCACGTCCGGCCCTGGAAACCAAAACTCCCTTTTAGGTTGAACCGTCCGACTGACAGATCCACAAGAATTACCTAAGCAGGTGACCATGTAGTACTTGAAGTTAGGGGAGAATTCGGATTTTGTAAAGAGGCAGTCGGTAGATCTGACTGGATGGCAGTCCGCCTGGCTCGAATTCGCCGGTACCCTGGAAATGATAGGTTTATAAATTTTCCAGATATTTCAGGATTGGCAAGACCGTACTCACGCCACGTCCGTCGTGAGATTACCAAACCTAGTTGGACATGTTAGACAGGTCGGGCCCGAACTTGCCGACTCCTCGTCCAGCTCAAAGAGATGTCTCTGTGTTTTCTTATTATCTGGGAACGCCTCGAAATATCTACGCAATTTAAAACATTGAGTACACCGGTAGTTTTGAAATTTAATGCCAATATTAATTACAGTGTTTTGTTTGAGGATAGTTTCTTATAGAACTGGGGATAGGAGGACAAAAGATCGAGGAACTTTCTGGTCTCGAATGTGTTCCTAGACGGCCTCAAGTCACCCAGCTTGTCCGAGTTCATCGTGCTTTTCTACAAAACGAACCATCGTTCAGTAAAATTCGCCAGTACTGTAACTATCAGAAAGGTGCTATTGGTGCTCATAGCTGCTTTTACCGTCTCACAGGTGAAATTGGGAGCGAAGCATTGGCTATAGACGGAAATATTCTGTCTCCTGTTGACCCAGACAAGACCCAGAGAAGAATCGGGTCCCCATTCGACTTCTGATAGATAGGGGGTGCTGTACGGGAAAAGAAATAACGCCGTGCCATTCTAAACAGTATTGCTCATTACGTGCTCATCTAATCTAAGTTCTAAGTCTAAATTGCCAATTGGTGCTCTAAGTGTGGTGATTTGTCTATATTCCACATTTTAAAAGGTTTTTAAACTGGACGTTTACTGTTTTCCAGATGGAATTTGATCAATGTACATTAGTAATGAGATTACCTTTCGTGCATATTCAAATATCAAATAAATCCTAAAGTTTATCTTCTAACTCTTATGAAAGATCGTTTTTATTATATAGTTTCATATGTGCTTAATTTAAATAACTAAGTAGTAAGAAAGGACTTACTCTCCCTCTAGAATTTTAGGTCTTTGAAGAGTGTGTGTTGTGAAGTCAGACAGATCTATCACGCTCACGTTCACTTCAGGGTTTTGGGTCCCAGGCTGAAAGAAATTTTTTTTAAATCGACCAGAAGTAATAGCAAGACACTGTGGCACTCACCTTCGGGTATGGGATTTCTGTGTGTTTCGGGTACTGCTCGGAGGTGTACTTGCTGATCGACACCTTCCCGACGTTCGAGTCGTCGAAGGTGGCGTAGGCGAGGAAGGCACCGTCGGGAGAAAACCAGAAGGCCACGTCGTCCCGGAATACTTCTTTTTGGTAGAGCCAATCCGGATGAGCGTGACGGACCCACTGATTAAGACGAGGCGGAGAGATCATCTTCGGATGTCTTTCCGCGTTTTTGACAAAGTACAACTCTCCCTCGTAGGCGAAGGCCAAGTCGTGTCCGACCGGGGCGAAGTCCACCCTGTTCAAGTAATACTGCCTGGTGTGAAAGTCGTCGCCAACGGGAGTCACGTGCCACCTTGTCCTGAAAAAAAAAATCATAAAAAAATTAAATCGACCATAAGTCTTACTTGACTCATTTAAAAACTGACTTGGTTGAAATTTCGTAAAGGTGGTATACCGCCTCTTCCGTGTTTTTGTAAATCCGTCTTGGGAACGAGATGAACAAGAGGTATTCGTAGTCTGCGGACAGTTTGAAATCATCTGCGTCCAGTTGCCTCTATTAATTATTTTAAAATAAGTTATGAAAATGGGAAAAAGTTAGAGACCCCCTAGAGTTGTACTTACGAATGTCGCGTTATCCAGGAGATCTCGCGTTTCATTACTTTCCGGGTTGAAAATGCTGATACCGCCAAGCTCATTTCTAAATACTACCTCGTTTCCTAAAAAAACGTAAATATTTGAACTTATGAACTTAACATGCTTTATAGTGGGATGCAGTATTAGAAGTATCGACCACTTTTTCACTTACGAACACTCTGGATCAAGGTATGGTTTTGAAGAAGAAAGAAAATTTAGTTTGCGACCTATTTTAATACCCTGATGATGACCTTAAAATAGGTCGAAAGCTTGTCAGTAGCAATTAAATTTGCTTTCTCCTTCAAGACCATACCTCCATCCAGTGTTCGTAATAGTGGGATAGTAAAGTCAATTAGGAACGTTTTGACTTCACTAGTACATAAAAAGAAAACAATATTCAAGTATGTACATTGCTTGTATTTATTAGCGTGGAAGTGTAGTACGAGAGAGAGCCCATGCCCGAATCAATTCCACCCATAGACCCTCAATTAAATTACCTTATAGTTTGTATATTCGGTTATGGAAGATCGGGGTACTCTTCTTGATATACAATGTTTTTGTGTTACGTGAGGTTGGATGTATTTATTAGCGTGAATGTGGCGTGAGAGGTAATCGAACCCATATCTTGTTGTGTACCCAAGGTGATGGAAGCATATCGAGGCTTCCACAATTCAAGAAAAGTAACTTATAGGAGTTTCAGGGTAAATATATTGGGTGAATTTATTGGCGCGAATGTGCAGTATGAGAGGGCGGAATATTAAGTGACAAATCTATCGTTAATTAAATTACCTGTGTAGTTTGTGTATTTGGTGATGGAAGATCGGGGTACTCTTCTTGATATACAATGTTTTTGTGTTAACGTGAGGTTGTATGTATTTATTAGCGTGAATGTGGAATGTGAGTGGTTGATCAAACCCATATCTTGATGAGTACCCAAGGTGATGGTAGCATATCGAGGCTTCCACAATTCAAGAAAAGTACATTATCAAAGGTTTCAGGGTTTTTAGATATATTGGGTGTATTTATTGGCGTGAATGTGTAGTATGAGAGGGCGGAATATTAAGTGACAATCTATCTTTAATTAAATTACCTGTGTAGTTTGTGTATTTGGTGATGGAGATCGGGGTACTCTTCTTGATACGCAATGTTTTTGTGTTAACGTGAGGTTGGATGTATTTATTAGCGTGAATGTGGAATGTGAGTAGTTGATCGAACCCATATCTTGATGAGTACCCAAGGTGATGGAAGCATATCGAGGCTTCCACAATTCAAGAAAAGTACCTTATAGGAGGTTTCAGGGTAGATATATTGGGTGAATTTATTGGCGTGAATGTGTAGTATGAGAGGGCGGAATATTAAGTGACAAATCTATCTTTAATTAAATTACCTGTGTAGTTTGTGTATTTGGTGATGAAAGATCAGGGTACTCTTCTTGATATACAATGTTTTTGTGTTAACGTGAGGTTGTATGTATTTATTAGCGTGAATGTGGAGTGTGAGAGGTTGATCAAACCCATACCTTGATGAGTACCCAAGGTAGTGGAAGCATATCGAGGTTTCCACAGTCGAAGTAAAGTACCTTACAGGAGGTTTCAGGGCATTTAGATATAATGGGTGTATTTATTGGCGTGAATGTATGTGTGCAGTACATATGATATGAGAAGGCGGAATATTAAGTGACAAATCTATCTTCAATTACATTATCTGTACAGTTTGTGTATTGGATGATGGAGGATCTTGGCTCTTTTTGATATTGTTATTTTCAAAAATATACGTTCTTGCGTTAACATTAGATTGGGTGTACTTATTAGCGTGAGTGTGGGGTGTGAGAGCATCGAGTACTCATCGATCCTCAATTAGATTAACTTTATAACTTGATGATGGAGGTTTGTATATTGAGTCCTGATCTTACTTGAGTTAATGGTTTAAGCAAAATAATATAAACGAAAGACAACAAGAAACATATTAACAAACAAATCTCAAAGATGTCATTCCTTGGCAATACATCGTAAATCTTACTTGATGTCCAGACAGGTCGGTTTTGTCTTTTCATAGGCGGAAGTACATCTAGCTTCGGTTTCGTTATCCTGGGAAGGCGGTCCCCAGGTGTAAGGAGCATTGTAGAGACGAGGATGAGAGAGAGGACGACTAGAATTACTAGAAGAGCTATCAGGACCCCTGGCCAGTTTCGTTCGCCTTCACTGGTTGAAACCAGCTCCTGGAAAATTATAAAATTTGTTTTAAACGTTTTCTTTACAAAATAAAAAACGACATACATGCCAACCAATACGACAAAATGCCGACATACCGATTGGCAGGAAAAAACCCAGCGAGAACAAAAGGACTATCATACTACCAGTTCATCACTATACAGCTACAAAATTGCACAGTAGTATCATCTTATCCTTTAAGAAAGAATAATAATTAATCGTAAGATTGCTCATCTTCAGTTGGTCTGTGCATTATTCCGTCAGTTGTGTCCTTTTATAAGGTGTAGGCATTAGGAGCAAAGACCAACTAATGGATTACGAAATATCTATACGCTGTTGTCTTATTTAGCCTGATAATCACCGATCATTCTGTTGTGTCAATTCTTCCTGAAGAGACGGCACAGAAGCAGACCATTGGACCACAGTGGTTATGGCAAAACACCTAAACTCGCCTGGTTTTTCTATCATGGTGGGCTTGCGAATTTTCCTTTTATCAGTTGGTCTGTGTGTTATTCCGTCAGTTGTGTCCTTTTATAAGGTGTAGGCATCTTAAGATACATAGGACCAAAGAACAACTAGTGGATTACTTAATTTCTAAACGCATTTGACAGCTGTAGTCTTATTTAGTTTGATAATCACCGATCATACTCTTCTGTTTTATGTCTATAGAGACGCCTAGAAGCAGACCATTGGACTATAGTGGTTAAGGCAAAACACCTAAACTCGTCTGGTTTCTCTCTCATGCTGCGGTATTTCACTTTTTTCATTTGGTCTGTGTGTTATTCCTTCCATGATGTCGATACCCTTCTGAAGCAGACTATTCCACAGATCAACAAACCACCTAAACTCGACTTCTGTATTGTCCTACAGTATTTTGCCTATTTCAGTGACATCTGAGCAATGTTGGCCGTAGTGTCCTTTCGTAAGGCTTCTAAGAGGCGGCCATTAAACCACAAACTAGTAAGTGGATGGCAAATATCTACCGCATCTGAAGAACCCAAGCAGCGATAATATTCGGACTAGGATGATCAGATCACTGGGTACAATATTTCACAATTGTCATAGCTGAACCTTCAAGGAGAAAGAAGTATAATCAACTTGATCATTGCCGACTAGTGGCCGAGCGTTGGTTTTTCCAGGGTGAGAGGGTTGATGTGGTTAACCAATATAAATATCTTGGAGTCGTCCTAACTTCCAGACTATCTTTTACCCCTCATCTAAACTCCAAAGCTTCTGTGGCGAAGGTGGCTTTGAATAGAACATGGTGTTACTTTTTGGCCCAGAATCTAATCCCGGTTTACTCAAAGTACAAGGTATTTAATGCAGTGTGCCGTTCTATTATGTGTTATGCAGGCCAGGTGTGGGGGTTCCAGGATTATGAAGTGATAGAAAGAGTGCAACGTGTTTTTATTAGGAAAATCTTCTCACTGCCTAATTCTACTCCAAACTATATGCTTTATATGGAGACGGCAGTAGACAAAATTTTCCTTTTTACGCTTTCCCTGCATTTTTCATTTGTTTTAAGGGTACTTAAGGGCCCTGTTGCCCGAATCTCCAAAATTACTGCTCTCGAGGTTATAAAATCTAATTGTTCTTGGTTTCGGCAATGGAATACTTTAGCTTCTCAATATGGTTGCGATTTTTCTTTTTGTTTAGAAAACCTCTCTAGTTGGCCCAATTATACCATGAAACTTTTGTGCAGACTACGTGATCAACATCGTGTGAGTTGTGAGCATCGGGCTCAGGTTTCCAACAGGTATCTTCTCTTTAAGGCCCTAGACCTTTAACTTAAATGTTCAAGCTAGTGGGTCTATAAAACTTCCGACTCTTCGATAGCTTCTAAAACTCAGATGCGAGCAAGTGTTCCTCAATTCTGTGCCATGGAAGGAAGACGTCGGAAATTTCTTGTGCACGCTCTGTAACCTAAGAGTTAGGGAAGATATCTTTCATTTTGTTGCCCAGTGTCCCATACTGTCTGAACTCCGTATCCTGTATCTAGGCTATAAATCGCTTTCCAGGTCTCAGCTGCTTGATCTGTTAAATATCGTGGATATGGAGAGGTCGAAATGTCTAGCACACTATGCACGTCATGCCTGGCAATAAAGGTACGATTATAATACCGAGTCATAATTGTTTAACTTGTTATTAACTATGTATTATTATATAGTTTATTTTATTTTTATTTTTCGCTCGCCTGAAAAAAAACAAAAAAAAAAAAAAAACAGCCAACGGATAAGCATCCATGCTGTAAAACGCTTTTAATATTGTATATTATGTAACACTTCTCTTTAATGTAAATAAAGCATGTTATCTATCTATCTATCTATCTATCTATCATTGCCGACTAGTCTGTCTATTCGCATTTCGACATATCGTCATCTTCAATTGGTCTGTGCGTTATTCCTTCAGTTATACAGTCTGGGCACCTCAGAAGTATTGAACCACAGATCAGTAAAGATGGTAAAACATCTAAATTGACAGACATAAACAGCAAGGATAGACTAAAATGATCAGAAATGACCTAACAACCTAAAGAAAGGTCATAACAAAATGAATTTTTAATATAAATTTAAACTATTGTGTTTACAGTATTTCTATTGATGATTCGCTTAAGTGTTCATATCACGTTTCTTCCTAAAATGTTTAAAGTCCTTGGTTAATTCATCATCCCGAGATAGGAATCGCCTGGCTTCGTTAGGACTTTCCACGGGATTAACGCATTAAGGCTTTTGATCCAAAGGCGGATTAAGCGATAAAGGGTTCGCCGCGAAGTACGATCGATTTCGTTTATACTCGATATGGCGTCTATGTCCTAACGGTCGGTGATTGTCAAATTTCAAACTTTATTAGGGTAACTGTTCTTAACTGTTGTCCTTTAAAAATGTGTTTTACAACAATTTTAATTGCTACATATAAAGAGAATTCGTTCATAAAATCACGCTTCAGACCTCTGACTGTACTCAGACTGACAGTGAAAAATTTAAATGTTTATTTCTTTATTTGCGTTTTATTACATGCGTGGAACCATCACTTTCACTACATACATATAAAATAAATAGCTCGATTAATTTAATAGTTGATTCTGGGCGCGTTGGTCATGGGTGAACCTGTACTGGGTCACTTATTGGGTCCGTCTTCACTCGCGGGTAAAGACGGAAGACGGACCCAGTAGCTGATTTTGATTTTCTTTTTCTATACGGTCTTCTTCATATTTCAAATCGATCCTGGATCGGCCGAACAATTCATTTATTCTAATAAATTCAACACGTTACCAACGTTATATGACAGAATTGGGTAGATGATATAATCTGTTTTTATACTTGAGCAAATAATATTTTTCCTGGGTACGATTCCCATTCAGTTATACCGCAGTATAAAACACTTTGCACTGATTTGCCATAATCAGACGATATATTCACAGGATTGGTCAAACAACCACCTGGTGATATGCCGCAAGTGGATTGATGGATAAAACCAGCGAGAATAGACGGACCAGAATGGTTGGAGATGGTTGAAACATTTTCCCAAACATGCTATAAGCTTGGTTTCTATGCGTTCTGCTGTAAAATAACTCAATTTTTATTATCAATGGTGAATTGATATAAATTTGTATGTAGCCATCTGTCGATCATCCTGGTTTCTTTTTTGTGGCATTGCGATCCTGAACGGTTTAACCGTGTGTTATTTTGTTACATGTGTTGACATCTCAAAAGTAGATAATTAATGGACAATTTAATTACATACCGTACAGGCCTTGCTGTATTGTCTCAATTTTGTCATTTTAAAAACTGGCCGACTTTCCTGAAGAAGAGAACCAAGAACAACCACCGAAGCAGATGAATTTGCCCAAAAACGTCGTTTCTCTGCTCGAAGCTTTAAAAATGCAAAATTTTAGAGCTAGTAGGTGGGTTAATTTGTATCAGGTATAAATTATTATATAGCTATAGACGCAATGGACAACCGGATGGTTGTGCCATCATGGTATTTTACCATCCTCTGGTTGGTCGTTGGTCCAATGGTATCCTGAGATGGCTACTCTTCTGACGGGACAGTCGGAATAGTATAAAGACAAATTAAATATGATCAAGCTGGTTAACTACACTTAATCCTCCTTGAAGTATCATCAAGGATCAGCAAATCACCTGTATGTTTTTGAGGTGCCTACTGTTGATAAAAGGGTATAGTTGATGGAATAACACATAAACCAACTGAAAGTTGTAAAATGTCGAAATGCGTATAGACATACGTGAGATGATCAAGCTAAATAATAGCACATATTTCAGATCCGTTTAGGTACCTACCCACATGTTGGTATTTGGTCCTATTATCTTCTTAGGGGAAGTTCGGGGTTTCGAAACCTTATGAAAAGGCACAAAATATGGAATAACTCACAGACCAACTGTGGGACTTGGGACTGTGGGTTAACTGCTGAAATGATAAAATAGGTTTATTAGTGTGATAGGTGCTGGGCGAGCTAAATAATACCATAGCTGTCGGAAGCGTTTAGATATTTCGCAATCCCTCGTTGGTCTTTAGCCCTTCGATCTTCTGAGGTAATTTACCTTATAAAAGAACAAAAGTGATGGAAATATGGATAGACCAACTGAAGATGGTTAAATACCGAAGATGAATAAGACCACTGTTATCAGTCATATTTTGATAATTCGCCATCCATTGGTTTGGCGTTTTTTTGGTTCTATGTTCTTCTGAGGTGCTTCAACCATATAAAAGGACACAACTGATGGAATAATGCATATATTGACTGAATATAGTTTAATGCCGAATTGCGCATAGGCATAACAGATATACCATCATAGGTGACGATCAAGCTAAATAAGACCGTAGCTGTCATATTTCGTAATCCACTGGTTGTTCTTAGATCCTATGGTCTCTTGTAGTTTCTGCACCTTATAAAAGGAGTTTAATGCCGAATTGCGTATAGGCATAACAGATACACCATCTTCATCGGTGATGATCACGCTAAATAAGACCGCAGCTGTCATATTTCGTAATCCCCTGGTTGTTGTTAGGTCTATGGTCTCTTGTAGTGCCTGCACCTTATAAAAGAAGTTTAATGCCGAATTGCGTATAGGCATAACAAATATACCATCTTGATCGGTGACGATCAAGCTAAATAAGACCGTAGCTGTCATATTTCGTAATCCACTGGTTGTTGTTAGGTCTTATGGTCTCTTGTAGTGCCTTCACCTTATAAAAGGACACAACTGACGGAATAGTGCACAGACCAACGGTGGTTAAATGCCAGAAGCGTGCGTATTTAGGATAGGTACACTATGATCAAACTACAGGCTTATCAACTCGCAGGCTTCGAACTTATTAACTTTTCAACAAGGACTTCTAAGTTGTCGGCTAAAAGAGTGACAACCGAAAGTAAAATATCGAGAAATGTCTTTTTTTTAAATGACTCACGAATGAACCCAGTAAGGGCGCTTACTGACACAGCAGCAGCAAAGACAAAATTTATTTTGCAAAAACCTCATCTTCTTTCTTACAACTGAAAAATTATAGCAAAAATGGCTGGTTTCTGCTGATTCATAAAACGTGAGATAATAATGATTGAAGGCCGGCGAGACACTGCTGACTGGAAGGCAGTAAATATATGATCGACTTTGCCATAACCCAGGTCAGTCTGGATTTATAAGGACATAAAACAGCAATCACTCTCACGAAAGATTATGCGCAAATGAAAGTTTTACATATTTATTTATGTATGTATATCGATCTTTTATTATTTTTTTAACATAAATTTTTTCCCACAAACTATTATGGAATTTCTCTTACCTATTTGTATATAAAAATGATTAGTGTATATAGTGAAATGTCACTTTCCCCTACATTCTAAAATTGTTGTATATATTGTTGTGCACATGTACAAATAAAAATTTATTCTATTCTATTATTGTGTGCTATGCTTTAACAATTTATTTTTGTAATCCCTAAACGTATGTGGATTGCAAGTTAACCATGTGAACTCGACTTCATAAAAAATCATTAACATATTTTTATTGCACTCACATTTTATAGCAGTACAACACATAGACATTTAAATTTAAGTTCAAATAGAAAATATCAGTAAATATTTGCAGCGAGGGCGTTTCGAATTTAAAAAATAAAATTAACAGAATTTATTTCTCTTTTATATTTGATTAAAAAAAGCATATGTTTAAAAAAACAAGCAAATTCAAGTCATCGCAAGAGGTCCAAATTCAAGAAAGCAAGTTTTCCGAATAAAAAAACAAAAATTCAAAAATGTCGAGAACTTTTTTTTACTTTGCTTACTGCACCAACATGCTTAGCAACAGGATGGAGTGCTGCGTTGGAAAAAACGTCAGACGTGTCAGGAGCGCTAAGTTAGAGGTAAGCGTGCCGATTGACGAACCTAAAAGATATTTGTGAAACAACAGTGGTTAAAATGGTATTATGAATTAACGTTTAAACATAACAAATGTTGATGCAGGACTACAAGCTGATGTTTGGACAGTTCAGCCCGATTTACTATGGAACTCTTCCGACTATTGTCAAAGAGTGCGACTGCCAGGTCTGGGGATCGCTCTGGGAAGTACCGGAGTGTCTCAAGCCAAAGCTGGACGAGTAAGCAATTACGTTACATTCTGTTAAGGTCTGCTTAGAGATGGTAGCTTGATCGTCATAGTTTATCCAGGTACAGTAGGTCTGTCAGGAGCGTTTAGGTATTTCGCCATACTCCAAACACTAAAGATGGTGCAATGCCTAACGCGAAGAGACACCGGATGATCTTTGATGATCAAGCTATGTAAACCACCTAGCTAGTAGGTTTTTGGTCCATCTGAGTTTTCAGTACCTTATATATATATATNCTGAGGTGTTATTACCAAGAGGGGAGGAGATGCTGATTCCTAATTTGGGTATATGTATACCAGCACCGCTTCCCTTGTCCTTAATGAGTGAGCTATCGGTGAAGCAATCTATGCTATTATGGTCATCATTCGCATTATAGTTATAATCACATGGAGTAACTACCTGAAAGTGTTTTTCCCCAAAGGTGTTTTAACCTTTTTGTCGCTAACACTTAGTAGTTGGTTATTAACCTTACTCATAAATGTAGAATTTTCGAGTATCCTATATTGTTTCCCTTATGATTCCAGCTGCCTTCACTACCTTATACAAAGGACACAATTGATGGAATAAAATACAAAAACCTCTGAAAACATTGAAACGCAAATAGATAGATCAAGTTGATCAGTGATCAAGCTACATAAGATCACTGCTGTTATAAGCGATTAAGTATTTCGCTATTCACTGGTTTATGAGGTTATTCAACTTTACAACGGTTTGCTTCTGAGATGCAGTGTGTGTAACATGACACAACAGATGGAATAACAAACAGACAAAACCACTGCAGGAGGTGCAATGCCTATACGTGAATAGACAGCAGGATGATCGTCGGTGATCAGGCGAAGACTCACTTAAATGCTGGGTTGTGGGCCAAGTTTGAATTGCATTATACGAAAGACGTAACTGACGGAGTAAAACACAGACAAACCTCTGAATACGAAAGAAAATAAGGTTGACCGTGATCAAGTTAATTGACCACAGCTGTTGGAAGAGGTTAGGTATTTCGCCTTCTTCGTTTTTTGGTTTGTGACCGATCTGAGTTTTCAGCACCTTATACAAAGGACACAATTGATGTAATAAAATACAAAAACCTCTGAATACATTGAAACGCAAATAGATAGATCGAGTTGATCAGTGATCAAGCTATATAAGATCACAGCTGTCAGACGCGATTAAGTATTTTGCTATTCACTGGGTAATGAGGTTAGTCAACTTTACAATGATCTGCTTCTGAGATGCCTTGTGTGTAAAATGACACAACTGATGGAATAACGAAAAGACAAAACCACTGCAGGAAGCGCAATGCCTAAATGTGAATAGACACCAGGATGATCTTTGATGACCAATGTAATCCTCACTAAGCTGGTGGGTTTGTGGTCCATCTGAGTTTTCAGTACCTTATACAAAGCACACGACTGACGGAATAAAACACAGACAAACCTGAACATGAAAGAAAATAGGTCATGTTGACCGGTGATCAAGCTAATTGACCACAGCTGTTCGACGCAATTAGGTATTCGCCTTCTTCGTTTGTTGGTTTGTGAGATCTGAGATTTCAACACCTTATTAAAGGACACAGCCGACGGAAGAACATACAGACCAAACACTTGAGATAGCAACAAAATGCAGAAAAAAGAATAGATACATCAGAATGCAAGATGGTGCTCAAGTAGCATAACAGTTGTTTTCACTTTGAGTACAACCTATTTTGAAATAATGTGATATCTTAGGGATGGTTAGTTTTACTTTGATAATATACCACCGTCGTTGTCCGTTTAGCCTTGCTTTCGTCGTCAACTACGTTTTGTTAGTTCGTCCTTTCCATTGGCCTGAATATTACTTTATGAACCTGGGCAGACCAAACATTGATTATGGCATATTGCCAAATCTGACAGGCAAACAGCGAGAATACGCGGACTAGGAGGTTAGGAGATGACAAGATTTTCTACCTTGGAAACATTGCCAATCGCGATAAAGAATATTTCCCATGCTGCATGAACTATTTGGATTTCGATTGTACTGGATGGGTGATGAACGTGTAGCATCATTGTCATTGTCTGTCTTTTCTCGTTTTGTTTTAATTTCTAGGCGTTTTAGTGCTTAACACACATCTTCTTAAGTTCTTTTAAATAGATGTGATATGGTGGAAAAGAGGCTTTTTTTCAAAAAATCTGTTTTTAAAAGTTTATCTTTTGTCTAAAAAATAATAAAATATAAACTATGCGATGTTAGGCGGATGTTGTGGTGACAAAACTTTTCAAAACTTTCAACATGAGAAATTTTCGTTGCCATGGAGTAAAACCACTCTAGTCCTAATCAATAATTCATGTCGCTTTTCCTCGATCCAGTAAGTCCGTTAAGCCCGGGAACGTTATTTGGTGCAATTGACATTTTCCGTTCTGAAGAATCTTTGGCAGAATAATTTCCAATTCGACCAAAGTTTGATGATTTATGCCTTTCTCAATAGTCATCATTGTCATAAACATAAGGAATAAATTTTCCATCTTTTATTGAAAATATCGAAAGGAACGGATTTTTAATAGGTTCTTATTTTGAAAGCAACTCATTAAACAAATTTTTGAGATTATTGAAAAAATGGACGAGCTTACTGCTTAGCGGATTTTAAAAGAAACTCAAAATTATTGTACACATTTTTGTTTTCTCTAGCTAAGACATCTCAATTCCAGGCAGTCCAAGTTTTTAATTAAGTGTTAAAAATAAGTTAATTAAGTTACTCAATTCTAAATTGACGTTAATTTTGTTCATAGATTGATGGGCGTTCCGTCGAAGATCTATAAGCCTTTGACAGTCATGATGCAATCTGAGAAAAGCAGGGGTGGACTTTTTGAAGCTTATACTTACCAGTTGAACGAAGTAAGTATTATTTCAAATTAATCTCGATAATAATCCAAACTTGAAAAATGTTTAGAAAAAGATCAACCGTTATTGTTTAAAGTCTATACATTATCTGCTGTCATGAGAGAACATTGATGATAAATGTCCGATTTTTGTTATGATTTATATCAAAATATTGAAAAGTCTTGAAAAAAGTGGAAGAATAAAAAAAAGAAGCTTGAATTTTTATGTAGCTTGATCATCATGTTACCTAGTCTTGATGGTTTCCTCTTCCAAACCTGTTTCGAACTTTAGTGGGTTAGCCATATTACATTTATACTCCATAAAAGGATTTTTACAATGTAGGACAACACACAAATCAATCAGTGATAACGGCGAGAAGCCCAAGCGTTTCTGAAAGACAAAACAGCGAAAGTAAGCGGACCAGGATGTGCAGGAACGATCGAGGAAAATTGAACTTTCCAACTTCCTCTTGTAGTTGAGATCTTTTGATCGAAACTACACTTTATGCAATATTTTTTGACACTCATCCGACTTAACTGACGTAATTAGAACGACCGTCGAAGGTTTTGGTCAAAGATTATCCTAGGTTTTTAACCCTAAGGGGATGGGATGGTTATTTAGCATGAGAGGTGGGATGCTGGGGAGGGAATTGAGGAGTTGCCTGGACCCGATAATTATGGCGGTGGATTTGGACGTATTGAGGACTAGGGAATTTTTATGGGCCCATTGGTTGATGGAGTTTAGGTCTTTTTGGATCTTGAGAGTGGCCGAGTGAAGATCGGAAGGGTGGAAGGATATGTATATTTGGGAGTCATCGGCATATAGGTGATAGTTACAGGACTGGATGGAGTCGGGCAGATCATTGATATAAATGGAAAAAAGGATAGGGGAGATGCTCGAGCCTTGGGGCACCCCAGATTTTAGAGGGAGGAAGGAGGAGGTAAGGCCATTGGGAAGGGAGACAGCTTGGTGGCGATTGGTAAGGTAGGAGTGGAACCAACGGATGGTGCTAGCGGAGAAGGAAAAAGATTCGAGCTTAGGGAGAGAAGAGTGAGGGACAGAATCGAAGGCTATGATCGGAAGATCAAGTTACAAAGTCATCATCCAAGAGCCATCAACACGTTTCACGGTGTAAAAATTTCAGCTTGAACGCGCACAGTTATCCTTAGCCATCCGTTTCTAGCTGATTTTGTCTGTCTAACATGTTCTAGATTTTTGTCATATTCAGTTTGACTGTGCTTTATTCCGTGAGTAGTATCCTTCTGTCTGGTTTTAAGGTGTCACTGGTATCAAAGGACACAACTGACACAGAAGAAAAAACGGCATGAAATGCGTTTTGGCAGACAAAACTAGGAAAAACAAGCGGACCGGTATGATCGGAGGATCAAGTTACAAAGTCATCATCCAAGAGCCATCAACACGTTTCACTGTGTAAAAATTTCAGCTTGAACGTGCACAGTTATCCTTAGCCATCCGTTTCTAGCTGATTTTGTCTGTCTAACATGTTCTAGATTTTTGTCATATTCAGTTTGACTGTGTGCTATTCCGTGAGTAGTATCCTTCCGTCTGGTTTTAAGGTGTCCTCAGAATGAAAGGGCAGAACTGATACAGAAGAAAAAACGACATGAAATGCGTTTTGGCAGACAAAACTAGGAAAAACAAGCGGACCGGTATGATCGGAGGATCTAGTTACAAAGTCATCATCCAAGAGCCATCAACACGTTTCACTGTGCAAAAATTTCAGCTTGAACGCGCACAGTTATCCTTAGCCATCCGTTTCTAGCTGATTTTGTCTGTCTGACATGTTCTAGCTTTTTGCCAATTTGACTATGTGCTATTCCGTCAATTGTATCCTTTTGCCTGCTTCTGTGGTGTGGACAGTATGAAAGCTCACAAGTGATACAAAAGTAACGGAAAGAAACAAGTTTTAGTGGAGAAAAGTAGCGAAATCAACCCGAACCAGAATGTTGAATGTCCATGGTCCGTTGTCATGAACAAACTGTTCGTTCTCCTTTTCTAGTTGGTTTGTCTGTCAGACGGGCTCCAGCTTAACGCCATCTTCAGTGGTTGATCTGTGTTATTTTCTAGTCCACTTAATGTCTTAAACTATGAAGCAAGGATTGCCATAAATTCATTATTGTAAATCTGTAGTAATTATATTTATTAAACAGGTGGTTCCCCCCCCCCAATGCTTTCTTGTGAAACGGACACAAGCGTTTGACGGCGAGTCAAGTGAATATGACGGTCGTCCTACTTGTCCCTCCGGCTTTGTGTCTTCAAAGAGACGTGACCGTCCGTTGTCATGGTGAAAAGCCACCCCTTTATTTCGATCGGTTCCGATCCCATAAATATAATTTCAGTAACAGGTTTTTGAGCAAACCCCAGTTCCACAGGTTGCCAAAGTGCATTTGACGGTATTTTCCCAGGGGTGTTTTAAATAATAATTATCAAGTGTTCGTTGTTCGCTTGCAAAATCGTGTTCAAAGTATCCAGTAGATTTGTCGCTTCTTGGAAAAGATAATTCTTTCTACAAAAAGATTGTTTCGAGTCGGATGGGTGTTTAAAACAGTCTTTGAGTAGAACTATCTTTTACAAAAAGCAAATTAACATACTCGTGTGTGTTACAAATATTAAAATCTGTCATTATGTAATTTTATTTATTGACTAACATCTCTTCAATATTTTCCTGACTGCTTGGCTAGATAATAACTTTTAGTTCTTCTACCCTTTGAGAAGTTGAAAATTTGATATATAATATATATTCTAAAATGTGAATTATTTTGTTTTTCGAAGGGTCGCTGATCGAAATAATCCTATAGACCAAAATATTTTTTGTTTTGGAAACAAGTTTATCTTTACACAGGGTCATTTACTGGGTCTGTCTCCATTCGCGGTTTTTTTGAGTTATTCAAACGCGTTTCGGCATTGCGCCATCTTCAGTGAGGAGTTGGAGACAGACTCAGTAAGTGACCCTGTGTCGGTTCAACAAGTTCACCTATATTTATTTAAGAAAAATACTTGACATCAGATTTTGTAGGTTTTTTTTGTTTTTTTGTTTTTGTATAAACCATTATTTTTTCATCTCCTCAGACCCCCGCAAAGCCTGATACGATAAACGGACTTTGGAAAATGAAATTCCGCCCGTCCAAAATCTACCACGATGACCTGATCGAGGGAGCCGAAGAGGCATGTCTACCAGTTTACTACAGGCGCTGGATCCGTCAAATCCCGAACAACGGCTACACAGGGAGCGTCAAGCCGGACCTCGAGGACAATTCAGAACTCTAAGAACTGAAATGTGCGGTATAGCAATAATCTAATAAAAAGTATTCGTCTTTGGCACATTTTTAAAAAAATAAAAACAAATAAACCTATTGTAGAATTTTTTTTTCGTTGAAATAAGAACGATGGATTTAATAACCCTAAAAGGTTTGAAAATACACTGACAGGCAAAAAATTCCACCCACTTGTAATAACTTGATTTTTGATCACGTTTTTTAACGTTTAATAATTGAGTCTCTGTCTAAAAAAGTTACAAATGCCTCGGCATATCACTCTGGAAATGTCTCTTTGCTGGAGGTTAGCCTATTCTTCACGAAGAGTCCTTTCAAGATCGTGGACTGTATCAGGAATGATGGACGTGCTCTTATTCATCTTTTGAGGTTATCCCGTAAATGTTCGATGAACCTCCACGAACGACAACCAACTCTGTGCGACTCTCCGTTGAAATTCCCGCCCACACCATCACTGAGCTAGTTGAAATGGGAAAAATTACAAGCTTTATACCTTTCATTTCGCCTTCTCCACACTCTTTCACTACCATCTGGAGATCGTAGAGCAAATCTACACACATTTGTAAAACGTACAGCTGACCAATCGTCCAAAGACCAATGGCTGTGTTTTCGAGCAAATGAGAGTCGTGTAACTCTGTGAGAAGAAAGAATATATTTAAGAGTGAGTGAGAGTGTGAGTGGGTTTGGTCTAGAAACTGATTGCATTGGGGGGCTGAAATGACTTAGCTGCTGATAGACCAATCGTCCAAAGACCAATGGCTGTGTTTTCGGGCAAATGGGAGCAGTGCAACTCTGTGGGTTCTGGTCAATTCTGGTCCTCTTACAGGGCGAAAAGCCATCAGCCCATAGATTTATCTTCTTCGAGCAGTGCGTTCAGAAATTTGGACACCTCGAACTTTCTGGAGCTGATTTGATTTGAACAATATTAAGGTGCCAGTTTCACAAAATTTTCTAAGTCAAAAACGGTCATCCTATGGTTCTGTTACCCTAGGGCATCCAGAACCGGCCCTTCTATGGTAGGACCCAGTTTCTCGAAAACTACGATGGCAATAGCCGCATACCTGATGAAACGTCCATCATCAATAAGTGCCACACCACGCGCAACATCCTCATCACTAAGTGGCATTTTTAAGTATAAAAATTAAAATTAAGAAAAGATGAAAACTAAACTGTTTTTTGCTTCAGAATTCAAATGAGGCTGAATAAACATTTTAAATTCCTTAAAAAGTAAACATAGAAATATCCTTCATCCTTGTTTTTGATTACGGATTAAGTGTGTTTACCTCTAATTAATATTTCCAATTTATAACATAGCGTAAACAAATATCTATTGATAAAAACAATAAAACAAAGTAAGAGCAGAACTTTCTTTTATCGAGAAAATGAAAAAAATCAAATGGGTGGAAATTTTTGTCTGTCAGTGTATATCTATCTCATGGTAGAATACAAAGCAGAGAGATTTGATATGATTGTAAGTCGAACCACGTGAAATAACTAGATAGAACTTGAATAACCCTATAACAGACACGATTTACCTGTTGTTCTTTCGGGGTGACGAGGCAGACCTTCTTCTTGCCCTTTTTCTCCTCCTCGGCCATCCCTCGGAGGAAAACGGGGCCGGGCCGAGAGCAGGTGAAAAGGAATCCGACGTGAAATGAGGAAAAAACGAGCGGTTTCTGTCAAAAAGGTCCCCGTCCGTCGACGGGTCTGGAGGCTTCCTTGAGGGTGGGCGATCGATCGTGGTGACGTCAGGTGATTTAGGGTGGTAAACAGAGGGTGGGAGTGTTTACCGCCCCCATCGAACAGGCGGGAAAAAGGAAATTGTCTGAAAAGTCTCTTTGCAAGTATGAAAACTCTTAGGGCTTTGATCTCTGCCACAGTCGGAAAACTCGACAATCCCTGGATTTCTTTACCTCCTCAAAGAAAGATGGCTACCCTTATCTAGCCTCCTCGTTTTATCTGATAACGTCTTTTGCACCTACAATAGAAAATCTAGAAAAACTAGTCTCTTTGTACTTTTCAAAGAGATTTGGTTAGTGATATTAGATCTAAAGAACAGCTAATGGCGTACACACATTCCTTAATCACGGTTACAGATGAAATAGCATTATCTGATAACTGTTTTATTGCACAAAGATTTTTAGGTTTTCGAAAGAATTCCTTGGTATACAAACCCCATCAGATCTTGCTAGTTTATTTAACGAGACCATTAGATAAAAGATGGTATAAGACGTACACTTATGACAGTTTCAGGTTTTTACCTGTGACAGTTCTCGATGCAATGGCTAACAGTTATACATTTAGAGTTGCAACAGTTATTAGATTTTATACCTTACAGCACCCTGTTAACATATAAAACTAGTTTTTAGGATTGCCCATAAAATTTGGCTGGTGATTTCACCCTCCTTACCAAAGTAGTTCCTGAGTTTTTTTTTCATTATCAGGGGGTTTACACCCCTATTACACCCTGTTAATGTAATAAACGAATATTACAACATACAGCCAATATCATAATTTTTTGGGCTTTTCAAACAGTTCCATCGTAATATGGGAATAAGACGCAAAAAGTAGTTATGACTCCAGTACAAACTTTCCTTAACGACAGCTACAGGTAAAATCGTGTTACTTGATACTTTCTGCACAAAGCAGCTTAATGCGATATATTTTTACCCTTTTACACCTTCTAATTGATTGCACTATATTTTTCCTTCCTTGTGGAGAAAGAATTCTACTCAGGAGTCTTTGTCGATGTCGAACAGGTTTTCTTGCTCTTGGGTTTGTTCTGGAATTTCCAAGGCATCCTACCCACTTCGCACTATTTCATCCTTCTATTCTACCTGGACGAATTGAGCTACAAAAATTTCGAGGAGGAACAATCAGGCGTTGGTAGACCCAATAGCTTAAAAAAAGGTTCATCCAGCAAAGAAGAAGAAGAAAGAAGAAAAATAACTTTATTCTGGGACTGGTGTCCCCTAAGAATAATTTACATGAAATAAATAAACGAAGTTCCTTCTATGAAGTTAAAAGTAAAAAAAAAGCTAGAAATCTTGGCACAATGTATACCAGTAAGGCAGGCCAGAAGAGAAAATTACGAGAATATTAAACAAAAATAACAAAAATGTTAACGTGAGGTCTCTGCTTGGAGGGAGAGGAGGTGATTATACAGGTGGGATTTAAAGGAGGAAAAGGAGGCAGCGTGACGAATAGAAAGGGGAAGGGAGTTCCAGAATTTAGGGGCTCGGAGCAGAAAGGATCTTTCGAAAGTATGTTGCGGAAGGATAAGGTCGATTGGGGATGAGCGGGTCTTACGAGTGAGATGTGAGGAGTTGAATTGGAGGGATTGGATGATGTAAGGAGGACGACGAGTGTGGATGGACTGGAAAAGAAAGCAACCTAGGAAATACTGTGCACGGAAGGAGGGGAATAGCCAGGAAAGTTGGGAATACAACCCCGACACCCGGGATCCCCGTGGGGTGCCGTACACAAATCTTACGCAACAATTCATAATACGCTTCAATCGCGCGTTCTCCCCCTCCGAGAGACCACCGTATGCCAAACAGCTATAATCGAAGAAGGGAAGTATAAGGGAAGATACAAGGAGTTTGCGGGTGGAGAAAGGTAAGAGAAGCCAGGACCGACGAAACAGGCTGAGGGAGGCAATGGAATGGCGGGAAATTTGGGAAATGTGAGAATGCCAGGAAAGGTTTTGGTCAAAGACTACTCCTAGGTTTTTAACCGAAGAGCAGAAGGGGATGGGATGGTTATTTAGCATGAGAGGTGGGATGCTGGGGAGGGAATTGAGGAGTTGCCTGGACCCGATAATTATGGCGGTGGATTTGGACGGATTGAGGACTAGGGAATTTTTATGGGCCCATTCGTTGATGGAGTTTAGGTCTTTTTGGATCTTGAGAGTGGCCGAGTGAAGATCGGAAGGGTGGAAGGATATGTATATTTGGGAGTCATCGGCATATAGGTGATAGTTACAGGACTGGATGGAGTCGGGCAGATCATTGATATAAATGGAAAAAGGATAGAAGAAATGCTAGAGCCTTGGGGCACCCCAGATATTTAAGAAGGTGCTTGTAAAAGAATTGCACATCTACAAGCAACAATCACCGTATTCACAGATGGTAGTAAAAACGAAAGAGGTGTGGGATCCGCATTTGTGGTTTACAATCAACAACATATGATTTTTCAGGCTGAGTTCAGACTCCATGAACATTGCTTTAACAACCAGGCCGAACAACCAGCCATTGTTATGACGCTGGACTGGGTTAATGAGCACACTACTGTACTAGAAAATGGAAAGTTCTGTCAGATAAAGACGTACAGCAAAGTGGCATTGTATTCATCGAAGAAGATGGGCAAGCTGGTTCACCTGATTTAGGAAGGAAGAAACAAAATATACAATGTAGCAAAACAGGGACCTCTTAGCCTCAACATGACCACCATTTTGTCTGTGCATGGTTCATTCAGAGACTACCTCCACAAGATAGGCAAGATTCCGTCACCAAATTGCGCATGTGGGAACAGCACGGCCCAAAACATCAGGCATATCCTTTGGGACTAGCCTCTTCTGGAAAAAATAGAGTACAACTCATGAGGAAGGTTTTGTCCACCGGGGAAAAATGGCCACACATGAAAGACATTTTTTTAAAAGACGATATGAGAGACAGTTTCGTTATTTGTATTAAAAAAATGTAGACGTTGTTAAATTAGTGCACGGATGGTTAAGCTTATTGTTTTTCGTTTATGTTCCTTAATTTTACCATAAATCCAGAAAATTAAAATAATGTACAGAAGAAAAGTAAAACGAATTGAGTTACTTGAGAGTTTGGTTGGGTCCTATCACTCTTCTTTGTACAGGATGGATGCGGGAGTCCCTTAGGGTAGCATCTTTGGCCCGCTATTGTACTCAAAATATACTGTGTTTATGGTTACGATGGTGGCACTGCCATAGCTTCTAACTCCAACTTTTTCATAGCTCACACTCCAGACACACCTATTTTCCATTAGATATTCCCAAACCGTACAAGATGTTGCAAATTAATACAACCTTCATGTTTTGGATATTTACAGCCTCATAAGTTATTATACCTGGGGACCGCGGTAGCCGAGTGGTTAACAAGAGAGACTCTCACGCCGCGGTCGTGGGTTCGATTCCCACCGTCGCCTCTGGCCCTTTTTTCCCGATAATCCCCAATTTGAACACACAAGAATTCGTACTATGGTTAGGGATGGTTAAATTATTATACAAATGGATGGTTAAATATACCAATTTTTTAGCAATCGATATCAAAAAAACCTTTGTATTTTGTTTTTTTGGACCTGTCAACCAGATTTGGTTAATAGATAAATAAATGTTTTTGAAACAAAGGAGTTATGTTTCTAGGTTTTACCCACAACAATTGCAAGGGGTTTCACAATAATACAACCTTTATGTTTTGGGTATTTACAGCCTCATAAGTTATTATATCAATTTTTTAGCAATCGATATCAAAAAAACCTTTGTATTTTGTCTTTTTGGACCTGTTAAGCAGATTTGGTTAACAGATACATAAACGTTTTTGAAACAAAGGAGTTATGTTTCTAGTTTTTTCCCACCACAATTACAAGGGGTTGCACATTAATACAACCTTTTTGTTTTGGATATTTATAGCTTCATAAGTTATTATATGAATTTTTTTAGCAATTGATATCCAAAAATCCTTTTCCAATTTGTCTTTTTGGACTTATTAAATAGATTTGGTTAACAGATAATTGTTTTAGGCATAAAAATGAATAATTATGTAATTATTCACAACAAATGAAAAGATTTTACATCCTGTCAAACCCTGTAAATTATTAAACTAGTTTTTATAATTCTTAATTTATCTTTACGTTTCTTCTTTTTGGACCCTTGGAATCAGATTTGGACGATTAAAAGGCACAAAAACAGGTTATGAAGAAGAGTATTGTTAATGTGATCATTAGTGATATTTTTGGTTTGTCAAACTGATTTACTTAATGACATAAAAAGAAACTTAGTCGGGCTTAAAGTTTCATGTTTGGTTGAACTTTGGAATAGCAATTTTGCCGTGATAACTCTTTTCGGGTCCAGGGGCGACTTTTTTTAAAATGAAAAATCAGCAGAGATTGTTATTTTATCAGAATCTGTTAATTTATTAAAGTATTTTTAACAATGCTTAATCGAAAAATTTCACAACTCGTCTCTTTGATTGGGGTTTGTAGTATAAGACATATCGGAGCTTATGACGTGCAAGCCATCATCCGGTATGGTTTAACTTTCTATTGACCCGACCACTCAGCCAGGCAGAAGCCATACGTTTCAAAATTATTTTCATATCTTTTCCCAAAACGTAAGGCGAAATTGAAATAATAAATTTCTTATACGGCTTCAAGGCGATTTCCATGGTACAAATCGTAATATGTCTCATGTCCCAGCTTTAGGGTATAGAAATTTTTTTAAATATTTTGTGTCTAGGCTAAAACCAAACTTTATAAACTGTAAAAGTGTTGTTAGCTATCCAATAAAAAATTGGAGCCGTATTTCTCCATGGAAAGAAAAAATTAAACTAAATGATCAAATATTGACATTTACTTGAAAAAAAGCCATGCAGACTTAACCACCTTAATAATAAATTTCGTTTTCTTTTTTGCTGGTAAGCCTTTCTTTTTGTACTTTGCAATCAAATGTAAATTATTTTCAAAATCAATCAAATTGACTCAGGAGCTTTACCAAACTTCAAAACACTGACAGGATGAACTTTATAAGCTTGGTGCTTAAAAATATCGAAGTTAAACCAAATGTTTGTTACATTAAAATTCTTAACAATCTGCTTAATTAACTATAAACATTTAAAAATATTAACGTACATTAAAATAAATTTATTTAATAAAAACAAAAGAAAAAATCTCAACAACAAAAATCCCGGACAAAATAAGTCCTTTTTCGTAATCATTTGTTGTTGTTTTCACAAACTCTTTCTCCGTTATCAGTTCCCCACCCAACAAAAAGCCAATATGGAGATGGTGACGACGCAAAGCAACTTGATGCTTATTCGACCCGTCAACTTGGACTTTTATTTAGGCTTATTTTAAGTTGTTTCTAAATAAGAAAACAAACTCTTACTTTTCAAAACTTTTGCATATTTCATAGCAATATTGGATAAGTGGAACGCGATTTTGTGGCTAATTTGTAAAAAAATAATCGATTTTTCAAAAATTAATATAAAAAAATATTACAAAGTAGATTTATTGTTCGATCGTATTTGGTTTCGGGCTAACTTGTTTTATCCGTAAATTAGATCATCCTGCAATTTCATAACGTTGATCCCTCTGCTCAAGGCTTATTAAATTGTAGTGACTTCGGCCAAATAGCTAAAACATTATTTTAAAAAAGACATAATTAAATTATTCATAACAGGCCAATTTTGTTATTACTATATTAGCCCGGGATTAAACTCAATAAAGGGATCCTCGGCGGCACGTCATGGACTAGTAGCAACAAGTGTCAGAAGTCCTCTTTTCTATCTGAATTCTAGAAGGCCCACATGTTTAAAATGTTTTTATTGGGCAATTTTATCATAGAAAATTTATCGTTTTTACTCGAAAAAAAAATTGTGAGTAATATTCAACCTTTCCCCGAAGCCATGCGATCTTTTGATTTCTTCTTTCTGAATTCTTTAGGTAGAAAATACTCACAGAAAATTAACGATTGTAATAAAAGAATTTGTATTTTTCAATATGTTAAAAAATACAATAATATTATACATAAGAAAACAAATTTAGCCATTGCTGTTTAAATGAAATAGTTTCTTTCCTTCAATTTGTTGATTATGTTATTGAATTTTGCTGATTTTTATGGGTGCTTTTAAAGAAAATAGTATGTGAATTTGAAGAAAACTAGTTTAATTTTGTATCTGACGTTATTAATGGTTAATTAAATTGTTTGTATTTGGGTTGTAATTTTTTAAGTTTGTTTTATTTTAGGTCGACTCACCTCCAGGTTGTCGTGGCCAGTCTTGACGTGAGCGTGGTTCGTCGTCGACTGGACAGTGTTCATGATTGGCTTTTTAACAGGACTCTGATCAGATCATGAGGGATGCCCGGTCGGAAGGTCATAAAGGGCCGAGTAGGCCTCTTAATTAGGGGTGACGATCATTTTCGGCCCAAACCGGAAAAAAAGGGGGGGAAAGGGGAGAGAAGAGCAGCAGCTAGAAAAGGGTTCCCGGCGGTCGGGAGGGTTCCGGCGGAATGAGGAGATGCGGAGACGGCATTGCGAATTGCGGCGGGGGGCATGCGCTCCTTCTGGCCGAGTGGCGGAGAGCAAGTTCTGCGGAGGAGGAGGAGGTGGAGGGGTCCCGTTCCTTAATTAGGATGTGCCGGGAACACCCATGATTTTTTGACCAGGTCAAGGAGTCACAGGATAAATATTTCGTCAAAAGGTTTTTCGCGGTAGACTGTTTTTGCAAAGGCAAACTATGATTGCAAAAATACGGCTAAACAATCCCGTTAGATAGTACCACACTTCCAACAAATATGCTGTATGCTTACAATATTGAGATTATATTTAAAAAAAACTTACAGTTATGTAAATGCGAACAGAAAAGTAAAACAGCGACATTTTTCTACCGAGTACAACTAAGTGCGAAGCCCTGACAAGAAATTATACATTGATTTTGAAAGTGAGTGATTTTGTAGTCAGTAAGCAAAGAATATATTCTATATGCACTAGGTTTAATTTATATAATTGACAGTTACGAAATCATAAAGAATCTTCTAAACTATAAAATTGTATGTACTTCACAGTTGGTAAGACGGTCCAAGTGGTCCATGTCGTTACAGCCCTAAACTTATTTAACTATACATAATTTAAAGTAATTATATAAAATCATTTTTGAGGGCCACACATGCTAAAAGTTGTTTTTAAATATTTTTTATTTAACTTAAGGAAAGCTAATTTATGGCCTTATGTTAATCATAATAGCCAATGATTTAAGCTAAAAGTTAGTTGTGTCCTTCTTCTAGGGTGGGTGGGAGCGTTTTTAAGGCGCTCTGGTTCTACCTGAATGCATGACCGGCCAGTAGTGCGGGTTTAGTATACCCTAAGAATTTTATTTTTTATTTTAATTTTAATTGGTCTGTACTTATGTTTGTCTGTATGTACGGGTGAGAATGAGAGTGTGAGATAGATAGAAAGAAAACTAGTAACGGGGATGATAAGAGAGGAAGAGAAGAGAGAATAAGACAGAATGATAGAGAATAGGAATGAGAATTTTTCAAATGAGCTTTTGTTATGAAACTGGAAACGTGTGATAAAAAATATGGCTGAATACGAGAGAGAGAGAGAGAGAGAGAGAGAGAGAGCGCTAATGAAAGGGGAGGTGTTAGAGAGAAAGAGATAATAGAAATTAGTAACTAAGTGTGAGAGAGAGAGTTGAAAAAGTGAAAAAAAGAAACATTGAATTTGATCGTTAGAGAGAGAGAGAGAGAGAGAGAGAGAGAGAGAGAGAGAGAGAGAGAGAATAGAAATTGGTAACCAAGTGTGAAAGAGAGAGAGTTGAAAAAGTGAAAAATGAAAATTTAATTATAAAGATTGAGATAAACAGATGTCTATATAGAAATAGATAGAGACTAGGCGTACATTCAATCAGATACATACATCGATAGAGATTTATAAGTAGATAGATATACATATAGATACATATTTATAGATAAATAGGTAGATAGGTGAATAGTGACATATAGATGGAGAAAGATGTTTCCATAGAAATAAATGGATAGAAATATAGAAGAGATACATAAATGAAATAGAGAGATAGATTGTCAGATAGATGGATAGAGAAATTGAATGAAATAGATAGTTAAATAGATAAATACAGATAGTGTGAGAAAGAGTTGGGAGGGTGAAAAAATAAAAATTTAATTTGAAAGATTGAGATAGACGGATGTCTATACAGAAATAGAGACTAGGCGTACATTCAATCAGACACATAGATCGATATAGATTTTTAAATAGATAGATATACATATAGATACACATGTATAGATAAATAGGTAGGTAGAAAAATAGTGATATACAGATAGAGAAAGATGTTTCCATAGAAATAGATAGATAGAAATAAAGAAGAGATACATAGAAGAAATAGAGGGATAGATAGATTGTCAGATAGATGAACTGTTAGATGGATAGAGAAATTGAATGAAATAGATAGTTATATAGATAAATACATATAGTGCGAGAAAGAGTTGGGAGGGTGAAAAAATAAAAATTTAATTTGAAAGATTGAGATAGACAGATGTCTATATAGAAATAGATAGAGACTAGGCGTGCATTCAGTCAGATACATACATCGATAGAGATTTGTAAATAGATAGATATACATATAGATACATATGTATAGATAAATAGGTAGAGTGGTAAATAGAGACATATAAATAGAGAAAGACGTTTCCATACAAATAAATAGATAGAAATATAGAAGAGATACATAGATGAAATAGAGAGATAAATTGTCAGATAGATGGATAGAGAAATTGAATGAAATAGATAGTTATATAAATAAATACAGATAGTGTGAGAAAGAGTTGAGAGGGTAAAAAATTAAAATTTAATTAGAAAGATTGAGATAGATAGATGTCTGTATAGAAATAGATAGAGACTAGGCGTGCATTCAATCAGATACATACATCGATATCGATTTATAAATAGATAAATATACATATAGATATCATATGTATAGATAAGTAGGTAGATAGGTAAATAGTGACATATAGATGGAGAAAGATAGATCGAAATAAAGAAGAGATACATAGATGAAATAGAGGGATAGATAGATTGTCAGATAGATGAACTGTTAGCTGGATAAAGAAATTGAATGAAATAGATAGTTATATAGATAAATACAGATAGTGTGAGAAAGAGTTGGTAGGGTGAAAAATACAAAATTAATTAGAAAAATTGAGATAGACAGATATCTATATAGAAATAGATAGAGACTAGCCGTGCATTCAATCAAACACATAGATGGATAGAGATTTATAAATAGATAGAGATACATATAGATACATATGTAAAGATACAAAGTGATATATAGATATAGAAATAGATAGATAGAAACACAGATCAGATATATAAATGAAATATAGAGATAGAGAGATGGTTAGAGAAATTGAAAAAAACAATGAATAGACAGTTATATAGACAGGCACACAGACATAGAGAAAGAAAGGGAGATTGATTGATTGATTATCGCTTTATTTAACGATCAGTCAAGGTTTGGTCTCTAGGACCACTCTTACACCTAAAGTGAAATTACAGCATCATGATTTCATAAGCTCTACTCAATCTACTATACACAAAAAAGTTGAACAAATTAATTATCTGTTAAAACTGTATACTTGTTTACAGTGGATTAACACATTCAAAGTAAAAAGTAATCTTTATACAATAACAAACGTAGCTCCTATCGGAAGAAAAAAACTAACAACAGATATTTGTAAGGGTTTAACGTTATAAACGTACTTAATTGAGGAAAGAGGAAAAAAATTATATTTCGGTGTACATATTTTGATATAAAATAATTTTTAGTTTTTTTATAAACATACTTGTTTTGTTACAATGCTGAATTTCAACTGGGGATTTCGAAAACACTCTTGCACTCTTAGTGCATTGCAAATGCAAATTATTAAATATTGTGGTTCTAGGTTTTATAATTTGAAATTTCTTAGTTTTATATCTAGTGTTTATATTATTTATATCAGATCTGGAGGCAGAGAGAGATAGATAGATAGATAGATAAAGAGTGAGAGTGAGAGAGAGAGAGAGAGAGAGAGAGTGAGTGAGTGAGTGAGTGAGTGAGAGAGAGAGTGAGAGAGAGAGAAAACTTGAAATAGACAGATGTCTATATAGAAATAGATAGAGACTAGGCGTGCATTCAATCAGATACATACATCGATAGAGATTTATAAATAGATAGATATACATATAGATACATATGTATAGATAAATAGGTAGATAGGTAAATAGTGGCATATAGATAGAGAAAGATGTTTCCATAGAAATAAATATATAGAAGTATAGAAGAGATACATAGATGAAATAGAGAGATAGATTGTCAGATAGATGGATAGAGAAATTGAGTGAAATAGATAGTTATATAGATAAATACAAATAGTGTGAGAAAGAGTTGGGAGGGTGAAAAAATAAAAATTTAATTTGAAAGATTGAGATAGACAGATGTCTAAATAGAAATAGATAGAGACTAGGCGTACATCACACACATAGATCGAGAAATATGTTTATGTATAATATTATGTACATCAGATCTGGAGGCAGAGAGAGAGAGAGAGAGAGAGAGAGAGAGAGAGAGAGAGAGAGAGAGAGAGAGAGAGAGAGAGCTAGTGAAAGGGGAGGTGTTAGAGAGAAAGAGATAATAGAAATTAGTAACTAAGTGTGAGAGAGAGAGTTGAAAAAGTGAAAAAAGAAACATTGAATTTGAGAGTTAGAAATATATATATAGATGAAATAGAGAGATAGATAAATTGTCAGATAGATGGATAGAAAAATTGAACGAAATATATAGATATATAGATAAATACAGATATTGAAAGATAGAGATAGAGTGTAAGTGGGAGTTGAAAGAGTGAAAAATGAAAATTTAATTAGAAAGATTGAGATAGACAGATGTCTATATAGAAATAGATAGAGACTAGGCGTACATTCAATCAGACATATAGATAGATAGAGATTTACAAATAGATAGATATACATATAGATACATATGTATAGATAAATAGGTAGATAGATAAATAGTGATATTCAGATAGAGAAAGATGTTATACTGTATAACATTATGTACATCAGACCTGGAGGCAGAGAGCGAGAGAGAGAGAGAGAGAGAGAGAGAGAGAGAGAGAGAGAGAGAGAGAGAGTGTGTGATTAACTGATTGATCGATTGTATACGTTTTTTGACTTGGTCAAAAAAAGGACCTAACGATCCTCTCTTATATTTTGCAGGATTCATTTAGTTTAGTTATCTTTACAGTGTCCGACAAAAGTTCATATCTACAGTACCTGTTCACACATATAATATACACATTCATGTATGTGAATAATTACAATTAATTACGGTTTTTAGTTGAGATAAACTCAATTAATTGTAATATATTAATTGTTCAAGCGGAGCACGAAAGTGAATTGAATGGAATGAAATTATGTTAATAATATTTTTAGAGAGAGAAAGAAAGAAAGTGAGAGAGAGAGAGAGAGAAAGATAGAGA